TAGCCAAAATTAAGGCACCCAGATGGACATGCATTATTGTCACATGTCGAGCCCCACATTCTGGACGACCTCTGTATGAAGCGATCAATTTCTGGAATCACTTGAAGCAACTCCTTTGAAGAAGGGTGGCGGATATCCTGTCTTCTTTTGTGGAGATGCCAATGCTCACCTTGGTGAGATTGTCACTGACTCAGTTGGGGATTTACATGCAGTTTCCGAAAATCAAGCTGGTCAAGCCTTCCATGAATGGCTTATCCAGCAGGAGCTCTTTGCACCGGTCACCTTCACAGACCACCACCATGGTGAGAGCTCTACATTCTGCTCCCCACATGGACATGAGACAAGAATTGACTACATCGCCATTCCTCCACAGCCGCATTATGATCAACTGGTATCTCAAGTTGAACATGAGATTGATCTGTCGATTACAAGATGTGATCACCGGGCAGTGCTTTGTACAGTTGTTTTCATGGCAGCCTCTCAACAAGATCGACGTTGTTCTCGCAAAGTGCCACTTGACATTGCAGATCTGACCAACAATTTAGCGAGTGCAGAGTACCAACAGTTTCTGCACAACTACGTCACCACTCCATGCTGGAATCTCGATCCCCACAGTAGCGCTCAATGGCTCACAGCATCTACTACTGCTGCACTGCCTTTTTTGGCTCAGCCCAGAACGCAATGGAGGAGGAAATCACATATCTCACATGAGACATGGAGTTTGGTTGAGAGAAAGAAGCACCTATTCAAACAATTGCGGGCCCTTACCCGCACCAGGCTCTTCACAATTTTGCAAGCTTGTTTCATTGGCTGGAGGACGAAACCACAGAACCACCGTCACTTGGATCAGCTTCAACGTGATCTACCAGCTTGGCTACGTCTTCATGATCAGTCAGTTGCCCAAACACAGAGAGAGCTTCAGCAAGCAGCTTTGAGTGCCCAGCTTGCCATTCGACAGGAAGATGGGCTCTTCTACCAACAGATTGCTGACCACACCACAAGAACTTATTCAGTTGAGGGTCTCAATGGCATCTGGAAGCAACTGCGAAATCTGTTACCCAAGAACAGAACCAAGAATCAACAAGTCAGAAGAGACATTGATGAAGAGCTTCAGCAACACTTTGAAACTCTAGAAGCTGGAAAAGTTGTACTGAGCTCTGACCTGCGCCAGCAATGTCTACAGCGCAACATCAATGAACAACAGCAAAGTGCCCCTCAAAGGTACCTTGACCTTTGTGAACTTCCGACCCTCGTTGAGATTGAGAACATCTGCCTGCGTCAGCGTCCACGCAAAGCTCCTGGACCAGATCAAATTCCAGCAGATATATGTCGCAATGCCGCAGTAGCCCTTGCCCCACATGTCCATGCTCTGGCCTGTAAATCATTGGTTCACGGAATTGAGCCGTATGACTTCAAGGGCGGCAAGCTTTGCGCAATCTTCAAGGGCAAAGGCGACCCAACCAATGCTGCTGGTTATCGGGGCATCCTTCTCTCGAATACGTATGCGAAGATTTTGCACTCATGGGCCAGGCAAAAATTACTCCCAACTCTGCAACACCGCAAGACTCTGGGACAGCTGGGAGGTCTTCCCTCCCAGCAGACTGTCACAGGAGTCCAAGCTGTGAGATTGCACAGCCAAGCTGCCAGTGCAAAACATTTGTCGAGCGCCACGATGTTCATCGATCTTCGTGCTGCGTTCCACCACATGCTGAGGGAATTGATTTTTGCGACGTCCAACAACATGCTCCAGGAAGTCCTTGAAACCATCTTGGATGGCCGTGAATTTGACCTGAAGCAACTTCATGAGGACCTTGAAAAGCTTTGCAGAACAGAGATCTCTGACATTCCGCCTGGATTACGTCAATTTCTCCATGATGTGCACCAACAAACATGGTTTTTCCTCCGTCCAGAGGAGGCTGACCGTTACAGCACCCATACACAAAGGGGCACTCGACCTGGCTCCCCTCTGGCCGATATAGGTTTCAACTTGATGATGTCAGCGCTGCTTGCAGAAGTACAAGGAGAACTTATGCTGCTGGAGGATTACACCCAAGGATCAGATGCGCTTGGCACATATATTCCACCCATTGCTTGGATGGATGATGTTGCCATCTGCTTGACTGCCTCTCTGGCGACACAGCTTGTGCCACTGATCCAAGACACCACGAAAATTGTGCATGCTGCCTTCAGACGACGAGGGTTGACCCTCAATTTGGACAAAGGCAAATCCGAGCTCATCGTGATGTTTCGTGGTCAAGGAGCAGTAGTTCAGAGAACTTTGCTTTTTGATACTGGCAGCCAACCAGTTATCACCACATCAACGGAAACCCACATTTTGAGCATGAGGGTCACTTCATCGTACCGTCACCTTGGGGTACGCTTTGCTATGAGTCTGGACTATGATCAAGAAGTCATTGCCAGAGTTGGCTCGGCGCACCAAGCGTTTGCGCAGATGCGGAAAACCATCTTCTTGAACAGGGCCATCCCGCTCCCTGGTCGCTTGGTCCTTTTTCAGAGTCTGATCCTTTCTCGACTCCTGTACGGTTGCGCAGTATGGGCTGAACTTTCTGCAGCATCATACAAGAAGCTCGAAGCAACTGTCATTGGATTCTATCGTAGAATCTACAACACAGGATTTTGGACCTCGGATCACCTCACCGATAAGGAATTCCTGCAATGCAACAAGATGACTTCCTTTCGAATCTTTTGGGCGCGGCACCGTCTCTGTTATTTGCAGCACCTTGCTGAACATGGCCACACCTTTTACAAATCCTTACTTCTTATGGAGCTGCAGAACAACAAAGGTTGGCCCTTTGAAGTTTCTGAGGATCTCAAGTGGTTGGCCAGTTTCCATGAATTGCCGTTTGACATTCCTGTTGATCGCGCTGGATGGATCACAGCATGGAGCGTTCTTCGCACCTGCAAACCATGGAGGAAATGGGTTAGCCGAGCAGTTGCCAAGCACCTTGAGCAGGAGAAGATTGCATATGAGATTCAATTTTACCATCACCACATCCAGCAGGAACTTGAATCAGCTGGAATGGAGTTGGCACCCACTTCACTTGAGGTTTTGGAGCAGACTTTACACCAATGTGTACAATGTGATGCGTCCTTTCACACGGCCCAGCAACTGGCATTGCATGCCTTCAAGATTCACCAGCAGCGATCCGCTGAAAGCCACTACGTGCAATCAGAAGTGTGTGCAGGATGTCTGCGAACTTTCCATACCACATTCAGAGTCATGCAACACTTGAGATATCGGGGCAATCAGTGTTGGGATCGTCTTCATGGAGCACGAACCCCTGCTGAACCTGCCCATGTGACATTGCCTTCGCATTTAGCGGGAGTATGTAGACTTCCTGCTGTACGAAGGCATCATGGTCCGCTTCGACCCACATCTAGACAGCGTGAACTTCTGCGAGTCCGGCGAGAGATTGATCAAGTCTGGCGTGAGGGGCATCCAGATTTTGCATGGTGGGAAGCCACACAGAACATTGAGCTCACTACCAGATGCAATCAGGCCTTCAACGACAGTCTTGACAGATGGTTTCAAGGCGACTCAATTGATGTTGTCAGTTTCCACAACCTCTTCTTTGCCACCATGTTTTCTTTTGAGATTCCGGAGTTCCATGCAGCCAGACTGTTTATCCATTGGTCTGAAACTGTTTTTGCAGATTTTGTACCAGATGAGAATCAGCTTGAACACATGGCCAGTTTGGATGAAGCAATGATGACGCTGCTGGAGGATTTGCACATTTGGAAATTGCGGCTCCGCTACCACCAATTGCAGCAACAGCTCCATCATCTCATGCAAGATGAGGAACCCCTTTCACCTCTGGAGCGTCAAGCACCACAGAAGCGCAGAGCACGTCTGCACCCCTTTGACCTTTGCTTTAATCAGATGAAGGAGGAGGAAATGGTGCGAAGAACCTGGAGAATGACATCCAGACCCTGTCGCAGTGTTGCCCCTGAGCAGGGCCCCTACTTCGTCATCCACCTCTATGCTGGGCGGAGGAGAGAAGCAGATTTTCACCACTACATGACAGAGCTCATTGCGGACTGCCCCCATGCCTGGGCCAACAATATCATTGTGATTTCGTTGGACACCGCCATCGACAGTTCTATGAATGTTCACTCAGAGCGTTTGTGGACCTGGCTCCTGACCACAGCCAGGGCGGGGCGTATCTTAGGATTTCTCCTTGGTCCGCCCTGTGAAACATGGAGCAGTGCACGGCATGAGCCTACGTTTGATCAAGATGGACATCCTCTTCGAGGCCCTCGTCCACTTCGACAAGCGGAAGCATGCTGGGGTATCCCTGGCCTTAGCCTGAAGGAATTGCAGCAGTTGTCCGTGGGTAGTTGCCTCCTCTTGCGTGGACTTTGGCTCTGCATTCCCATCGCGCTGACTGGTGGTGCGGTGATGCTGGAACATCCGGCTCCACCGTATCAGGAAGAACGTGCTTCGATCTTCAGAACGGGGCTGCTCACCTTGCTCTTGCGCGATGGCTGGCTTTTCAGACGGCATACATTTCAGCAATGGCGTCATGGCTCTGGTGGGGTAAAACCCACCACGCTCTTCTACGCCAACAACAAGGTGCCGGAGGTGCTCGACGAGCTTGCCCTGCAAGGCATCGCGAAGCCCACTGGCGCGCTGATTGGTCGAAGTGAGAGCGGTAGGTTCAAAACAGAAGTTGCTAAGGAATATCCCAGCAACCTTTGCCTGTGTTTTGCCACCGCCATTTGGCGACGCATTGAGTCGCTGAAACTTGGCGAGTTAGGCGAAGGGCCGTCTCAATTCGCCACTGAATTAGCTGCTGCCTCTGCTTGGGTGGATCCCAGCAAGGGGTACATGCCTGACTACCAGCCACAGTAGCTGGGCGCATGAACGCCACGAGGATTCACAAAGGGCCGACCAAAAAAATAGTCATTATATTAAGATAAGACAAGTATCATCTTGGTGAAACTTGCCATTTTCTGTTGTGAGTCATTGGCAGCTGCAGGAAGGCCGGTGGATGCCGATATATCCCATGCCCTACGTCTTGCAGATGGCTTCTCCGGCGAATTTGATGATCTCTCGATGCCATGATCCCATGGTGGTCTATGGAGATAACTTCACCAATGGGGCTGAGAAGATCCGCAACTGGCTGTTTTGATGTGGATCTTTTGGACATTTTTTACATGTGGATCTTAATCATTATATATATGTGTGTTTTTGTTTGAGTTTTCATCGGATATGGTGTGTCCAAGACTTCTGGACCCCAAGAATTTTCCCCTGATCTTGCCATTTTTGGGACCACCCAGTGACTTTCAGAAACTTTTGCCTGGTCACCTTATCAGGATATTATTTCTCCCCCACAATCAACGAGTTCGGCATGGGAACTGCGGAAGAGACGAATCTGACCAACCTGGACCTCATCATTGTGAAGGAAGGCTTGTTCGGGATCCATGCGCAACTTCGTGGGCAGGCTGGGGTTGATCAATATCCCATCATGTGAAGAGAAGTTTAGCGCCAGAGATCTTGAGATCCAACTGTCGATGTCACATCAACAACTGTTTCTCCCATGGCATCGTTTCTCCCTGGTGAGTTGGATGATCTTTCAATGCAGAGACCCTGGCAGGGCAGAAACATCACCTTTCCCATCTACAGCGGCATGACGTACGTGTCGGGTCTCTACCAAGGCTACACCCCTCAGATCACCTCCACCCGGGCCATTGTGGCAGTGGACTGGGTAAGGAATGGCACGTGGAGCCTCCGGAACAACGGGGGGAAGGAATTTCGGCTCTATGCCCTGCAGTTGGATGGACACTTTGTAGACACCTGGCAGGGTCCCTTAGATTTCCCAAAGTTTAGGGATAGGAAGGGTGTCTTGTTCCGGCCACTCTCTGTTGCCGAAATTTCTGGATGAACATCTCCTAGGACGCCAGCATCCAATTTGGTGTGGATGGACGCATGAATCAAGTCTTTACAGGCACGGATACACGAGTTACACGAGTCAGTTGTTTTGATTTGTTTTCTAAGCGGGGGAATGAGTGTCTTGATTCAAGAAGTGACAGAGATTGGATGGGCATCTGCTTGCCCCCTGAGACCCATACATTATTTTAATAATGTGATTGATTTACTTTTGGGCAAGACTGCGAGTTGTAGGTGGAGCTACACCCATGACCTAGACTGGCCTAGACTGGGGTAGTGGTCGTTTTTCCACGCTTTTCCTTCCTTTCGACTTAACTGAAATCCAATGATCAAGACACATTGAAGTGACCCTGCAGGTTGGCTTCGCCTGGCAGAGGTACAAGCAGAGAGCGACAGAGACCCTTGGATGGTGTAGAGGGAGAGGGAATTCCCTTTCTGAAATCAAAATCACGAAAGCCAGCCGCTAGGCTAGGCGAAGTTATTTTTGCGAACAAAGTGAGTTAAGGGGGTCTGGGGGCAGAGCGCCCCAAGTGGGATAAAAATGCGGAAAATAGGTTGTAAAAAAGGTGGCCACAGGTAAACTTTTTTAGGGTTATGTACCAGGTGGCAATTGGGTGACGTTGGGGTATCGATTACCCCCTGGTCCGCCCTCCGAGGTGGATCTGGGCGGGAAAATGATGTCGAGCAAAACTATGGAAAAGCACTGGAAAAAAATGAAGGTTTCTGGGTGAAGAGTCTCTGGGTGAAAAGTATATGGGTGAAAAGTATGTGCAAGAAGAGTTTCTGGGTGCAGAGTCTCTGGGTGAAAAGTATATGGGCGAAAAGTATGTGCACGAAGAGTTTCTGGGTGCAGAGTCTCTGGGTGAAAAGTATATGGGCGAAAAGTATGTGCACGAAGAGTTTCTGGGTGAAAAGTATATGGGTGAAATGTATGTGCAAGAAGAGTTTCTGGGTGAAGAGTCTCTGGGTGAAAAGTATATGGGTGAAAAGTATGTGCAAGAAGAGTTTCTGGGTGAAGAGTCTCTGGATGAAAAGTATATGGGTGAAAAGTATGTGCAAGAAGAGTTTCTGGGTGAAGAGCCTCTGGGTGAAAAGTATATGGGTGAAAAGTATGTGCAAGAAGAGTTTCTGGGTGAAGAGTCTCTGGGTGAAAAGTATATGGGTGAAAATATGTGCAAGAAGAGTTTCTGGGTGAGGAGTTTCTGGGTGAAAAGTATATGGGTGAAAAGTATGTGCAAGAAGAGTTTCTGGGTGAAGAGTTTCTGGGTGAAGAGTCTCTGGGTGAAAAGTATGTGCAAGAAGAGTCTCTGGGTGAAAAGTATATGGGTAAAAAGTATATGGGTGAAAAGTAAAATTGAGGCTCCGATGTGGGACCATTATATGTAAGAGTTTCTGGGTGAAGAGCCTCTAGGTGAAAAGTATATGGGTGAAAAGTTTGAGCAAGAAGAGTTTCTGGGTGAAGAGTCTCTGGGTGAAAAATATATGGGTGAAAAGTAGGTGCAAGAAGAGTCTTTGGGTGAAAGTATATGGGTGAAAAATATGTGCAAGAAAAGTTTCTAGGGGAAGAGTCTCTGGGTGAAAAGTATATTGGTGAAAAGTATGTGCAAGAAGAGTTTCTGGGTGAAGAGTCTCTGGGTGAAAAGTATATGGGTGAAAAGTATGTGCAAGAAGAGTCTCTGGGTGAAAAGTATATGGGTGAAAAGTATGTGCAAGAAGAGTTTCTAGGTGAAGAGTCTCTGGGTGAAAAGTATATGGGCAAAAAGTATATGGGTGAAAAGTATGTGCACGAAGAGTTTCTGGGTGAAGAGTCTCTGGGTGAAAAGTCTGTGCAAGAAGAGTTTCTGGGTGAAGAATCTCTGGGTGAAAAGTATATGGGTGAAATGTATTGAAGAGTCTCTGGGTGAAAAGTATGGTGGAAAATAGGGGTAGATGGGATGCTGGCAATGGAGGGGAAAATGATGAGAAAAACAGTAGAAAAAATGAGGGAATATGACAGACAACAATGGGAAAAAAATGGGAAAGGAGGGGAAAATGATGAGAACAACAATGGAAAAAAGGAGGGACTTTGACATAAAACAATGGAAAAAAAAATGGAAAGCAATGGAAACGGTGGAAAGAATAGGGAGAGGGTAAAATGATGCCAAGTAAAATTGAGGCTCCGATGTGGGACCATTATTGGTAAAGTTTACGGCGTAAAGCATGCGTGAAACAATGGAAAAGCAATGGAAAACTGGCTGTTTCGATGTGTGACCACTATGGAGTAGAAGCACAGAAAAAAAAACATGGAAGAAACGAGGAAAACCGTTTATACGGTGCAACTGTAGGGATTGTGGAAGGTGCATTTGGGTAAGCGTTAGACACCCAGCTGCCCCAAAAATACCCAGCTCTGTCGACAGGACATAGGACAGCATGGGACCACTATAAAATGGAAAACTATCTCCATCCCACCCAAAAAAATACCCAGCTGCCCCAAAATACCCAGCTCCGTCGATACCAGTCTTTTTGTCGACATCCCTTGGCTTTTGGGACATGGGACAGCATGGGACCAATGGAAAACTACCAGAAAATAAGTCTTGGTCTTTGTGTCAGCATCCCTTGGCTTTGGGACGTGCCGGGCTAAAGAAAAATGTGGTGTCTTTGGGGCGATGATGGTGGGAGGATGTGGGAAGGCTGCGGCACTATAAAATGGAAACCCCCAACCCCAGGAAATCCTACCAGGAAGGGCATGTAATCTCTATAAAATCAGAGCACCCAACCCCTCAAAAACCATTCATTTTTGGATGTTGTAAGATACAGGGGGTTGGGGGTTCCTATTCTATAGTAGAAAGTTGGCTAGTTCCTTCATTTTAAGGCTAGGCTCCAGGGTACGTTGGGGCCTCCCATTTTATAGTGATGGAGGGTTTTGCAGTAAATTTGTAGCTGTAAATATTTGCTTTTTCAAATAATTTTCTTATTTTATAGAGGTGCACCTGTTTTGTGACCTTGGGTGTTTCCATTTTATAGAGGTCCCACTCCGGGGGGGGATGGGTGCCCCCGTTTTGGTACTATAAAATGGGGGCACCCAACCCCCCCACTTAATCTAGTAGGGGATGTGAAAAGTATATGGGTGAAAAGTATGTGCAAGAAGAGTTTCTGGGTGAAGAGTCTCTGGGTGAAAAAGTATGTGCAAGAAAAGTTTCTAGGTGAAGAGTCTCTGGGTGAAAAGTATATTGGTGAAAAGTATGTGCAAGAAGAGTTTCTGGGTGAAGAGTCTCTGGGTGAAAAGTATATGGGTGAAAAGTATGTGCAAGAAGAGTCTCTGGGTGAAAAGTATATGGGTAAAAAGTATATGGGTGAAAAGTAAAATTGAGGCTCCGATGTGGGACCATTATATGTGCAAGAAGAGTTTCTGGGTGAAGAGTCTCTAGGTGAAAAGTATATGGGTGAAAAGTTTGTGCAAGAAGAGTTTCTGGGTGAAGAGTCTCTGGGTGAAAAGTATATGGGTGAAAAGTATGTGCAAGAAGAGTTTCTGGGTGAAGAGTCTCTGGGTGAAAAAGTATGTGCAAGAAAAGTTTCTAGGTGAAGAGTCTCTGGGTGAAAAGTATATTGGTGAAAAGTATGTGCAAGAAGAGTTTCTGGGTGAAGAGTCTCTGGGTGAAAAGTATATGGGTGAAAAGCATGTGCAAGAAGAGTCTCTGGGTGAAAAGTATATGGGTAAAAAGATGTAAAAAGTATATGGGTGAAAAGTAAAATTGAGGCTCCGATGTGGGACCATTATATGTGCAAGAAGAGTTTCTGGGTGAAGAGTCTCTAGGTGAAAAGTATATGGGTGAAAAGTTTGTGCAAGAAGAGTTTCTGGGTGAAGAGTCTCTGGGTGAAAAGTCTGTGCAAGAAGAGTTTCTGGGTGAAGAGTCTCTGGGTGAAAAGATGTGAAAAGTATATTGGTGAAAAGTATGTGCAAGAAGAGCTTCTGGGTGAAGAGTCTCTGGGTGAAAAGTATATGGGTGAAAAGTATGTGCAAGAAGAGTCTCTGGGTGAAAAGTATATGGGTGAAAAGTATGTGCAAGAAGAGTTTCTAGGTGAAGAGTCTCTGGGTGAAAAGTATATGGGTGAAAAGTATATGGGTGGTGAAAAATATGTGCAAGAAAAGTTTCTGGGTGAAGAGTCTCTAGGTGAAAAGTATATGGGTGAAAAGTATGTGCAAGAAGAGTTTCTGGGTGAAGAGTCTCTGGGTGAAAAGTCTGTGCAAGAAGAGTCTCTGGGTAAAAGTATATGGGTGAAAAGTATGTGCAAGAAAAGTTTCTGGGTGAAGAGTCTCTGGGTGAAAAGTATATGGGTGAAAAGTATGTGCAAGAAGAGTTTCTGGGTGAAGAGTCTCTGGGTGAAAAGTATATGGGTGAAGAGTCTCTGGGTGAAAAGTATATGGGTGAAAAGTATGTGCAGGAAGAGTTTCTGGGTGAAGAGTCTCTGGGTGAAAAGTATATGGGTGAAAAGTATGTGCAAGAAGAGTTTCTGGGTGAAGAGTCTCTGGGTGAAAAGTATCTGGGTGAAAAGTATGTGCAAGAAGAGTTTCTGGGTGAAGTCTCTGGGTAAAAAGTATATATGGGTGAAAAGTATGTGCAAGAAGAGTTTCTGGGTGAAGAGTCTCTGGGTGAAAAGTCTGTGCAAGAAGAGTTTCTGGGTGAAAAATCTCTGGGTGAAAAGTATATGGGTGAAATGTATTGAAGAGTCGCTGGGTGAAAAGTATGGTGGAAAATAGGGGTAGATGGGATGCTGGCTTTTGTTCCCCCCTTCTCAGGTTGTGGGGGAATAGAATTTCATCGAATCTTACTGAATCCTACCAAAGTCTTTCGAGGACCTACTGGATGGCGATGCCGTCTTACTGGGAGGTGATCAGAATTGCATGCCGCATCTCTTTGAATAGATTGCTATGAGTCACAAAAAGCACACAGCAGGTGAACACCAAAATAGCTGGTAGATGGATGTTCATCACCCCAAAATATGGTCTGTATAGAATAGGGTTTACCCCATCTGAAGATGCTAATAGGCAAGCGAAACACCACTAGATTTATAGACCTTTTACATCCTGTTTCTGCCCAGGAAGTATTGGATGCCCATGCAACTGCAGTTCCTTGGCCTCGAGTTGGGTCTGTGAAGCCGCTAGGCCCTGCCATGCGTCATGCAGGGTGTGAACTCCTGCGAGGTGCTGGTAGATTGGGACTTGGACGTGGAAACTGGGCTTGTGAAGTACTCCTTCAGGACTCTGCTGGATTTTCCCTTGAGGCCATATTTGGGAAGCATTTTGCTGAGGATCTTCGACACAAAAGAAATGGTACCTGGTTTTGGCAAACATTTCCAATAATTGTCCAAGTGGTCCTTCCACTGTTTTTTTTTGCGAGGTGCTCCCTGTGCAGGAAGAATGGCGATGTGGACACACCACTGCTTCACTTTGCCTATGCACATCATCAGAAACTCCTGGTACAGCAGGAAATGTAACTTGGTGTTGCTTCAGCATCGAACTCCATCATGGGCAACAGTGTGAGAAAACAGTTTTCGTTTTTTGCCTCGAGATAAATTACAATATAGTTATAGTATGTTATAGTATACATCATATGACACTATATTTGCTTAGACTAGCTTAGCTTAGATTGGATCAAATAGATGCGAATATGCTCATGGCTCATCCGATTTTCTTTGAAGTTTTAAAGGCCACGGTGTCCCAGCCCCGAAGTTTGACGGACCTAGGTCGACTCTGCAGCCCATGCTGGCTCCCACCAAGGGACAGATGGCCGGGGTCATCGGGGATACCTGGCTGATGCAGATCGATATGTGTCCCGGCCGGGCCTTGGGTGAATTTCAGGGATGATGGGAAAATTTAGAAACTTCCGTATTTAATGGGAAAAACTATAGTTTCCTGTAGATTTTCCCTCAAACCAATCCATCCTAGCTTCTAGGCAACTTTCGAATCTCAAACTACGCCCCATAACATGCGTTTGGATCCAATCTTCCAAAGGGAAAGTCTACAGGAACTCCCCAAAACTGTTGGAAAAACAACATGTTTTTCTTTTAATTTTATTTATAACTATTTATAAATCTTCCCTTAGAACCACTCCCGAGATGGACATTGCAACATCAACGCAGGTCGAAGGTGAACCAGTTGGGCTTCCTCCTCCCCGGGCGGGCGGATGACTTGGCACCACTAGCGCTGGAGCAGCTGGCTGAATTCGAGGATGGATGGCGCCAGACCATTTTGAGGTTTGAGATGGGGGAGCGGTCACTGAGTGGGGATGTTGGTTTGGGGAAATGTCATACCAAACATTACCACATCAGATTTAGCGTGCCTGAGTTGGATGGTTTGACATGGTTTGGATCCAAAAAGTTCGAGAGTGATGGCAGGAGGGTCAGGCAAAGAAAATCATGAAAACGTTATAAAACGTTCATATCATTCATATCATTCATATCAGTAAATCGTGATAAATTGTGAAGATGACAGTGGTTCAGGGCGTGATTGGAAGAATGTGGAGACGAGTCTGCAATCTTCCAAAATGCCCAAACCATAGATTTCCTCAATGCCAAGTTATTCCATTCAAGTTTGGGATGCCACCCCTGCCAGGGGGAGCTACTATTTCAGTGGCAAAGGCTTTCAGAAGATCGGCTCGCTTTGCCTGTTGCTGGAGGACTTCTATGGCATCTCGGAGCTAGTTCGCGCTCCAACCCTGCATGTAACTGACAAGAAGTATCCATATGAATATCCTGACATATTGTACCATTCAACATTGTAGTATGGGATATATGTGTACAGTGTACACACATAATCATCATACATAATCATTTATCATATCCCCAGCTAGGAGTGGTGATAACCCCATTTATAACTTTGGAACTGGATCTCTGAAGATTGGTGGTTTGAATCGAATGGATTCAGCAGTTGGCTCCCCCCGCCACGAAATTCGCCACTGCCAAGGCACTAACCACCGCTACACACAGTTGTGCTCCGATATTTTGGTGAAAGGCTTCAGATGTTTCTACATCCCTGGCGAACCAGACTGTTCTGGTGCTCCGATCGGTTCGTACTATGAAAGTGAGCAGCTTGTAGCGAAGTTGGAAGGAGTCCATAGTGGGATAGAAATCCCAGGCATAGTTAAAATGTCAGTTGAACCAAACTACCATCACTATCCAGGACTATCCATATTCATGATGATCATGATGGTTCACCCAAGTTCACATTTCCATGTCGTCTGAAACCACCAGGTGGGGTGGCATTGCCAGCAAGGAGGGCTTCGGGGACAGCGGTTGCCGCACCGCGGATTTCGGCAACGCCTGCTACAACGACCATCACTTCCATTTTGGTTACTTCGTTGTGGCTGCTGCCATGCTGGTGAAATTGAGACCCGAATATGCTTCGGATGTAGCCTTCACGTCTTATGTGGAGACCTTGATCCGGGATACCACCAATCCCAGTATCGAGGACTCGTTCTTCCCTGCCTTTCGCTCCTTCGATTGGTTTGATCTACACTCCTGGAGTCGAGGAGTTGTGCCCAGCCCCGATGGCAAGGAGCGTTGTTGTTCTGATGGGGAGCAGCCCAGGTGGTTTATTCAGAAGGGATTTACCAAGGTATCACTAGGTTGAGGATCCCCTTTTTTGATCAACTGGGTGATCCGGAGCTGACATGTGCAAAACCACAAAAAATTATGTTCCTCTCAGATCAGTGAAGTTTCCCACAGCTGTCACAACTACCCTCTGGTAATTTAACATAGCTATGGAAAATCACCGTTTTTAATGGGAAAATCCACTATAAATGGCCATTTTCAATAGCTATGTTAGTTTACCAGAGGGTACAACCTTTTGCTACACTGGGGTTGCTGCAGGATCAAGAATCCACCTCAGAGGAGCTGAATTTACTCTACGGAATCCAGCTCCATTGGCTGCGAGGGTTTTGGGTGGCCACGAAGTCAGGATGGGTTTTGGGTGGAGACTCTGCTATTTCTTGATTGACATAAGCAAAACACATCACAAATTCACCAAATATGTCCCAACATGTTGTATTCACCCCGCTTCGCGTGGGGTGGCCGCCCACACCGCAGGTTTATTTCGGTCCGTGAGAGGGGAAAAAACCGGTCGAAAACATCATGTTCGACAATGCTTCCAATTGGGGCTTCCCAAGCTAAGCAATTTTCACTTTTCCCCCCCGTAGAGGCTTCCCAGGCGAGCCGTGGAGGCTTCCCAAGCTAGGGAATTTTCGCTTTTCCCCCCGTGGGGGCTTCCCTCCCCAAGCTAGGGAATTTTCACTTTTCCCCCCCGTGGGGGCTTCCCAAGCTAGGGAATTTTCACTTTTCCCCGCCGTGACAGCTTCCCAAGCTATGGAATTTTCACTTTTCCCTCCCTTGGAGGCTCTCCAAGCTGCGGAATTTCAAATAGCTAGACAACGACGCCTAGATAGTCCCCCAAATCCCGTGTTCTTTGAATGTGTTTCCATGTTTTTGCAATGGTTTCCTTCAAAGCACGGTACTTTACACTTTTGTCGCCATAAAACCGGTCGAAAACATCATGTTCGACAATGCTTCCAATTCCCTTATCTCCCCAACCGTTGAAAATACCGCTATTTACAGTGTTTTCTTCAATTTTTCCATGTTCCAATGCCGGTAGCCAACTCCAACATATATATAAGAAATCCTTCCAAAACATTGTTTTTGACAGTGTTTTTCCAATGTTTCCAGTCAAACAGACGGTAATTTACACGTTTTTTGCCATAAAGGCAGTAAATCCTTCCAAAACATTGCTTTTGACAGTGTTTTTGTAATGTTTCCAGTCAAACATACGGTAATTTACACGTTTTTTGCTATAACGTCAGTCCAAAACACTTGTTTTTGCAGTGTTTTCAATGCTCTGGCATCCAAAAACCCTGCAAAATCTTGCTATGTACAATGTTTTTTTCATTTTTGGCCGTTTTTCCATTGCCGGAAAGCTACCAAAATGACCCAAAATTCCATTTCAATACCCTCTTGCGCTCAGACACCCAAAAATCCTCGAAAAATGTCGAAAACACCACCGAATTCTGGTCTCGGTGCGAAACCGTTTTTGCCCCCCCCCAGCTAAAGCTGATATAGCGACTGCTATATTAACAAATGTGATTGAGCATTTAGTGTAGCTGTTTCCCCCCAATAAGCACGCCTTCACCGCCAAAGGGGTGTGGGCGGATTTCTTGGAAAAGGCCTGGACCCATAGCGCCTGACGCGTTTTTTCTTGCCAACTAAGGTTGTGGGGCAGGGTGACTCGGGTGGGCGGTAAGTTGGAGCAGCTGGGTGCCACGATGCTAGCGCTCTGCATCATGACGGCCCCTTGGCTATTCCTGTGCCATGTGTGGGCTGGGGTTATGTGCAGGTCTCATCAGGGACATGCAAACTTGGTTTCTACAGCACACTAGTTTGGTCCAGCACCAGCCTGAGCTTCACTAGGGTGGAGATTTTATAACGACTCACCAGACTCATCAGAAGAGTCAACCCCAAGTTTGCTTCGACCCCCTCCAAAAACATCAAACACCCACCGAGGGCCACCCTGACTCTTGTGTCCAGCACTGGGTGAACGGATCTCAATCCATCCAAGGTGCAGGAATTCTTTTTGATGAAGGTTGACAACTTGCATCACCCCAAAGACTTTGCTCAGAATCACGTGACTGGAATCTTCTTCCAAAACAAGGTGGACTATGCCACATGGTTTGGCTGGAAGATCGAATACATCCATGGAATCCAGATGCTTCCCTTAACTCCAGCCTTAGTCTTGGCCAGAAGTCCCGAGTTCTGCCAAGAGGAGTGGGATCATATCCTCTCGAAACTTCCACTTCCTGCAACTGATCCATGGACTTCGATCATCATCACAGGTACTTTGGCCATCATCAATTCCACCTTAGCCTCCGATTACATGGTGACTGCTGCCGTAGACGATGGTCTGACCCGTGTTTGGGCGCAGTACTGGATTCGCACTGCGCAGGAAAGCCATCGGTTATTCTTTTCAACAACTACTTCTACAACCAGGACATCCCTGTCAACATCGACTTTCACACAGCTTTCGACATCTTTCCGGTCCAGTGCAGATGGGACAACAGAGAAATGGGGCCAGGAAAGCTCTGGTACAGACCACCTGGCGCAGAGTGTCTTTCTTCTCCTTGCTTTTCTGTGCAAAGAGCTTTTAGATTTCAGATAATGTCAGCAGTGGCGCGTGTCTTACAACTAGGTGACCTTTCAGACACAAGGCCAGTCCTTATTTTCATGAAACTTCTTTTGGAGGCTGATTTGAGATGCGCCGGTGTGGGCCAGCGCAGCTGTGCCAATAGGCTAATACCACGAATTGAAGCTCCAACTGTGTAGCGACCAACTGCGCAAAGTGCAGCGGTTGTGAAGCACAGTGGAGGCAGTGAAAGTCTGCCGGCTCCCCACTTTTGGAAACTGATCCCATCTCCCTTATTATTGCCTCGAAAGAGGCTACGGGTGCATACATTTTTTTCTTTTGGGGAATCAGAGGTAAGTAGTCTGAATAACATATCTGAACTATTTTCTTGAATGATCGGGAGAAGGGAAACCATACTGGAGTAGTTGCTGAGAGGCCAAGACAAAGATTTCCGTGTGAACTTCGCAGACTTTCACAATGCAATTTTTGTGAATTCGATCACGACTGGGTCAGCTGCCTAGTGCACCACCACGGTGCAATACTGACACATCCAATTCGGCATAGCTGTGATGGCCGTGCCTTGATTCCTTGAAAGTTGCAATCGTTCCCTGTTTTGGTGCAAACTCTCTGACAAAGAGGCTTTTCAGAGATGCTGTTTGCAAAAAAAGAAGCAGCTTCAGTGCCGAACCTGGCCTCCCTGGCCTCCCTGGCCTCCCTGGCCTCCCTGGCCTCCCTGGCCTCCCTGGCCTCCCTGGCCTCCCTGGCCTCCAGGGGTCCCAGTGTATTCTTGCGCCCAAGTTTTTGCCCAGGTCCAAAGTTGGAGACCGGGCCCAGGCCCAACCGCCACTGGCCGTTTGAAAGTGCAGCTGTGACAACGGATCCAGTGATGTTTGACCTTGGCGTAGATGGAAGATTTCCACGATGGCAGTTGAATGATCTCAATAATAGAAAGCTGAGTTGCACTTCTCCCACGTTCTCAGTTGCATTTCATCGCTGTTTGGGCTCAACAGTTTCAAGTCGAAGCTGTACAAAAAGTCTTGGTATCTGACCGTGTCCCGCCGTGTCTTTGTGCTTTGCGATGACCGCGATGACCAGCACGGACTTTGAGGTTTTGACCAACGATGCTCGGTCTACGGCCAGTTGGAACGTGGTGGAGGGATCCGTCAGTGGTCTGCAAGCAGAGGCCTAGACCTGGGGACGTGAGGGAAATTTGGCCGAGAACTGTGGGTTTTTGACAGTGGAGTTAAACCCACAGGGGATGAGAACACAATGAGATCCAGTGGGTACTGGATCGGCCAGGTCAGCTGGTGCCAAGCTCGTTGGTTTGAGCCCCAAGTCATCAAAAATGGACCTCCCTGCCAGTGTCCCACATGGAACATCCTGGATTTTGGAGTTATCTTTCAACCCAGTTACACCCGCAGGGAAAAAATGGGAAACAAGTCCACTGTACCCGCAGGTGGCGTTGGAGCGGGATGTCATGGCATTCCCTGCAGATGACGTGAAGGCCGTTCTCTCTGTGGTTGCCCCACGTGTGGATGACAGTCACCGGGCCCCCTTGCGGCTGGTGGCAGTGCTGGACAAGTCTGGCTCCATGAATGGCGAGAAGATCCGCTTGGTGAAACAGACCATGATTTTCATGTTGCGATACCTGTCCGACAAAGATGCCTTGGGTGTGGTGGAATATGGCTCGGATGTCAAAGTGGTGGCGCCGCTGACGCTTTGCGACCAAGATGGACGAACACGACTTCAGCATGCAATCGAAAGGATTCAAATCAGCGGGCAACTCGATCGATAGAACCTCCAACTCTAAGGTTTTACGATATTTCATTCATTTTCATTCATCCCTTCTGCATTGTTTCTCCCAAGAGATTTACTGTCTGCATCTTTTTTGCTGAGTTGTGGGAAGTGAATTTTGTGGACGAAGCCGCGCCATCCAAGGCAGACCAACCTGTCAGGTGGTTTGATCAAGGGTCTGGAGCTGCATAAAGACAATCCGCGCCACGTGGCCGCTGAAGCTCCAAAGCAGCCAGTGAAGGCCGAACCAAGCACCAGATGATTGCCAGAACCAGGGTACTAGGTAGATTAGGTAGTGGCGAGAAATTCGGCTTTCTGAAGATCTGAGGCATATTTCACATGAGATTCTGGAAGGCTTTTTGGAAAAGAAAAACACTTTCCCAAACTGTCCCAAACCTTTCTGAAGATTTCCGTCCAAAACCAGAGATTGTTCACATTCAGCATGAAAAATCCCACGTTTCACCAGGTGGGCAACACCTACCGCCGCATGACGCCCGAAGAAGCGAAGGACAAGGTCGAGCGCGGCGAACACTTCGGACACCCGGAGGCGGCCATGCCATCGGATGCCGAACGCGTCCACGAGTGGACCATGGCCTTGCGCTTTGCGCCAGAAGATCAGAAGTTGGTGAAGAAGGCTGGGAGTTCGGATTCACCAATGGAAGAAACTGTGAAGTCAGGATTTTGATAGTAAACCCCTATGAAAATAGGAGAAGTGTGGAATAGTACCAATTTTGATCATACTTGAAATTTACTATTTTGCTGGGTAACCCCCGATCAATTCAATCAGGTCGTGGCTATTAATCTGGGGGTGCCACTGGATGTTTTGGATGTTCCAATGACTCCGAGAAGATGGGTTTTGCCGTGCCACTACAGCCATACCCATCTTCTGTGCATTTTCATTTGACCTTTGACTAAGATCTTCACGTAAATAAAATAACATCTCTGAAACTTAATGTAGTTTTAGGATGTTTCAGGATGTTTCAGGTAGGCTAGAAGCCACTTCCATGATATATCTTCAAAAAGAACCAGTCACAGTGAGTTGTTTCCAGGTGGTGTTCAAACTTCATGAGACCTTCCGTGACCCCGTGGTGGAAGTGACAACTGCTCCGTTTGAGCTGAAGCGCTTCGGATGGGGCACCTTCATGGTGAAGGTCGTCATCCACCTGCAGGACGGTCGTCAGGTGGAGACCAGCCACATGTTGTGCTTCGACAAACCCGAGACCTTCCGCACCGTGCTGCTGCCATTGCGCAGCCCTGAAGCAACAGGTCGAAGTGAGTCGTTTTGGGGCTTATGTGGCAAGTCCTCAACAGATCAAGGCAGCGAATTCACCGTGGAAACCAGGGAATTCCTGGTGGAAACCAGGGAAGCAGTGGTTCGCTCCACGTTCCTGTTTACCGATGGTCATGCCAATATGGGAATCACCAAGACTGAGGACCTGTGTCAAGCAGCCAGCGGCTTACTGGGAGAGTTGAAGGAATACAAAAGCAGCATCTCCACCTTTGGCTTCGGTGCTGATCACAATGCGGATATGCTGCGATGCTTGGCAGATACCACCACGGATGGGACCTACAGCCACGTGGAATCAGAAGATCAGATTGCTGAGGCCTTTGGTGAAGCCTTGGGAGGCCAGAACTTGAAACGGCTATACTGGACATATCATTTTCGAAGGATCTAAGTGTTCCTTCAATTCCAAATGTTTGCTGTTCATGTATTTAATATGTTTATTTTGTGTTTTGGTGGGCCAAAAGGTTTCTTTGGTCCTGAACTTGCAGGTTTGTTGTCCACGACCCATCAAAACGTCTCCTTGATGCTTCAGTTGGCCCCCAATGTGACCTTCTCCCGCGCGTACAGTTCCTTCAAACCCACGGTGGAACATGGCGTGGTAACGCTTGAGCTGGGCGATCTGTTCTCAGAGGAACGGCGTGATATCTTGGTATCTTTGAGGTGCGGTGAAGGTTTGATGAGTGACTGGCACACTTCCTGTTTGTTTCAAAGAAATCCCAGTTGGCTGATGGTTTGATATGAGTAACTGAGTAACCGACAAAATTATTGTAAAACTAATTTAGTCTTGCTTTGCCTTGGCCTTACTGAGGGGTGTGCAAAAAGCCTTGATTACCGGCAGGGGACCACCCTATACCGATACCCCTGTCTTGCATGAGTCGACTCAAAGTGTAAGAACGCAGAAATCCTCACCACGGATAGGGGACGACCCTAATTTGTGCATGGCATGAAAACTGAAAATGAGCAACCAATTTTGTCATATTTGGTCCGCTATTGATATGTTTTGCTTAGAAAAGGAATTTGAGGATAAAACAAACAAATGAAAAATGATGAACGAACCTATAAAGCAAATAGGCAGAACCAACCTATCTTCCATTTTTCCAAGGCCTTCCATTTTCGCATCACCCCTTGGAGGCTTCCAGACAGCACCAGCGCTGAGGGTCGCTTGGAAGCGATCGGGCGCCTGGAGGCGCGCGGCTTCTCAGTGATCTCTAAACGCAGCGAGACCAGCAGCAAGGCCGTGATGATCGAACGCCGTGCGGTGGTGGAGAAGTCCCAGATGAACCACCAGGTTGGGCCGATTTACTGCTGGTTTTAGCCATCAAAAGTATATGCATTCACGAAAGCCAGCCGCTAGGCTAGGCGAAGTTTTTTTTGCGAACAAAGTGAGTTTAGGGGGTTTGGGGGCAGAACGTTCCTAACGGCCACTAAATCACGAAATTAGGTTGTAAAAAAGGCGGACGCAGGTGAACTTTTTTAGGGTTATGTACCAGGTGGCAATTGGGTGACGGTGGGGTATCGATTCCCCCCTGGTCCGTCCTCCGATCTGGACTTGGGGAGATTGCAATGGAGGGGAAAATGATGAGAAAAACAATGGAAAAAATGAGGGAATATTACGTAAAACAATGGGAAAACAATGGAAAATTTGAGTAGAACGCTTGGAAAATTGATTAAAACGCAAGGAAAAACGGTGGAAACAATGGGGAGGGGGTAAAATGATGCCAAGTAAAATTGAGGCTCCGATGTGGGACCATTATCGCGTAAAGCACGCGTGAAACAATGGAAAAGCAATGGAAGAATTGCGGTTTCGATGTGTGACCACTATGGAGTAGAAGCACGGAAATAAAACCATGGAAGAAACGAGCAAAACCGTTTATACGGTGCAACGGTAGGGATTGTGGGAGGTGCATTTGGGTAAGCGTTAGACACACTGAGGTAACATAAGGGTAAAATCGAGCAAAACCCTAGCAAAATTGAGCAAAACCATGGAAAAATCGATCAAAACCGCGGAAAAATTGAATAACACCATGGAAGAATCGAATAAAAAAATGGAAAAATCTGGGAAAACCATGGAAAAATGGAGTGAAATGTTGGGAAAATCGCGGAACATGGTTTGCCGTCGGAGGTGCGTTTGGGGAGGCGTTAGAACACTGGAATCGAAGGGAGTGCCTAAGCAGATTCTGTCAGTAGTTGGGCTTGTTCTTGTCGACTTGTGTTTGTTGGGCTCTGATGTGGGACAATTATGAGGAAAAGGCATTGCTTGATGGTCCGTCCTCGGAGGTGCATTTGGGGAGGCGATAGATGGAATCGAAGGGAGTCAGAGGAAAAGGCATTGCTTGATGGTCACAAGGATTAGAAGCAACTTCTGCCAGTAGTTGGGCTCCGGTGTGGGACCATTATGGTCGCAAGGATTAGAAGCAATTTCTGTCAGTTACGATGCTTTGGGAAAGACTGGAATAGAAGGGAGTCAGAGGGAAAGGCATTACTTGGAAAGGTTGCGGAAGGATGTGGATGAGATTGTTCCCGTCGACTTGTATTTGTTGGGCTCCGATGTGGGATCATTACGGTCGCAAAGATCAGAAGGAACTTCTGTCAGTATAGGATGCTTTGGGAGAGACTGGATAGAAGGGAGTCAGAGGAAAAGGCATTGCTTGAGGAACTTCTGAGGAACTTCTGTCAGTATAGGATGTCGACGAGAATGTAGCCATCATGAGCCATCTACTTGTATTTATTGGGCTCCGATGTGGGACCATTATGTTCGCAAGGATTAGAAGGAATTTCTGTCAGTATAGTTGGGCTCCGATGTGGGATCATTGTGGTCGCAAGGATTTGAAGCAACTTCTGTCAGTAATCGATGCTATGGGAAAGACTGGAAGGTGGCCGGAGGATGTGGATGTGATTGTTCTCGTCGACTTGTATTTGTTTAGCTCCGATGTGGGACCATTACGGTCGCAAAGATCAGAAGGAACTTCTGTCCGTATAGGATGCTTTGGGAGAGAGTGGAATAGAAGGGAGCCAGAGGAAAAGGCATTGCTTGCGGAACTTCTGAGGAACTTCTGTCGGTATAGGATGTCGACGAGAATGTAGCCATCTACGTTGATTTTTTGGGCTCCGATGTAGGACCATTATGGTCGCAAGGGTTAGAAGGAATTTCTGTCAGTATAGGTGGGCTCCGATGTGGGACCATTATATAGTCATAAGGGTTGGAAGGAACTTCTGTCAGTATAGGTGGGCTCCGATGTGATTGTGGTCGCAAGGGTTAAAAGGAACTTCTGTCAGTATAGGATGTGGGCGAGAATGTACTCGTCGACTGGGGTTCCGATGTCGGACCATCATGGTCGTAAGATGTCGTAAGGATTTGAAGCAACTTCTGTCAGTATACGATGCTTTGGGAAAGACTGGAATAGAAGGGAGTCAGGGGAAAAGGCATTGCTTGGAATTGTCGCTGGAGGATGTGGACGAGACTGTAGTGGCCGACTTGTATTTGTTGGGTTCTGTCGGCACGGGATGTGAAATCAGCAAGCTTTGGAAAGGGGTGTTAACATAGCAGAAGATGCGACTGCTGCGTCGGCTCCGTCAATGCTTTTTGTATTTTTTTGTGAAATTAGGAAGCTTTGGAAAGGGGTGACGAAAATATGAGGTGAGGAGGGCAGAGGTAAGGGTCCGTGAATGGAGGCGCAGTCGCTATGGAGAAAAAACTTGTGTTGGTATAAGATGTGAAATTAGGAAACTTTGGAAAGGGGTGATGAAAATATGAAAATATGAGCGTAAGGATCCCTGAAAGTCTGAGGGCGAAAAGTTTGCAGGTGAAAAGCCTGTGGGTGAAAAGTCTATGGGTGAAAAGTCTGTGGAAGAAGAGTCTCTGGATGAAGAGTCCCTGGGTGAAAAATATGGGTGCAACGTGTATGGGTGAAAAGTCTGTGGGTGAAAAATTATGACAACGCTGTGCGTGAAAAAATCTGTGGGTGAAAAGTCTCTGGGCGAAAAGTGTGTGGGTGAAAAGTGCGCGGGTGAAAAGTCCGTCGGTCAAAAGTATATGGGTGAAACGGGTATGGGTGCAAAGCCTGAGGGTGCAAAGTCTGTGGGTGAAAAGTCTGTGGGTGAAAAGTCTGTGTGCGAAAAGTGTATGGGTGAAAGTCTGTGTGTGAAAAGTATATGGTTGAACAGCCTTGGGCGTGAAAAGTATATGGGTGAAAGACGGTGGGTGAAAAGTCTGTGGGTGAAAAGTATATGGGTGACAAGTCTGTGGGTGAAAAGTATGTGGGTGAAAAGCCTATGGCGAAAGACTCGCTGGGTGAAGGGTCTCTGGGTGAAAAATATATAAGCGAAAAGTCTGTGGATGAAAGGTCTGCGGGTGATAAGTCTGTGGGTGAAAAGTGTGGGTGAGAGGTTTATGGTTGAACAGTCCGTAGGTGAACAGTCTGTGGGTGAAAAGTCCGTGGGTCAAAAGTATATGGGTGAAACAGGTATGGGTGAAAAGTCTGAGGGTGCAAAGTCTGCGGGTGAAAAATCTGTGGGCGAAAAGTGTATGGGTGAAAGTCTGCGGGTGAAAAGTCTGTGGGTGAAATGTCTATGAGTGAAAAGTCTGTGGGTGAAAAGTTTCTGGGCGAAAAGTGTATGGATGAAAAAGTACATGGACGAAGAAGAGTTTATGGGGGCAAAGTCTGAGGGTAAAAATTATATTGTTGAAGAGTCTCTGGGTGGAAAATCTGGGGGTGAAATGTATATGGTTGAAAAGTCTGTGGGTGAAAAGTATATGGGGGGAACAATCTGAGGGTAAAAAGTACATTGGTGAAGAGCCTCTGGGTGAAAAGTCTGTGGGTAAAAAGTGTGTGGGTGAAAAGCCCGTGGGTCAAAAGTATGCAGGTGAAACGGGTATGGGTGAAAAGTCTGAGGGTGCGAAGTCTGTGGGTGAAAAGAGCGCGGGTGAAAAAAAAGTGGGCAAAAAATGTATTGGTGAAAACCCCTGGGTGAAGATTATATGGTTGAACAATCGAAAAATAATATATATATATATATTATATTAATATGTGAAAGTCTGAGGGTGCAAAGTCTGTGGGTGAAAAGTCTGTGGGTGAAAAGGCTGTGTGCGAAAAGTGTATGGGTGAAAGCCTTTTGGTGAAAAGTATATGGTTGAACAGCCTTGGGTGAAAAGTATATGGGTGAAAAGCCTGTGGGTGAAAAGTCTGTGGGTGAAAAGTCTGTGGGTGGAAAACCTGTGGGTGAAGAGTCTCTGGGTGAAAAGTCTGTACAAGAAGAATCTCTGGGTGAAGTGTCTCTGGGTGAAAAGTATGTGGGTGAAAAACCCGTGGGTGAAGAGTATATGGGGGAAAAGTCTGTGGGCGAGAAGTGTATGGTTGAGCCGTCTGTGGGTGAAAAGTATATGGGTGAGAAGTATGGGTGAAAGACTTCGGGTGAAAAGTCTGTGGGTGAAAAGTATCTGGGTGAAAAGTCTGTGGGTGAAAAATCTTTTGGGGAAAATAGGGGTAGGTGGGATGCTGGCTTTCGTTTCCCCCCTTCTCAGCTTTTCAAGAACCAAAATCCGGCTCCAACCTTTGTTTTTGAGCAACTTTTAGATTAGTGGGTAATTTTCAGTTTATTCAATTTGCCATCATTGTACCTGGGGTGTCGGGAACAAAGAGATTTTACTCTGTTTGATGGATGTTATGATTGTGATGATAGTATCCGTGGACAATGTCTCCCTTCACAAACAAACGGGTTCAAGTAACAACCGAGAAATTTGAGCGGAATATTTGGAATTCGTTGGATGCTTGTTACCTTTCCTGACCCAGACGACGACCTAGGCCCTTCAAAAGGTTGCGGCAGTTCAACATGTTTTTTCATGTTGACCTTCCGAATTTATGGAATCTTCCTTTGGGGTTGATTATAGGGATCAGGATCCCCAAAATCAAACAAATAGACGATACACACTGACACATCATCATTTTCCGTTTAAACATTGCCATTTTGGTGTGTTTTTTCCCATGTTTTGCGACATCTTGATGCGTTCATGGTCCACGTTAGGTGGAACTTCATTGGAACCGCTACGTGACCAACGAGGCCTTGGAGAATGCTCGCATGGTGGCAGACCGGGGGGACCTGAAACAGGCCAGGGAAATCTTGGATGCAGCCAGCGTTACGTTGGGAGCATCTCCACTGGTGATCAATGGGGATCCCATTTGCTTGGGCTTGTTGAGTGATCTGCAGGAGGGGGTCGAAAAACACATCTGACAAAAAATGGCCATGTTTGGCCCAAGAATTCTTAGAGGTACAAACATGGTACAACCATGGTTCAACCAACCCCTTGTTTTTTTGCATGATTTTTTGGGTAGTCAACTGATGATGAAAAGGATGTCTCATCCCGGTTGCGAGATGCCTTCCAGGACTGCCTGGGAGATTTGCAGCATCGCGATGACTACTTCCAGAAGGGTTCCAAGAAAATGGCGATGATTCAAGGCATGCATGCCAAGCAACGGGCCACCCATGGTGCGAACACCAGCATGTACACCAATGCAGTGATGAAGGAGTATCGTGCAGCCTTCAAGATGGGTATTGCTTAGTACCTTTGCTGAACGTCAGCGTTTAGTGAAGCGAGGTGCACTGTGCAGACTCTGTGTGCACTCGCTGCGAGCGAACTTGTGCAGTGGTTCTTCTTGCTCGCAAGCTGACTTGTGCGAAGACACAAAAGGTGTCGAAGGAAAAATGTGCTGGGAGGTAGACGATACAGGGATTATATATATCAAGCATACATAAGCATACCACAAAGCTGCAATACCTTTGTCGGGAGGCTATTCCTTTTGGCGCAGTTTGCCGCAGTTTTGTCCCTTGGAATTTTGCAGGTGAATATTTTCGGACTTGGGGAGTAAATCGATGTAAATCGTATTCCATGTTCCTACCTCTTCGACGCCAGTGAATTCCGGTTAAAGGTACATTGCAAGCCTTGCTTGCAAGCTGGCTAGCTAAGACCCAACAACAGATGCATGTCATAATGCCCTTGATGTTGCGACAATTTGATTCTTCAAATGCAGCTGGAGGTTTGTAATTCCCACTGGCACCTGGCAACAGTGTCCCTTGAGCCCATCACATTTCAACAGATGTCGTCTGTACCAGGCTAGCTTCAGACCTCCGAGACAGATTGCTGAGAAAAGAGAGTTGGCCGGATATCAGGAGGCTTTCCGAATCTCAACAAAAAAATCTGGTAATTGATCTTGCGGCCGGAAGCAGGAAGTTTTCTTGCAAGTTTTTTGTTATACATATATATATATATGTATATGTAATATAATATAATATAATATAATATTATAATATAATATAATAGAATATAATATTATAATATAATATAATAGAATATAATATAATACAAGGTGCATATAATATAATTCCCCAGATAGCTGGAAGCTATAGGGGTTCTTGCTTCTCAAAGGTCAGGTCTTCGGTGGCGAACTTTGTGGCGAAGTCTGGCAAAGGTGCTGTGCAGGGTGCCGTGCGGGGTGCTGTGCAGGGTGCTGTCCAGAGTACGGTGGCGAAGTCTGGCAAAGGTGCTGTGCAGGGTGCTGTGCGGGGTGCTGGGGAAGGTGCTGTCCAGAGTGCAGTGGCGAGATCTGGCAAAGGTGCTGTGCAGGGTGCTGTGCGGGGTGCTGGGGAAGGTGCTGTCCAGAGTGCAGTGGCGAGATCTGGCAAAGGTGCTGTGCAGGGTGCTGTGCGGGGTGCTGCGGGGTGCTGCGGAGGGTGCTGTCCAGTGCGGTGGCGAGGTCTGGCAAAGGTGCTGTGCAGGGTGCTGTGCGGGGTGCTGTGCAGGGAGCTGTCCAGAGTACGGTGGCGAAGTCTGGCAAAGGTGCTGTGCAGGGTGCTGTGCGGGGTGCTGGGGAAGGTGCTGTCCAGAGTGCAGTGGCGAGATCTGGCAAAGGTGCTGTGCAGGGTGCTGTGCGGGGTGCTGCGGGGTGCTGCGGAGGGTGCTGTCCAGTGCGGTGGCGAGGTCTGGCAAAGGTGCTGTGCAGGGTGCTGTGCGGGGTGCTGTGCAGGGTGCTGTCCAGAGTACGGTGGCGAAGTCTGGCAAAGGTGCAGGGTGCTGTGCGGGGTGCTGCGCGTGGTGCTCTCCAAAGCGTACGGTGGCGAGGTCTGGCAAAGGTGCTGTGCAGGATGCTGTGCAGGATGCTGTGCAGGATGCTGTGCAGGGTGCGGGGTGCTGCGCATGGTGCGGTGCAGGGTGCTGTGCCGGCTGCTATCCAGTAGTGCGGTGGCGAGGTCTGGCAAAGGTGCTGGGCAAAGGTGCTGCAGGGCAGTGCGCAGGGTGCTGTGCAGGGTGCTGTGCAGGGTGCTATACAGGCTGTGCAAGCTGTGCGGGTGAGGCTTGGCAAAGGTGTTGGGCTGTCCGGGATGAGGCTGCTGCTGACAGTGCGGTGGCGAGGTCTGGGAGTGTGCAGGGGTGAGGTGTTCGTCGCAAGTGAATGGCAGACCTGTGCTGGCTGCTGTCCGGAGTGCGGTGGCGAGGTCTGGCAAAGCTGTGCAGGCTGTCCAAGGTGTGGTGGCGATGTCTGGCAAAGGTGCTGTGCGGGCTCCTGTGCAGGCTGCTGTGGGTGCTGCGGTGGCGAAGTCTGGCAAAGATGCTGTGCATGTCTGGCAAGGGCAGCCTGTGCAGGGTGCTTGGGAACCAGCAAGTCCTCGAACTGTGCACCCGTGGTTTCAAGATTGAAAAGAATTTTGTTTCCAACGTTTGAGAACCGCTAGTTCTTAGAACTGAGCACCCGTGGTTCCAAGATTGGGAAGCATTTTAGGTTCCAACGTTTGAGAACCGCTAGTTCTTAGAACTGGGCACCCGTGGTTCCAAGATTGGGAAGCATTTTGTTCCAACGTTTGACAACCGCTAGGTCCTAGAACTGGGAACCCGTGGTTCCAAGATTGGGAAGCATCTGTTGGGAACCCGCGGTTCCAAGATTGGGAAGCATTGGCTCCAATGTTTGAGAAGTGCTTGTTCCTAGAACTGGGAACATGTGCTTCCAAGATTCGGAAGCATTGGTTCGGTCTTTTGGGAACCAGCAGTTTTCGAACTGGGAACCCGTGGTTCCAAGATTGGGAAGCATCGACTCCAATGGTTGGGAACCGCTAGTTCTTAGAACTGGGGACATGTGCTTCCAAGATTGCTTGGGAACCAGCAGTTCCTCGAACTGGGAAGCCGTTCGTCACTTTTTTTTTGAATATTTATTACTTTACGTGATTGGCCAATATGTTTGGTTTAATCACGCGCCTTCTTTTTGCGGTCGGTCACTATTGGCAGGCCTATTGCGAACGCATCGATGGTACCGGACCAATCAGCAAAACAAAGCGATTTTTTTTATAGAACATGTTTTTCATGTCGGTCCAATATGCAGCACTTGTTTTCCACCAGTGCCTTTCTTGATGCCGGCCCATTAAACAAAACCATGGCCGCTTTTTTCATACAACATCTTGGTCTTGCACATATGCGTTGGGTCAACATCAAAATGCATGTATAAACATCTTTTTTGGCGGACCACTGAGCAAAACAGCAAAGGCTTATTGCAGAAGTTTTTGTTCAATCGGATGCCAAGGTTACAACCTTTTCAATCGCAGTTCTTGGAAATGAAACTCGTGTCAAAACTCGGAAACATAGCCCAACCCTTGGGAAGCCCAAATTCTCGCAAATAGGACTGCGAAGCTTTCAAGTTACAAGACAATTATTTCAACTTTTGGGAACCCAAAATTCCTTTGAACTTGAAACCCACCAATCTTTGGAGACCGGCGTTTCCCCGAATTGGGAACCCGCGGTTTCAAATTTCAAAGCATTCGTTCCAGCGTTTCGGAATCGGAAATTCCTAAAACTGGGAATTTACAGTTCCGAGCATCAGAAGCATTGATTCCAATCTTGGGAACCAGCAGTTCCTGGAACTGTAGACACACGGTTCCAAGATTGGAAAGCATTGGTTCGAATGTTTGAAAAACGGTAGTTCCTAGGTCCTAGAATTTGGAACCAGTGGGAACTGCCAGTTCCTAGAACTGGCAACCCGTGGTTCCAAGATTGGGAAGCATCGGTCCCAATGTTTGGGAACCGCCAGTTCCTAGAACTGGGTCCAAAATTGGGAAGCATTGGTTCGAACCTTTGGGAACCAGCAGTTCCTCGGGTTCAAAGATTGGGAAGCATGGGTTCCAACGTTTGGAACCATCAGTTCCTCGAACTCGGAACCAGTGTTCGGGCAGCATTGGTTCCAACTTTTGGGAACCGCGAGTTTCTAGGATTGGGAACCCGCGGTGCCAAGATTGGGAAGCATCGGTTCCAATGTTTTGGAACCGCCAGTTCCTAGAATCTAGAGTTGGGAACCCGCGGTTCCAAGACTGGGAAGCATCGGTTCTAATGTTTGGGATTCGCAAGTTCCTCGAATGTTGAACCCGTGGTTCCAAGATTGGGAAGCATTGGTTCCAATGTTTGGGAACATGCTTGGGAACTGCTTGTTCCAAGAACTAGGAACCCATAGTTCCAAGATTGGGAAGCATTGGTTCGAACCTTTGGGAGCTAGCAGTTCACCAAACTGGGAACCCGTTGTTCCAAGATTGCGATGCATTGGCTACAATGTTTGGGAACCGCTAGTTCCTAGAACTAGGAGCATGTGCTTCCAAGATTGGGAAGCATTGGTTCGAACGCTTGCGAACCAGCAGTTCCTGAAACTGGGAGCCCGTGTGCCAATGATTTCCAATTCTTGGGAATATACTACAATTTATAGCAGGGGGTCACCGGGGTCGGTGACCAACGAAGACACCTCCCCGGGACCCGTGAAAACGTACCTGCGGGGCTTTGGTGGTGCACCTGGGCGCATTTAAGTCGCAGCTGGTGGCCACCTTAACCCATATATATATATATATCATACACATCTAATCTAATTGCATGTTACAGGATTCAGTTCCTGACGGATCACTACAATGATCCAGTTCTTGTCTAGTGTGTGTGTGTGTGCTCTCTGGACACAGTTTGCTTTTTGGAAACCCGGCTGCACTAAGATAAAACACCATTTGACTCCACCATGCCATTGCCATTTAGCGCTGACTACAACGCTTCATCTTTTTGTTTTATGATCGGAAGATAGCACTTTCGTAGTAATTATGCCTTACTGTTGGACAGACCAGACCAATACATGGCTTGTTCGATTTGATCAGACACCCCAAAAAGAATTCTGCTTACTTTGCTTGCCTTTGCGATATCTGCATGGCGGCTTACATGTGACTATGGTCAGCGACAAGGTGCAAATGAGAGTTTCTTTGAGGTGCAAAAAATATTATTATATATATATATGCAATATAGCCGCAGTATATACATATGATATACATATGATATACATATGATATACATATGATATACATATGATATACATATGATATACATATGATATACATATGATATACATGGTCCTTTTTTGGAGTCTTCAGGGTGCAATTTGACAGATCGCCCCGGGGATCCGAAGCCATGAGGCTTGGCCCAAGCCCAGCCGCTCGCCGCTCGCGCCGCGTGCCGCCATGGCGCTGGATTTGGGCCTGTGGATGTCCATCTGGCACATTGCAGTCGCAGGTGTGGGGGTTGACCAATTTCGACCCACATTTTTTGGAAAACATCTGAATATAGTTGATTGAAATAGATTGAAATAGTTGACTCTATGTTTTTTTTGGGAAAAGACTTCACGCTGAAGAGCTGAAGAACTGGCTGCACTGTCCCCTGCAGGTGGGTCGCACTGCACCCAAGGTGATCTCATGTTACAAGTGTCTGGCCGGCTTAGCACGCAACCCGACCAGGGCGCCGATGGCTGTGGCCATGGTTTCTGCGAGGCATTGCGGGAAGGATCCTGGTGCAAGACCAATGGACTTTGCCAATGGACCGATGTCCCTTGTGGCTGTTCCTCTTCAGGCACCACTTCAGCGACCACGGCAACGATCACGACCACAGCAACCACGACAACCACAGCAACCACGACAATCACAACCACGACAGCCACGATAACAACGAAAACTTCTGAGTCCAGAACATCCACAAGCTCCGTCCCATCATCCACTGGCAGAGCATGTGGCGATCAGCTTTGTACGTCCCTCCGCTCTGGTTCATGGTGCAAAGCGAATGGAGTGTGTGACTCGTGCTGAAAATAGTTTTCCCTTGATGAAGTTCTCTGGATAGAACTGGTGGGATTTATCTGATGTTTATATACTGTAAACAACAGTCTTTCCACAACATTCTCCTTTCATGCTCTTTCGTGGTTCATTTATTTGTCAGCGTTCCCACTAGAAATCTTTGTGGCGGAGCGCTTGCATTACAAAGATTGGGAGGGTTCGTATGTGACGAACTGTTCACGTTTGACCGGAGAGCTATAAAAGTCCATTTCCAGAACAAAACCCGACATGGAGGTCAGTGGACTGATACCCCTTGCCGTTGTTCGGCAACATCATCGGCACCATCTACAACCTCAACTTCAAGTGTTACGACATCAACCAGCGCACCTTCGACTACGTCCACTGGAACTCAAAGTCATTTGCATGAGAGGTATATTCAAATTCCCAAAGCCCTTTATGTGTGGAATCCAGGCGACCTGAGTTCTTGGTGGGATTGGACCACCGCAAACATTGATCTTTTGCTGTCAGTCTGTAGAGTGCATGGCTTCAAGCGTGCTATCGTCTTTATTGGATCAGTTCAGTGGGATTGGGAGCACCACTTCGCAGTCGGACAGCTTCCTCATCAGGAGAAGTTTGTCACTCTTTTCGCGGAGCTTCGCAGAGTTGGAGTGATGCCTTACGAAGCATGGCAAACATGGGAGAGGATTGGTGCTGTGTTGGGATTTAAGATATGATATTTGACCTTTGTAGATCTTTGTAGATCTTTGTAGATCTTTGCAGTAGTTCAGGATGTTCAGATGCTGATGTTGCAAAATCCTGTCACTTGGTGACGATCGGTTTGCACACCTTGCGGAGTCCAAGGAGGACATCTAATGAGCGAAGGCTTGTCATGTCTTGTCCGTTTTTGCACACTTTTGAGGTACCAAATGTGTTGTGAGTCTTTGTGAGTCTGTGCTAGTTTGATTACCAAAACCTCCAAATAGCTTCCCTGCCATGAATGGCAGAATATGGCAGGGCAGTTTTGGACGTCGCGGGGTTATCTCACAGTCGATGTAAGGCCTGCTTTTACTTGAACGATTCACCAAACAATTTGGCCAATTGGGAACGAGCTGCAGACGTTGTGTCCGCTGTGCACAAGTTCAACGAAGCATTTCCTCTCAGCAAAATCGAAGGCTGCTGCCATGAAACGTTACCGTTATTAGTTAATATTACTATTACCGTTGTTATTGTTATCATGATTGTTGATTATTACTACTATTATATTTTCAGCAGTCCAAGGCCTAAAACATTAATTTTCATCGAATGAACGCCCTTGGTCATTCATGAGCAAGAAGCTGGTAGGATACCATTAATGTGGCAATATGAGTATCTGGTGTCATGGTTTCATGGTGTCATGGTTTCATGGTGCAGGTCTCGATGGAGATCAGGAACCAACACATGTCTCGGAGGACTATTTGAAGATGAACCAAGCCATGATGGCCCGGAGAGACTCCTTGGGGTCCCCCCTCCACATCACGGTGTCCATCAAACCGGGCTGGTTGCGTTCCACCATCGGCAACAGCGTAGCTGCTGAGAAGGTCTTGGACTCTGTGGATGCCGGGATGATGATGGCCTACAGCAGCCAGGTGGCGACCTCCCTGCAATGGGGCGAACAAGCCCTGGCCCTGGGGGAAGTGGCGAAAGCCGATGTTTCGGTGGCCATCGAAAGCAGTTTCCGCGCGCCGCGTACGGATTCCTTTTGGGACCTGGCGCAAGAGCCCATGAAATTCTTCCAGCTGGTGGTTGACATGGATGACCACTACCGGCAGTTTGCTTCCGTGTTTCAAGGAATGGTGGTGCATGACTATGAAGGATTTTTTAAAGCGATGTATGGCGTAGCGGCTACAGCCTACATGCCATCACGGGTAGAAAGCTTGCATGGCTAGACAGACCATTCCTCAAGATCAACATGTGACAGCATGTGATAACATGTGGCTATGGCACAAAGTCATTTAAAATAAGGGATGTAGGGCTCAAAGTCATGTAAGGGTCAGGGGACTGACAATAGCAGAATTGAGCAAATGTGCGGTTCCAAAGTGAACCCTGAATTCTGAGCAACTTGCCATACTGTCCCTGTGCAGATCACATACTTGAGCTTTCTCAGCAGTCTCCATGGAGCTGTCGCAGCGTTCCCGTTCTCAGATTGTTTGCGTTATTGATTCCAAGATACCGCAATTCTTTGCATAAGTGAGTGTGTGAAAATGTGATAGTCTCACACTTTCTGGATTGACCATTTGAGAAATTTGAGAATGGATCAGGGTCTGCTTCAGGGACCCTCTTGGGAGTGGTATTGCTCCTATTTTTGGGTCCCTGGTTGTCCCATTGGTCCTGTACATGGACAGCGCAGGCTGCGCGGGAAGAAACGCGTGGTGTTGTGCTCTCCAGCGTTTCAATTAATTCGAACAGCCAAGCAGTCACCGCCCGCGGCAAAAGCACATCCAGCGCCAGCTGGAGCCTTTGAACTTTGGGAACTTTTGAAACTTTTGGAACAAAGGAGTTCCCTGAAAATCAGCGATGCACCACCTTGCAGCCGATGTTTTTGGTGTTTGGTGGCAGCATTTATGGCACAGGGAATCATCACAGTTGCCCGTTTCCGTTGGCCCCAGCTGACAGACATAGGAAAATGCAACAGCTTTTCAACCTCTGCGCGAATCCCTGCTGCGGTGTTTGGCATTGAGAATTGTAGCTGGAAATTCAATAGGGTCGCAGCCACATGGCGAGACGTATAAGACGTGAGAACCGCTGAGTCCTACTGGTATCAGGCTCTTTCAACAAGTGCAACGTGGATTTACATACCGTTACATACCTTCGACACATACATCATGCATACTATATGTACATATATAATCATATGAATCATATAATATATATATATATATACATAGTGTAATATGCGTGACACAATGTGAGATATCCATCGCTGTATCATCCATATATTCTCATCCAGTCATCCGACCTGACTCCCTCCAGCTCCATGGCGGGCCAGTGGGCTGCCCCAGACACGGTGATATTTTGATCTTTGAGGTATTTTCCAGCAGCTGACTTAGACTAAGTTGACTTAGTTGAGATCTATGCCATAAGTTCATGATAGGTTTTACTGTTTTATGGCATAGATCTCCACTAATACCATAATGTCAGGTAATTATGCCATAATGTGTTTTACCATAATGTTTTACCATATGTTTGTTATGCCATAATGTGTTTTGTTAGTTAGGTCTCTGAGCGTCTCCACAAAAAAATCATGACCTGCCAGGGAACCCAAAGAGTTGGTGAGCTGTGGCAAGTGCAACAGTATCAACTCGGTGTGGGAGCTCTGAACCCCGTGGCTTTGGAACATGATACAGGGCTGGTATTTTCATATGGAATTTTCCTGGTTGGATCTGGCTGGTATTTTCATAGTAATTATATATAATTATATAATTATATACATTTCAGAGGTGTAGATCCAGTTCCCAAAAAAACAGAAGGTTGCTCTCGAGTGCGAGAAAGGGTCTCGAACCACGGCACAGCTCTCAGGTGCCTTTTGGACTGGACCTCTTCAAATGCTACAGCTGTGGCGTTTCCGCTTGGATACCAAGAAGCTCCAATGACAATGAGAAGTTTGTGGCTCACACAGGATGTCAATCAGTTTTAGGATTTTTTAGGATTTTTTAGGATTTTTAGGACTTTTTTTGGGTAGATTGATTGAACCTGCCCATGCCCAACAATTCCTTCTGATCCCCAAGTCTTAATTGAGCAAGACAAAATGGCGGCAAGACTATTGAATCAGATGTTGATTTGGCAATGCCATTGTGTTGCAAAAAACTAGACCGCCCCTGTTTGCCTATTGACTCGCACTCCGGTCATGGAATTTTCATCTGGTCTAAGGTGGTCATCAGCCGTGAGTCATCCTCATCATGTGCTGCGGCATCCCCAACGGCTGGGAGCCGATTGGTTTCAGTTGGTGGAGGTTTTCAGCTTCAAAGTTTGTGTTATCAGATACTTTGAGTAACTATATATTCAGAAACTCAAGGATATCTACTAGACTCATCTAGACTCTATTCGCTCTTTTGGGCACTGACCGTTAGGACAGAAAACAGTGCCATGGTGCCAGTAAGCCAGCTGCGATAGTTGACCGAAAATGTGGGCTTCTACACACCAGAACGGCGGGCTTAAAAATCCACAAAACTGTAGGCTTGGGGGTGGTCTCAACTTCAAACATTTCCTGCTGATATCTTCCAGTGATGAGTAATCTTTTGTGTAGCACATCTATGCCAGGTGCAACTTGCCTCAAAATTTGACAAACATTTCCTGTGCTGGTACGTGTGAGTAGAAACTCATTGCTACAAACAGACAGATCCTCTTGGATGTCTCTTTGCCCTTTGATGTGGCGGGACTTAACCAGCGAATCCTCTCCAAAAGGAGTTGTTTAGTGCCAAGCTGCTGCGAGGCCTTGTATTTGGATTCCATGCAGGTACTGGGGGATGTGGCTGGGCTGTTGCGGAGTTTCAAATTTACAAGTACCTTAGAGACACGGCAATCTGCGTGATTGAAATGACATGTGGAAGAGCACGCCTTGGATGAAATTCTTGACGAGATTTTCTGAGTTTTGACTATGTTTTTGTTCACTTTCCACACCATGAGTGTAGCAAACACAGGTAATTTTCTTGAAGTTGGATCATTCTGACTTGGCTCAGGGTCAAGAAGGGGGCAGCAGCTCATCGAAAGGCAAAAAGAGCGAGGACGGGTTTCTCGGGACACGCACTCCATGGAGATTCCAGAGTCACAGCCAAATCACCAACCATCACAAACCACTATAGTAACATAGTAGCCTTAGCCTTTTCTCCCCCGCCAAAGTTACCGAGTTACTTCCCCAGGCTGAGAAGGCCTCGGGATCCTCGTTTCGGGGCTTTTTCGATCGGCTCCAGAGGCAGGTGGACAAGACCCTGCAGAAGGCGGGATGGCAAAGGTGGACGTTGACGTGGCCACGTGGCCCAAAAACATGGCAAATCTTGTAGGATCACCAGATTATCCTGTTCCTTGTCGCATTTTGGGGGTTTCAATGGGTTTCATGTTTGATGATATCGGGATCACATGTCCAATCAGCTGAAATCACTCAGACTTTTGCCGGACGGAGGTGGTGCCATCATTTTTGAAGGATTTGTTCCATTCCCCAAAGCCATGGTCGAGGCCAGTGTTCGGCCACTAAAAGTCCGGCAGGTGGAACAGTCCCTCTTTGACGCTTCTGCTCCCGCTCCACCAGTGGGAAGCGCAGACAAGCTGCAGGGAGACTTGGGGATCGGGCAGGATGACAGGGATCCTCTTTTGACCAGTGGCATGAGGAATTGCTTCTCCAGCTGGTGAATGTATTTATCAAAGGAAGTTTAGGGGGAGAAACTTCCGTGTTACGGACTTTTAGAATGTCAGGGAAAGAGTTAGTCAAAGAAAGAGTTAGTCAAAGAAACAGTTAGTCAAACAGAGAGTTAGTCAAAGAAAGAGTTAGTCAAAGAAAGAGTTAGTCAAAGAAACAGTTAGTCAGGGAAAGACTTAGTCAAAGAAAGAGTTAGTGAGGGAAAGAGTTAGCAAAGAAACAGTTAGTCAAAGAAAGAGTTAGTGAGGGAAAGAGTTAGCAAAGAAACAGTTAGTCAAAGAAAGAGTTAGTCAAAGAAACAGTTAGTCAGGGAAAGAGTTAGTCAAAGAAAGAGTTAGTCAAAGAAAGAGTTAGTCAAAGAAACAGTTAGTCAGGGAAAGAGTTAGTCAAAGAAAGAGTTAGTGAGGGAAAGAGTTAGTGAAAGAAAGAGTCAGTGAGGGAAAGAGTTAGTCAAAGAAAGAGTTAGTCAGGGAAAGAGTTAGTCAAAGAAAGAGTTAGTGAGGGAAAGAGTTAGCAAAGAAACAGTTAGTCAAAGAAAGAGTTAGTCAAAGAAACAGTTAGTCAGGGAAAGAGTTAGTTAAAGAAAGAGTTAGTCAAAGAAAGAGTTAGTCAAAGAAACAGTGAGTCAGGGAAAGAGTTAGTCAAAGAAAGAGTTAGTGAGGGAAAGAGTTAGTGAAAGAAAGAGTCAGTGAGGGAAAGAGTTAGTCAAAGAAAGAGTTAGTCAGGGAAAGAGTTAGTCAAAGAAAGAGTTAGTGAGGGAAAGAGTTAGCAAAGAAACAGTTAGTCAGGGAAAGAGTTAGTCAAAGAAACAGTTAGTCAGGGAAAGAGTTAGTCAAAGAAAGAGTTAAAACTCTAGGATCGTTCCCTCACTGTAAATGGCATTGCAAGTGGTGCTGGTGGAGGAGTTGCCGATGGAGTTTTGGAGGAAGTCTCGCACGAAATGCGTTTTTGAGAGATAGCAGATGCACGAAACCCTATGTTTTTCCTTACAAAGTCCGTCCCCGAACCTCGATGATCTACCTCTGCGGTGCGACGGGTGCGAGACGGTCTCGTGTGTGGTCGGATCATGCTCGGATCATGGTCGGATCATGGGCGGATCATTCTCGGATCGGTCCCGCATTGTAAATGGGGTTTCAACTGTTTTTCGTGCATGTGTGGTCGACAGAATTCCATTGTGATTTGCAACTGTAGGATCGTTCCCGCATTGTAAATGGGGTTGCAAGTGCTGCTGGTGGATGAGTTGCTGATGGAATTGCATTGTGATTTGCAACTCTAGGATCGTTCCCTTACTGTAAATGGCATTGCAAGTGGTGCTGGTGGAGGAGTTGCCGATGGAGTTTTGGAAGGAAGTCTCGCACGAAATGCGTTTTTGAGAGATAGCAGATGCACGAAACCCTATGTTTTTCCATACAAAGTCTGTCCCCGAACCTCGATGATCTACCTCTGCGGTGCGACGGGTGCGAGACGGTCTCGTGTGTGGTCGGATCATCCTCGGATTGGTCTCGGATCATGGTCGGATCGGTCTCGGATCGGTTCCGCATTGTAAATGGGGTTTCAACTGTGTTTCGTCTATGTGCGGTCGACAGAATTCCATTGTGAATTGCAACTGTAGGATCGTTCCCGCAATGTAAATAGGATTGCAAGTGGCGCTGGTGGATGAGTTGCCAATGGAATTCCATTGTGATTTGCAACTGTAGTATCCTTCCCGCAATGTAAATGGGATTGCAAGGTTGCTTCCTGCTTTGGCTGCATACGTAATACTATTGTCTTTTGCAGCTGGACTTCGTAAATCGTATTGGAGTGGCTGCATGAAGGCTGCGACAGTGATTTGTCAGCAGATTTTCTCCATTTTGGCGCTAGTGATTTTCCTTCTAAAAATCTTTTTAAAAAGTGCTTCAAAATCGTTTTTTTTTCGCTCTGGCGTCGAGATCCGGTTTTGGAGCTACAATTTCCGCACTCCAATGCGCGTAGTTCTATTGTCTTTTGCAACTCAGTCTCTGCAGATTGCATTGTAATGGCTGCGTCAAGGTTGCTTCGTGCTGTGGTTGCATTCGTAGTCTCGCACGAAATGCGTTTTTGAGAGATAGCAGATGCACGAAACCCTATGTTTTTCCATACAAAGTCTGTCCCCGAACCTCGATGATCTACCTCTGCGGTGCGACGGGTGCGAGACGGTCTCGTGTGTGGTCGGATCATGGTCGGATCATGGTCGGATCATGGTCGGATCGGTCTCGGATCGGTTCCGCATTGTAAATGGGGTTTCAACTGTGTTTCGTCTATGTGCGGTCGACAGAATTCCATTGTGAATTGCAACTGTAGGATCGTTCCCGCAATGTAAATGGGATTGCAAGTGGCGCTGGTGGATGAGTTGCCAATGGAATTCCATTGTGATTTGCAACTGTAGTATCCTTCCCGCAATGTAAATGGGATTGCAAGGTTGCTTCCTGCTTTGGCTGCATACGTAATACTATTGTCTTTTGCAGCTGGACTTCGTAAATCGTATTGGAGTGGCTGCATGAAGGCTGCGACAGTGATTTGTCAGCAGATTTTCTCCATTTTGGCGCTAGTGATTTTCCTTCTAAAAATCTTTTAAAAAGTGCTTCAAAATCGTTTTTTTTTCGCTCTGGCGTCGAGATCCGGTTTTGGAGCTACAATTTCCGACGCCGTTGCGCGTAGTTCTATTGTGTTTTGCAACTCAGTCTCTGCAGATCGCATTGTAATGGCTGCGTCAAGGTTGCTTCGTGCTGTGGTTGCATTCGTAATACTATTGTCTTTTGCAGCTGGATCTCGTAAATCGTATTGGAGTGGCTGCATGAAGGCTGCGACAGTGATTTGTCAGGAGATTTTCTCCATTTTGGCGCTAGTGCTTTTCCTTCTAAAAATCCTTTTAAAAAGTGTATCAAAATCGTCTTTTTTTCGCTCTGGCGTCGAGGTCCGGTTTTGGAGCTACAATTTCCGACGCCGTTGCGCGTAGTTCTATTGTGCTTTGCAACTCAGTCTCCGCAGATCGCATTGTAATGGCTACGTCAAGGTTGCTTCGTGCTGTGGCTGCATGCGCAATACTATTGTCTTTTGCAGCTGGACTTCGTAAATCGCATTGGAGTGGGTGCATCAAGGGTGCGACAGTGATTAGTAGTAGTGCTGGGAATTATAATGAAAGCTTAATAGATGACATATGAGAAGGGACTAGATGAGAAGAGATGAGCTGGGATAAGGTGAGAAGAGCTCAGATGAGATGAAATGTGGAGTGTGAAGAGTGCAGTGTGAGTGTGAAGTGTGGAGTGTGAAGTGCGAAGTGAGAAGTGTGAAGTTAGGAGTGTGAAGGAAGCAGTGAGAAGTGAGAAGTGTGGAGTGTGAAGTGCGAAGTGAGAAGTGTGAAGTGTGAAGTTTGGAGTGTGAAGGAAGCAGTGAGAAGTGAGAAGTGTGAAATATGGAGTGTGAAGTGTGAAATGCGAAGTGAGAAGTGTGGACTCTGAAGTGTGAAGTGTGAAGTGTGGACTGTGAAGTACGAAGTGTGAAGTGTGGACTGTGAAGTGTGAAGTGTGAAGTGTGGACTGTGAAGTGTGAAGTGTGAAGTGTGGACTGTGAAGTGTGAAGTGTGCAGTGTGAAGTGTGAAGTGGGAGGTTTGGAGTGTGAAGGAAGCAGTGAGAAGTGAGAAGTGTGGAGTGTGAAGTGTGGAGTGTGAAGTTTGAAGTTTGGAGTGCGAAGAGTGCAGTGTGAGGTGTGGAGTGTCGAGGGAAGGACACGGTCGGGACAGGGTGTCTTTGAACTATAGGTCATTTATGTTTGGGAAACTTCCGCCGCCGGCTTGCCCGGGTCTATGTTATAATGATTATAATGCACCGAATACTACAGTAAAATGCATCGTGAATGTGGCTCCATTTCCTCAACTTGGGAACATCTCTTTGGAAACGACTGAGTGATCTCAGCCCCTTTCAGCGCATTTTTTGCCGCAAGGCCAGTTGGTGAAAGGCCAAACAGTGAGGCACGTGGATCCAACATGTCATAGCTTCTTCGATGGGCACGCTTCACCGATTCACAGGGTATGTGGTTTCCATTCTACAAGATTCTACATGTCACAGACATCGCAGTGGATTCACATTCATATATGGATGGATTTGTAGTCATACACCCACAGTTTCAAGTTCTTCTCGTTGGTCACAGGATATCAGTAAAAACCACATCTCCAACTGGTGCGACAGGTCCTCAAGAGGACGGAAGCTGGCGGCTATCCCAAGTCCACCGATGCGTCCGTGGGCGACCCGCAAGGTCAGCTGAAAGCCGCTGAGGACCGATGGCTGACCGATGGTTGGGGGATGAAAGTCATCAATGGTACCCTCTGGTTATGTCAAAATAGCTATTGAAAATGGTCATTTATAGTGGATTTACCCATTAAAAATGGTGATTTTCCATAGTTATGTTAGTTTACCAGAGGGTAATCAATGAATAGTTCAACTGATAGTGGTTGAAAGTACCAATGAAAATTCAAAAATGAATTGATAACTATCAGGCACTACCAATGAATGAAGATAGAGGTTGAAACTTGAAACTGATACTTATGATTTCTCTTGATTGGGGGAGATGAACATCCATAACTACCATGAGTGAAAACTAGGTTTGATCCATGCTGACACCCATTTGTGGATTTGTTGACAGATGTTATTTGCTCAGAAGTTGGCACATTCCACGTCTCGCAATTTTTCTGCTTTGAATCCCAACTATCATTACTGAATCCCAAGAAGTGTTAGCCACCCTCATCTTCATGGCTTTTTCCCTCATTCTTCGTTTGCTCCAAGCCCGTTTTTGTTGTTTCTATCCCCCATGTTGTTAGTTCCGTCCTTTTTTTTTGCTTCACTACAATGTTGGCTGGTTTTTCTTTCCGTTTTTTGGTGGTGATTCCCCTCAAAACCATCACAATTTTTGAGTTCTCCATGGGTTTGGCCCATAAATTCCCGCTGTTATCATGCCAGGACAAGGCCCTACGCCTTGAGCAGCTCCTTGAGGCTGCCACGGCCCGGGAGGCCGGGAGGTGATGGGGCCCAAGTCGACGGCTTTCTTCAGGATGTCCAATGCCTTGTGGGGATAGTATATGATGCTTTTTGAACAGATTTGATGGAAGTGAACCACGCCGAATGGAATCATATGGAATCTAATTCTTCAATACACATTATTTTAGTATTTTCTCACTGAAACGAGATCTTGTGGGTGAACATCAATGCCCATTCCCAGCGCTTGGTCAGGCCGTCTCCTCATCAGAGCGGCGAGTGCTGCGGAAGCAGCTGGAGATGGGGGTCATGGGAAGCCGGTGATTGGGGATTTACCCTCTGGAAATTCCACATAACTATTGAGTTTCTCACAATGCTATCAATGGGTAAATCAGAGGGTAACCAACAAAAACTTGGGGATTTCACCAACGATGCAGGACGAAACTGAACAGCTGGTCTCGGGCCTCTCGCAACAACTGGACAGTGGGGAGCCATGGGTGATTCGAGGCTACACCAGTTGACAACGGTCGTGAGGGAAGTGGACTGACTATGTAATCATGATGTGGATCATTGTTATATACTTTCTTCAGCTTTCCATCGTTTTGCCACCAAATGACCTTTGCATTTTTTTCACATAGCTTCAAGCATATTTAAGTATTGATAACTATTAGGGCTAGGGAGTATTTTTGGCACCATGTTGTACCACATTTTGTACCGCCTTTTCGTGTAGGATCTACCATGAATCTACCGGATATACATCGCTCACGAGGTGTTCAGTCGGAGGCGGCCGAGCAGCGAAGGCAATGCGAGGTGCCATCAATGGATTTCAGGGGAAATCAAGGGAAATCTACATCTTCTACAGGCGTATCAGCTATTTCCATGGGATTAGTCACAACCATGGCTGGTTGTTGGCGTTTCGGGGACTCTTGGAGCAATGAAGAAGGCTTAGTACACCCTGTTGGAGGTTATACCCAGGAGGCATGACATAGAAAAATGACGAAGAATCCCAACCGTGATCTTTTCGGCTCCCCAGTCCGTTGTTCATTTGGGAGTTCCCAAGTTCGGTGCAGATCAAACAAAGATGGCAGGTGCCCACAACTGGAAGGATTCTATATTTTCTTCAGGATTTTATAAAGTTGTGTTCCTTTTTCGATAAACATGGCGAGACCGATCATCCACAGTCGACAGCGAGGCTCTGGAAAAAGCTCTGGAAGAGGTTCCTTGGATAGAGAATGTGTCGTATGAAGAGCTATCGCGTCAATGTAGCATGGCTAATTATAAGGCAACATGACTATGAGGTTTCATGGGCAACACTATGACAATGGTGACAATGATTCATTGACAAGTGTCACCTGCATCAGAAATTACAGGAACCAGGATCATAGCATATAATAGTAGCAATTGCCTCTTTTGTCGGATCTTCGGAAGGCGACTCAGCCACAGGACAGAGGCCCAATGGGTTGCGGGCAAGGTTCCAAAGCGTAAATCTCTAGGTTTTCTTGCTGTGGTCGGTTCATTGGCAGGCTTCTGGTATTGCTTGGCATTGATCATTTCTTGATCTTTGAAGATTCTACTTCTTGGCCAAGTCCTATACTGCGTCCTCACGTTTCAGCTTACCAATTATGGTTGCACGCCTGGCTGCCAGGGACAGAAGAGTTGCAAAAGCGAATTGCAGAGCTTGAGGCAGTGATGGGATTAGTCCTGGCTACATTTCAACGTGGGGGTACCAGAACCAGTAGATAGATACCAAATCACATGTGGATTTGAGCTGGCAAGTGGGTCACGATGGAAACCACCAAAACTGGATCTTTTCACGCTATGGATGATTTGCTTTGCACCTTTGCACCCGGATCACATTTTTTCTCTTTGTAATCTGCTTGCAGTTCAACTGTTGAAACCTCCCACAGCATGGTGGTCCCACCCTTTGGACAGGCAGAGCTTCAGTCTTTGCGGCACTTGGGAGTCAAGGCTGCGCCGGCGCCCTTGGAAGCCCTGAGTGGGGCCTAGGTGTCATATCTCATGGGACCGGAGACGGGTAGCATCAGATGTCCTCCTTTAAAAGGAGTGCTTGACCGCGGCAAAAAAGAAGGGCCGGAGGATTTCATCGCTGCTTTGACCATTGCTTTTCAAGCCGTTGCCATTTTTGAGAACGGAAAATCCATGGGGAAAATCCATGGGGACATTTTCAGCACCAGGCAGTGACTTCCGTGGCAAATTGGTGGCTCAAGGCTTGTCTGGATACGCCATCAGTTCTTCAACGTTTCGCAGCCTTTGCACCCCTCCTGGCCGCTCGGCATCGGTGAAATGGGGCATTGAACCCTGGAAAAGTGATGAGCATCTGAAAAAATGAAGAGAATGGATCTGAAAAGATGTCAATTGACCCACTGCACTTCTATTCCATGCAGGTTCTGATCCGCAGCCAAATGGCCTAACCGGAACCATTTGAGATCTGGTCGTGTCGGGCATGTTTGGCTAAATTATAGCCCCGCATTAGCCCCCGCGGTGCTTGGTTCAATACGATTACTGTAAGTCCTCAGCAGCTGAGATGTCCAGTGTGGTCTGTTGGATAAATGCCCAGTTTGGCGAAATGCGTATTTCTATCCATTACTGATATTATGATATATATATATATAATATTGATGAAATAAAGACCCACTCTTTTCATTTGCTGGAATGTTTGCTCAAACGGCCATTTTCTGTTGAATGGCTTGGCGAAGGAATCATCCTTCATTGAATCCTTCATCTATCCGGAATCTATCTCAAATTGTTAGGTTGCTTACTGTAAATGCCCATTCGGTAAATGCCCCTTCTTTGGTTGCGTCATATTTCCAAGAAAAGCAACAACAAATATTCCCCTCTCTATTCAACACAGAAGTTAAAAGTTCCCGCACCCATTCTTCTTCCTTGTGCTCAATGTCATGGGGGAATGGGATGATTGTTAAAAATTGTTGTAGAATGTTATGGATTGTATCATTCCCATCATTCCCATCATTCCCACATCCCTACCCCCATCCCATCACCCTCCCATTGGAACGGACAGGTCTTGTCCAAGATGACCGAGCGCCGAGTCGATCCCGAGGACGGTGCTGCGTGCCCGGTGATGCGGGTGCCGGCGACAAAAAAACGCCGGCGCTGGAAATGAACAGCTGGAGCACCAAAAAGTATGTAAAACTTTACAGACATTATACATATACAGATACATTGGATGTTGTTGAGAAGTTGTTGTAAGTTTCTGGCGGTGCAGTGTGATTTTTGAGGTGAATCTTCACTGTTTTTCCTTCTGAATGTAGCCAGTCTTCCAGGGAGTTCCAGCGTCTTTCTGTGCGCGAGGTACACCTGGGAAGAGTTCTCGACCTTCTATACTGGCAAGTGACCTGGGTTCCGCATTGTGCGGCCCAAAACTATCCAAAGCTTAGACTCTTTTCATCTCTTTTCCCATAATTATTGGCCACGTTGGGGGATTGTCATCAATCCATTAGTACAGATTCAGAAAAAAACCGTCATGCTTTGACATTGTGGGATGGATGAATTATCCCCACAATCCGATGAAACTTGTCATCGTTTTCCCATTAAGAAAACACATTTGGGGGTATATAACCCCATTTTCCAACAAACCCAATGACTGGCTCCAGCCGAAAAAAATCTGTGAAGCATGATTTCTGAAAGGAAGTCTTGGCTATGCGGACGTACCTAAGTATGCAAAGGTATGACACAATTTCCAGGTGTCACAGCATCAGAGTTTTCTCTACAAACGCTTGACGCAGGGCATCCTTGTCAATTGCGTGGATTTGTTCAGGCCATTCCCCCAAAAAGGAAAGCACATGGATGCACATGGATCATATATGTATCTCCCAAAGTCAGCTAACATTGAATAGATAGAACATGATAGAATTAAGGTATACTAAGGTGCATCGTGGGCTGCACCACAGCCTTTCTTTCGCGCCGTGGGAAATCGGAAGGCACCACGGTGATCTCCAGCTGTCCAGGTACAAAAAGAAGGCCATCGAGGCTTACTGGGAGGAGTGTGAGGTGAAGAAGGGTCTGCCCTGACCTGTTTGAAGATGGGGGGAGGTGGGAGCAGTTGAAAGTCCTTTCTATGTCCAGAGGAATTTTAATAATGTTTCAAATTGCATCGAATCCCACGTTGGTCGACCAGGTATCCCACAAACTGACCGCTGCCCCAAATTTGGCATGACAGGTAAGAAGAAGGCTGCGGCCAAGGTCCGCTACAAGATTCCGAAGTGGGCATGGATAAACATCCCCCCTGTATTTCAGCGAAGACCTAGCGGAGCTAGCAGATCAGACTAGATTCGATGTCAACTTGGGATCTCTGCAAGCCGAACTGGTGTGGTTTTGCACTCCGAAGGTCGGAATATGACCTTCGTTGAGGTCTAGCACCTGCCCATCCTGCCGCCGGCATCGAGGCCAAAGCCAAAGCTGAGGCAAAGCCGAAAAAAGCCGAGCCAAAAGCAGCTCCGAAGGCCCAGCGCTGAGGTGGTTTGATGGATGTTGTGGGTGAAAATGGCTAGTTGTCCGCAACTCATGGCAAGTTTGAGCCGGGAAAATGATGATGAACCTGTGGATTCAGGGGGGTTCCAGAAAGATTTTCAGCCCAAACAGGGAAGCTATTTCTGACCACATTCGCCAGCCATAGCTCAGGCGAAGGCAAAGGCAAAGGCCAAGGTCAAGGCAAAAGCCAAGGCCAAGGCCGAGTCCAAGGAGCCCTTGGAGTCTTTGGAGTCCTTGGAATCCTTGGAATGTTGTTCCACCATCCCCAAGGACCATCCATATGGGTGCAACATCTATATATGTCTATAAACCATCAATCCATATGGATCCATATGGGTGGTTTATGGCGTTTTACTAAGATCAACTGAGTCATAGATGTTGTTTATCAACTGATCTATGTCATTGGTTCTGCTTTTCTCGTCGCTTTCTCGCCATCCGGGCAGGTCTATGCCAAAGTGGCAAGAAACACCACCAAGTACGTCACCGGAATCTGAATATCATGGAATATCATGGAATATCATGGAATATCATGGAATATCTATAGCCTATTGCCATCAATCACAGCTCCGCGCCGGTTTTTTTCAGCTCCTCAGGAGGTGAAGTCTGCGGGAAATTTCAAGGTCTGCGTCTGCGGTGGCGCGGGTGGAATTGGACAGCCGCTGTCCATGCTCATGGCCTTGGATCCCAATGTCAAGGAGAGCGCTGTGATTCTGCTGGGTTTCGATGGGAATTTTCTATAGCCATTTCTAGCATCGATTTGGGGATAGATTGACAATATGGGATATTTAACTAGTAATAATATGTAATAATCAACAATGTAGTATTTTTGGATGTGTGTGTGTCTGAAAATGGGCATGTTTTTTTCTCTATTTATGGCGATGTTTCACAGGGACAGATGATGATTTGCGGAATTGTGGATGCGGAAATGTAGGCTATAAAATTACGCTATTTTCCGACACACCGGTATATATAAGCACCAAACATGAAGAATATGGAAGAGAAAGAGGATGGGGAAAGGGCTGACGTGCAGATTCCAAAATGGAGGACCCGAAATGGTCGTTTTTCATCCCCGGCCTGTTGGTGAAGTCCACCCATGGTTGATTGAATTCCAAAAAAACATCCAGTTACTGTTGGTTGAAACACCCCATGGCTGGCTAAATCCTCATTCTTCTTGGTTAGATCCCTTATTCTTGATTTATCGCACAGCAATTTGGGATTCAGATTCTCTGAATCCTTCACCCAGAAAATTCTTGGTGTTTCACCTGTTTCACCAGATGTTTCACAACGACCTGGGTCAGTTTTTCCGACCGCGCAGGAGTTGTGTGTCTTTGATCTCACAGTCGCCGCAGTACCTGCTGCTGGCGTGGCAGCTGATCTGGGACACCTGGAGAGGCACCAGCGGCAACCCCCGATGGCCGAAACAAAGCAGACGGCGTTTCCAGGATGAACAATTTATGATATTTATGGTAAACGTTGGCATTTATCAACCCAAAAGATGGTAAAGATAAGGGGTTTCCCAGACATTTTCACTTTGCAACTTGGCAAAAAAACTGGTTGGGGCTGCGAAAATCCAACCATGTAACTTATCCAACCAGCCACTGGGGGATCACGATCATCCCATTTCTGGATGATGGGAAAATTTTAACCGGAAAACCCTATATTTCATGGTAAAAACCCATGGGTTTCCTGTAAATTCTCCCAACAAAACCAATCCAGTGAAATTTGGGATGGTTTATTATTTGGGTTTTCCTCGTTGGGGGACTTGCGAATCTTACTACTACTGTCAAACTTGGCTAAAACATTGGTTTGTCTGAACATTTGGGAAACCCACCATGGAAACCCACCATGGAAGCCACATGGCGTTCTGGGGATAGCATGAAGATATCAACCCAGGGTGTTGGTGTAAAACGGATAGACCTGGATCAGATATCATTTCACCACAATGACCCTGACCCTTGGTGCCGATCAACATCTGCGTGTAGTTTTGCTCTCTGAACTGGTTTTTACGCAACCCCCTGTATTTGGATAGTAAAAGGACGTAAAAGACCAAACACACGCACACACAAAAATATAAAACCAACTACCAAAAAATATCACACCGGAAAAGACCGCAAACAGCGGGGGGGTTGGAAGTTAATGTAGGAGATACAAGCAGCAGTAGCTACGGACCAGTAGCAGATCAGGTTAGGCATTGTTGGAACTTTAGCAGAAGGAACTTGTTTTGTCACAAGAAGGAGCATTCTGTCTACTGACCAGGACATACCAGGACCGCATATCAGGACATCTAAGAGAATTTCACAAGATCGTCAAAAAGGACCTTCTAGAGGATCTTACAAGATCTTCATACAAGAACCTCTGAAGAGCATCCCACAAGAGCTTTCACACAAGCACCTCTAATAGAGGTCACCTTCAAGATCTTCATATGAGGACCTATTCGCGGATTTCACCAGGATCTCTACAAGATCTTCTCACAAGGACCTCTAAAAAGACCTTGGCCAAGATCTTCATGCCAGGAATTCTAGGAGAGTCTCGCAAGCTCGTCATACAAGGACCTGCTAGAGAGGATCTTGCAAGATCTTCATACAAGAACCTCCTATGCCACAAAAGCTTTCATGCAAGCGCCCTTGAGGTAGGTTCACTTTCCAGATCTTCATGCAAGGACCTCTAATTACATGGCATCTGCAAGATCTTCATGCAAGGACCTCAGAGGATTCCACCAGGATCTTCACGACATCTTTCATAGAAGGACCTTCCAGAGAACTCAAAAGATCTCTTGGCCAGGATCTCTGAGAATCAGCTACGCTAAGCACCGCGCCGCAACGAGAGCGATCTAACACGCACAAAGCGCCGAAAGGGCACCGGGTCACAACAAGAGCATTCTGACACGCGCGAAGTACTGCGCCTGCCATGCGAAATCAGCATCGCGTCCCCCCCAACGGTAGCAGCGTGCCGAAGGTACCACGCCTGCCTGCACCTGCACCTGTCATGCAAAACCACGTTCCAGACCTCAAAATATCCCGAAAGTCCGACGCCTGCCACGAAACATGGACACAACCCAAAACATGAGCACCGCGCGCCTGTAAAACTACACCTTTGGAACAGAGCAAAACCAGACAAGCACTTTGTGCGAGCCTGCGCAGTCGAAATGCACATGGACATCTCACAAGGGCGCAAGCCGGTGCAGACGAAACGATCAACCCAGATGGAGCACCATGATCTAAACCCGGCCTTACTCTCTTACCGTAAGAACCGATCAGTGTGGACACCCTGTTTGGGGACATTTTCCAATAAGCCCAGCGGCTTGTACCCCAAGTGATTAGAACCCACAGAAAATTATGTCCACAACACCTGGTGTTTTTGCGCGGATTTTTGCCGAACCAGTTGCCAGGAAGAGTGAGGTGAAGGGCTACGTGCTGGACGTCGATGCGAAACCAGTGGAGAACCTCCAGGAGTCTAGTGGCTCAGAGATCTCAGTTTGGGGATGGAACAATTGCAAAAGATGAATGAAAATTATTACGCATCATGGGATTTTGGTGGTCCTTTCAACATATTCAGACAAACCCATTCGGCATCATGCTTGAATTTCCGGTGAAGGTCAGTATGATCAACCCATCCACGGATCAGGTGTCTCACGGGATGCGATCTGGTCCTCATCCCCGCGGGTATGCCCCGCAAACCTGGCATGACGCGCGACGATCTTTTTAAGGTGCGACCGGAGATGTAGGGCTTGGGGCAGAATTTTCTGGGAAATCAATATGGGTTTGTCTGAAAATAGTGTACCCCTACACCCAATGGTTTTGCTGATCATTATCCCTACTAAATGGCTATAATTGGGGGTATACCCCATTTTCAGACATACCCATATAAATGACTGGTGCAACAGAGAGAAAACACAGTAGACGACAGTATGGCCCGAGAGAAGACATGGAGGAGACGAAAAAATATGTAGATTTTGTAGGTGATGTAGACGATATAGTATATGATTTAAAAAAATGCGTAGATGATGTAGACGATGTAGATGCAATTGATGTAGATGATGTAGGTGATGTAGATGATGTAGATGATGTGTGTGTATATATTATATCATATTATATTATATTATATTTATATTATATTATATTATATTTTATTATATTGTATCGATATTATATCGATATTATATTATATTCTATTTTATTATATTATATCGATATTATATTATATTATATCGATATTATATTATATTATATTTTATTATATTATATCGATATTTTAGTATATTATAATTTATTATATTATATTATATTATATTATAATATTATATTATTTTGTATTATATTAAATTAGATTAGATTAAATTATATGATACTATTTTATTATATTACATTACATTACATTATATTTTATTGTATTATATTTTTTTATATTATATTTTATTATGTAGATGAAGAAAACAGTTGAATTTTGCAGCAGTTCTGTGCGAAAAACCTTCGCAGGAACTTTCGGGAATTTCTGGATATGGTACAATGTTGCTGCAAGAAAAACTGTTTGAAGTGATCCTTCTGTTGTGTTTTTTCCTGTATTTTAGATATCGGCTGGAGCATGCACAGGTCAATGCGGACATCGCCAAGAAGCTTGTGGAGGCATGCGCAAAGTTCTGTTGGGAGCTCGGTGTAGAACCACGTGTCCTTCAATGGGAAGTTGAGTCTTTGAGTTGAGTCAGCAGTTGAGTCCAGTTGTACTGAGGCCCCGAAGCCATGTTGGGGCTCATCGTGAATCCTGTCAACTCCATCGTGTGGGGTGGCCCAATCTTCGCAGGTGGCACCCCCTGAAACCCGGATAACCCGGCACCTGATGCGGGGCTGTGTAGCCGGGCTACAAGGCCAGCTATGGCTGAGCTGTACAAGAAGAAAGGTTGGGAACTGAGATTTACTGAGCAGCTGGGGTGTAAGCTGGGAGATCGCTTAATGGCATAAATGATAAATGGATATAAATGGATATAAATGGTATTTTTCCACATTTTTATACATGTTTCATAAACCAACTTTGTTTTTTTCCGAATTCAACTTGTGGTCTTGTGGTTGTCCACTGAAACCTCTGATTTCCATCATGTTTGCCAAAGCTGATCGGCTAGGTCTGGACCCTATGAAGATCGTGGGCATTACCACCCTGGATGTGGTGCGTGCCAACAAGTCACTCGGATGAAATCATTCCAATTGTCGGAGTGAAGCAACCAAGAAAGGCAAGGTGAAAATCACCAAGGTAAAATGACGATAAAACATTTGAATTCTTAAACAATTGGGTTTTGTATCTATTCACAAATTCGATTTGGTTCATTTCAATTGCTGGCGGCTTTTAGCGAGTTTCACTGCAAAATACCGAGTTTCACTTCCTGCTTAGAGATCTGTCAAGGCGTGTCATGGCAGTCATGGCGTGAGGTTCTGTGGCGAGATTGCTGGGAAGAACCCCAACTACATCAACGTCGGGCACCTGGTTTCCCTTGCTGCTGCTGACCGGAATATCCATCTCCATCCATCCCCACCGATTTTTGGTTGATGGTGTACTTCCTTTTTCATTTTTCCATCCGACAATGATCCCCACAATTTGCACCAGAAAGTGGAAAAGTAGATGGACATGTCAGTCTGTTGAATTGACGAAGAGTGACTTTGATGTTCAAAATTAGTAAGTCTCCAATTCGTGGATTGCAAAGATGGTGACTCAGTGGGATTTCTTAATGGGGCCCATGGGGGATCCCAGTCGTTGGTTACATGGGATGATCTCAGGTGCCGGTGGTTGGAGGCCATGCTGGCACGACCATCCTTCCCCTCTTCTCGCAAGACAAGGTGCCGATCCCAAAGATGGATAGCTGAGGCAAGGTGCTACCCCCCAGTGATGTTTGTTGGTTTATAATCCCCATTAACTATAGATATAACCCCCTAATCAACCCTAGTGAAATTGGACTTATAAACCAACTTAGCTAACTATGGGGCACCACCTTGTGAGAATGATTGAGATATTTCAGCCACTGCATCTTCATTTGGGCTTGAAAAATGGCACCCGTTTTTTCATGTTTTTTCCCAAAAGGTGGCTGTTTTCATGGGGAAAATATGAGGGTTTTTCCCAATGGTTTCCTGCAACCATGGTGGGATCCACAAGTTCCCATCCGCGGACGCGGGCTCAAGTTGGCGCGGGTGCTGCACCATGAAACTCCGCAGGTGGGGTTTTGTTGGGGGAAAATCCTGCAGATGAACAGATCAGCTATCAGCTATCACAGATGTGTGTGTCTCAAAATGGGGGATGCCGTACCCAAATGGTCATTTTTTTGGGGGAGGATGATTTGGATATGGAGGCACCCGATCAGACAAACCCATATGGTCGCTCTCCGCAGACAAGTTGGATACTTCGCCTCGGTAGTTGACCCTTTTCAAATCTGCGGTCGGCATAAACATTCACCGGAAGAGGTCGGGAACCACTAGGCCAAGCTCGTTGAAAAGCAAAATTCCATGAAAATTCTATATTAAAATACAGGGTACATCTATGCATGCTACATGTCTGTGAGGAGGGAACCTTTGGCACATTTATGAACATCATTCCACCGATTCTGGACCATGACAGGAGGCCAGCTTGGGCACTGGGCGCCACTCTCCTAGCAGTGCTGGTGCCATACCTGCAGTTGGCGCCAGTCGAATCGTGAAAACCCGAGGTTTGGGGACTGATGCTGGTCAAGATTGAATTGGATCAAATTTCACAGTATACACATTAAATGTTCATATACATACATACATACATACATGCATGCATGCATGCATGCATGCATGCATGCATGCATGCATGCATGCATACATACATACATACAGACAGACACACACACACATACATACATACATACATACATATATACATACATACATATATATATATATATACATACATATAATTATATATATATATGATATATACTAACCATCTCAACCATGACTGATACTCTTCGGTAATCAAACATGGCAATCAAATTTCCCCCAGCTATAGTTCGGTGATTTTCCCAGCTAGAAACTTCCATTTTGTTTGGGGGTTTCCCAGCCAGCCATGTTTGATATTGCAGACGGATATTGTTTGATCAATTTGCAGGGTATATAGATGATCTAGATATATCCTATATATCTGATATAAAGATCAAATTTATAGATATCCTATGGATGATTGTTCAGGCATTTTTTCCCAATCATCTCCCCAAAAAATTGCTCCGGTGATTTTCCCATGAAGCCCATGAATCCATTAGAGAATCCAATATTTCAATATACTGTATATATATATATTGTATAATTATATATTAACATGATTACTGTTTCCAGAAAAATCATTTAGATATTTTCCATAGTAGTCAGATGTCTTGTCCATTTTATGGAGTATTCATGAAACATATTTTATGGATTATCAGATGTTTTATCAGATGTTTTGTCCGAATTATTAATATCCCATAAACGATTAAAAATCAATTAATTCCACTAGTATCATTTTTTTTAGAGTTTTTTTTTTTAAAATGGACTATCCGATGTTTAATCAGGATTATTAATGTTATTCATTCTTGATCCATTAATATTGGATTGATACATCTGATACATCCATTGAATATTATCCACTAATAGTATCACCATTATGAATTATTATGATTTGTTTCCATAATTTTCCATTATGATTCACCACGAACATTACTATTCCATGAATTATATTCCATCATTATCATGGTTAGACTAATATTATCCATTATTACTATGTCTATTATTATTGTCATCATTATTATTTCGATTTCCATTAATCTATTAACATATTATCCATCAGTTTAATCACATTGTAATATCCATTAACTACTATTATATCCACCTATTCTACATTTCACCTTCAGATCTCTTCATTCTGCCTTAGGTGGGCAAGCAGCTGGATGCCTTCTGTGGGCCGCTTTGGAGCCTGGTAAGTTTGGATGGAGAGTGGATAACTTTCCGGGGAGATGATGGGAGCATGGGAAAATCATGGAGAAAATCCATGGGGATATCATGGGGAAATCATGGAGAAATCATGGGGATATCATGGGGATAATCCTATGGGGATAATCCTATGGGGAAATCATGGCAGATTTTTCGCCGATCTTTGAGGATGAATTCAAAATATTCGATTCCCTGAGACTGGTTTATTGCTGAATGATGACGATGATGAGTACATGTTGCGATGACGATTTTTTGGGTGAACCCATATGGGAATCTATTTGGTGGTTTCCCAACTTGGACATATTTTTGATCAACAGATTTTCAGTTTTTAAGCCATCGGCCACGGCAGTCGTTGCGTTGGTGGTCTGACCGACGTTGATCAATGTCTAGATGTGTGAAGAGGGGGTCAAAATGAGAGCCACAGTTTGTCAAATTGGTTACCCTCTGGCTATTCGACATAGCCATGGAAAATCACCATTTTTTATAGGTAAACCATCTATAAATGGGCCATCTATACCATGGCAATGGCTATGTTAAATAACCAGATGGTATATATTTCACTTCTCTATATTGAGATCATTTGAGTAGTTCTTTTGATGTTATTGCCTAATAATATTCCCATCCTAACTGGTTGGTTTTGTGGGGATGGGAGGGAATCCCATTTCATGGATTATGATACTTCCCACTTAAGATCAAGTGTAAGTCACCCCCCCAAACATCATCAACTACCAATCATTTCTCAACTTCACTTCATGGTTATATAAAAACCATTTTGCCTTGTAATTAAGAAGTTTCGCAACTTTTTCTATCTATGCCTTGTTGCCCAACATCTCCCAATTGATTCAGCTGAGGCTGAGACCGGCACCTGCCGCGCGGAGCGAAGTCACCCAACTCGGGGCGCAGAAGAGCAGCTCCAGCATTTCCGGAATCCAGGCCATGGCGGCCATGGCGGCCATGGCCAGGGGATGATGTTGATGAGATTTACCCTCGTAACTATGGAAAATCAGCATTTTTGATGGGAAATCCCACTATTTCTATTCTATGGGCCATTTTCCATAGCTTTTTGTATGTTTACCAGAGGGTCTTGATGATCTTGATGGCGAATTTATGCATGGAATTCTGCATGAGATTGATATACATGTAATATATGTAATTAATGGATGATTTGTGGATGAGATTGATGTTTTTTGGCAAGACTTGTAGATGATGCGTTTGGCTTTGAAGAATGGATTCGGGGTTGGAATGACGGAGGCCGAAGAGAAATTCGATGGCATTTTGGATGAGATCGAGGTGCTCAGTGGATCATTGGGATCAACGAGGTTTGGATGTGACCACGGGAAACCAAAAAGGGAAAACCATAGGTTTTTGTGGTTTCCAAATTGGCAAAGAGATGCACAACTGGTTGATGTTGAAAGTAGATATGTGATGATCTGTGATCATTCGTGCGTCATGGACTGTCCAACTTTTCACTGGTCAAGTTCACAGCTGGTGCCAGCTGTGATTCTGGCAGGAAGCTGCGCTAGTTCAAGAGCTGGAAAAAGGTGAGGTTGAAGAGGAGGAGGAAGATAGCAACCTGGCTGACCAACCATTTGATCTCCTAGATTGGGATTTGTCCAATTTTTTTTGGGGTACTTGTGAAACTCCTAAAATCATGGGTTTAAACTCACTTTAAACCATCATTTTCTCATCATGGCATAGAAATTGCATTAGATTGGTGGCTAAGGCCTGAAGTGGGTTAAGGAGACCTTCGGCTGGGTCTTGGTGGCGGACGTCTTCATTGTCATCGCGCCACTCAGAGGAAAGCCTTTGGGGACGACCGGATGTGCATCTCAGTTAGGAAGTGGTTCATACTATAATCCATACCCCATGTTCATGTTAATAACCGGATATATCCATGTATATAAATGTATATATATATAATATACATCAAAATTGGGGCTGGGTATGTTTTTCGGGCGTGGGGGAAATGCAATTTAGTTGATTGAGTATCTTAGGGTTGAGTTTATGTTAAACATATACTTGGTATATCTGTAACATCTGTGTATATAGATATACAATACCTGGGTGAGGCAGCCGCCCTGAGGTTATCGCTGTGGCTGGTGGCTGGTGCTGCACTGAAGCAGTTCTTCGGCTTTGAGCCTGTCATAGGCGAGATGGCCCTTTGAACGGGGGGATGGATAGATTTCATGGGGATTTCATGGGAATCAGCAAGACAAATGCTGGATTAATCCCATCAAACTGCTGGGATTTTGGAGGACTTTCTACTTGGAAAATCATCCCACTTAGCAAGTGGTTAGTCGCAGTTTTTTTTTTCCGCCCATTGATCAATGGGATCATGAACGAATTGGGGACTTGCGTTCATCAGGCTTATTAACCAGTGGGATGATCCTCCAAGTAGGGATTTTTCATGAAATTGAAGATTTAATCAACACATATGGGGATATAACAGGGATGTATAACTCTGTTGATATATATATATAAACATATATGTCTATATTTCTTTTGGGTGTGCCTGCAAGTGGGGGATTGGCCCCCAATGGCCATCAAATACTGTAATCGGGAAACTGAGGACAAAGCGCCAAAATTTGAAGGTACCTTGTTTTCAGACAAAGCTATATCTATAGACATATGTAACGATGTGATATGTATAATAGATCCATGATTGATCTTCGAAGTATCATCCCCAACTGAAGGTGGGCTACCCCAAAACCATTGGTTTCTCCATAGAACATGGCCAAGTTGGGATGCTTTTGGGGTCCCCCGCATTTCAAGAAATCCTCATGTGTTCCATATAGATCCATCTTAGAGGATAGTCGAGTCATACCCGGTTCTGAACAGGGGGTTAGATACCCAATGTTTTGAGACTCCCCAATAAGAGGGGGCATCAGATCATCATGGTCATACCCCAACCATTTTCACATATTTTCACAAAAAATTGCACCTTGCCTGGGACACATGGCCAGCTGCCTTCATGATGTACTGGGATCCCTACTTCCAGAGCATCATCGGCATCCTCTTTGGGGCGCGCATTACTGGGCTCATAGTCCAGTGGCTGGTGACACCTGGACTAACATGCCAATGGTTTTCTCTGGTTTTGGGCCATGTTTGAATATTTTGAATGGGAAAAGCCAATGATTTTGTGGGTTTCTACATGAGGTTCTGCTTCTGTAGCTTGCGGATTGTTTCATCATTGATTTGTTTTGCTGGGAGTCCGTTCCTTTTGGCCAGACAGCGTGACTCAGGAGTGGCGCCAAATCGAACTGAGTGCCGCTGGTGATGTCATGATTCCGCAGGTCTTGAAGCAGTGTCTTGTTGGTGCCTAACACAAAGACGGCTCTGGTGAAAGTGTTGCCAATGCAGAGTCGAGGTAACTGGGTATGCCTATTTGCCAAAGAAGTCGGCATCTCACGGAGCGTCAATGGTGCTTTACACTAATTTGATATAACTTGGTCAAGAATGAACAGAGGAAGCAATCTGGGGACGATTTTCAGGACCCAATTTTCAGCTCCGTTCTCTGTGGCACTTGGCAGTGCTTTGTTCACCCTTGGAGCCGAGTGAACCCTTCTCAAACTAGCACGTGAATTGGATGGTTCTAATATGAATTGGATACGCCAAAACCGTTGGTTTCCCAATGAAACCGTCTTGCTATCACACCTGTCTTTTCGATACTCGATCTATCTCGATCTCCATTTTTTGAGGCGCACGGGACTGCCGTAATTTCGTTTGATTGTGCGCCCTTCTTTCTATCTTCAACTCTGGTCCCCGGGGCAGCGCCAAAATCACTGGAGCAGAATATCATGTGCTGAGAAGTGTTGAAATAGATGGTATCATGACATATCATGCAGATTCTGTGTGGAACGTAACATGTATAAACTGTGATGCAGTATGGTCTGAACTTGTCTGAACCATTTCAATTGAAGGGGAGGTAAGATGAGGTAAGATATTTTTGTAGTCATTGGATGTCATTGGGGTGTTGCACTACCAGCAAGTTTGGAAGAGCCGACTTGCATCACCTGTGACGGAGCAAATCTGTAGCCCCAGCTTGCAGACTTTGAACAGCTGAAATGTGCGTCCAAAAGACGAAGCTTCAGGGTGGGATGACCATACCCCAGTCCCACCATGAAGGGCGACCATGGCACATAGCTGCCATATTGAACATGGGTCTTGGCTGGATCGAACATGGGTGAACATGTTGGGAAAAACATGGGAAAAGCCCAACATATAATGATTTTAAACCTCATTTCCCCATTAGAATTGCCATAACATGGTGTTTTCGGCATTTTTGGGCAAACCCCAAAGTCGTTTTTAACAGATCCCGCTGCATCCCGATTGATAACACCATGTTGGTCGCGGGAATTTCCAATCGTCCCACCGTTCAGGTGGCCAAAACGATTGCGTCTGAGAAGATCCCGGATTTGGACAAGTCGCTCTTCCCAGGGCTGGTGCCACCATGGTGGATCCAGTCAACAGATGAACTGAACAACCATACCATATGAATTTATATTAGGCTAATCCATTCGATAATATGTATTAATATGATTTAATATGTATTAATCCAGCTATTGGGATTATTAGGCTATCCATTTACCACCATTCAACTGGCCATTGACCACCATTCAAAAATCGCATTCTCAATGGTGTCACCTTTTTTTCGAGGCACGTGCAAGACGCTGGTACAGACGTGGTGAACGCCAAGAACGGCAAGGGAAGCGCCACGTTGTCCATGGCCTACGCAGGCGCCGATGCCATGAGTTGGTGTCAATCCACGATGGAAAATCACCATAGCTTCAATAGCAAAGTGTAAGAAATTACCAGAGGGTATCGAATTTACTATGGTTATATTACCAATAGAATGGATATTTGGATATAGAGGGTAACAAAGAGTCAAAGATATTCAAAGATATTCAAAGATCCAGAAAGTCAGCTGATGCCTTCTCCATTTCGCATTGAAAGTGCAGGCGCCCGTTTGGGAAAGTCTATCCTGGCGGGACTGTGGGCAGCTCAGGGGTTCACGTCACGGCCTGGGTATCTTGGGACGTGACCATCAGTGACCATCAGTGACCATCTGTGCTGAGGATGGGCAAGAAGCGAATTGAGTGTGCTTACGTGAAGTCTGACATCACCGTCGCTTGAAATGGCATGTTAAGTGGAAAAACCGAGGTGTGAGGTGTTTTTTCGCGGGTGTCTGAAAATGGATTCGAACATGGCAATGGAATCCAGTAACATCAGTAACAGTCCCATGACTTTATGGCAATTTTTTTTGAGGAGAATGATGATTAATCAGTGGATTTAGGTCGTTTTCCCATTTTTTCGAAAGCCATCTGGAACGCCCAGGATTTGCCCTACTTCGCCTCGAAAGTCCAGCCGCTAGGATAAATCGTGGGCCATGGCCATTTGCAAATATGCTCACCCGGATGGACAAAGCCGCAATCCAATAAGGTTCCAGTTTTTTCTCAGATTTGTCATGATCAATGATGATCCCTGAAATCAGTCATGTACTCTGCACCTGATCGCAACATTAGGATCTCATTTGGGATGTGGAGGCCCAAGGACTTCACCCCGATTTCACGGAAAAAAAAATCGATGGATTTTCCAAAACTTTTCCCCTTTGCTTTTCCTTTTCCCATGGCTTTTCGATCTGAAGATTGGAGGGTTTTCCCATGGTTTTCCCCGGCATGGGATGGCATGGGATGTTCGGAACGTCCGAGGTTCGGCGAGAAGGGCGTCACCAAGGTGTCGGATCAAGGATGTGGATCGAAGAATTTTGCACAGCGCATCTGTAGGGGAAATTTTAAAACAAACCTGGATGGCAAAAAAAAAATGTTTAAAACACAAAATTCTTGGGGATATTTTATGGTAATATATATATATGTACATGATGCAACTTAATATGATGTTTGGAAACTTGTCAAGTGGTTAAATCACAGTTAACAACATTTACGTTGTGTGAAAAGCCCTGTTTTAATACCGACGTCCCAACAAGACGTCAGGTGCTGCCGTTGGGTGAGTTGAGCGACTATGAAAAGACGCGCTTGGAAGAGGTTAAGGCCATGGACGTTGGGGTGATGAGTCAAGCCTCAGAAAATCTTGGATTCTGCTCGTGTTACTTATTAGGTATGGCATGGTATGCGTATGCCTCGGGATTAAGAGTGATTAAGGATGATTAAGGATGATTAAGGACTGCTCATTTTGGCAAGATGTGGTGGTAAACCATGAGATTTTTGTGTAACCAAGTGCGATCCGTAACGACATGAAACAAGCAACAATGGGGATGAACAAAATGAAGATTCGAGGACCATTAATTGGAAGATAAACCAAAAACAGGTGAGAACTCAAACCACGACCCTCACCAAAATCCAGCAAGCAGCACTAAATTGGATCTTCATGAGAATACGGTCTATTCGGAAGCCCTGTTCTGAAATCTGAGAGATTTGTGGGTCCCTGATTTTGGGAGATCTTCATCCGTCACTGGCATTGCAACCTGTGCCTCTTCTCCACCAGACACAACTCAAGACGGAGATCGACACCGGAATGAAGTATGCGGAGGATGCCGATTGTTTGGAACCAGTGGAACCAATTTGTTTCATGTTTCCACAGTCTTTTCCGCCCCTCAATCCTGGTTAAAAGACCTGATCTATTGGCCTACAAGTCTAGCAATGGAGCACCCCTTCATGGAAGATTTTTCATCGATTTTCTTCGTTGCACCGTGATTTTTCAGGAGAACAGCCTGGCCGAGTGAGGCGGTACTGGATGTCAGCTGATCACTTGGAATGACAACCAAATGTTCTTGTAGAAATTGATCAACTGCTATTTGGAACTGGTTTTCATCACAGGCTTTTCATGGCTTTTCGCACTGGTGGATCACAGGTTGTACCAATCATCACAGATAAAAACAGACATCAGATTGATATATTAATGATATTAATGATATTAATGATATTAATGATATTAATGATATTAATGATATTAATGATATTAATGATATTAATGATATTAATGATATTAATGATATTAATGATATTAATGATATTAATGATATTAATGATATTAATGATATTACTGATATTACTGATATTACTGATATTAATGATATTAATGATATTAATGATATTAATGATATTAATGATATTAATGATATTACTGATATTAATGATATTACTGATATTACTGATATTAATGATATTAATGATATTAATGATATTAATGATATTAATGATATTAATGATATTAATGATATTAATGATATTAATGATATTAATGATATTAATGATATTAATGATATTAACGATATTAATGATATTAATGATATTAATGATATTAATGATATTAATGATATTAATGATATTAATGATACTAATGATATTCATGATATTAATGATATATCATCTACATTAATCTACCATGATCTATGGAATCTATGGATCAAGTTGCCTTTGAAACACCGGGGAGACGAAGCCGCCTGCTTCAGCGCCCGCTAGGCTCAGGCTGAAGCTGATCCATGGTGGAGATAGTGCGGCTTTCCATGACACTTCAGAAACTAGTGAATCATAGAACTATGTGTATATATATATACACTATTAATTATGCATATATATATATATATGTATAATATATATATATAATATTATGGAGATAGTACATAAAGCACATGTTTTGTCATTATAGACATACAATGACATACACACATGTAAGACTTTACAAGGTGAAAATTTGGACACCTGCCGCACCGTGTTCTCCTCTTGTGTTGGACCTCTTCTTGGCGACCACACAAGGGCCGCTCAGTGAGCCACTGCAGCACCTAGTGACCACACCTGTGCGAACTCGCGGCCAACGTCGTTTTGGCCAGCCTTTCAACCCCAGACATCGTGCACGCAGCGATGTTAGGCAGACAGAAATTGAGAAAAATCAATGCAAAAATGTGGCAGACCCAGGAATAGACGGGATTTACATGCAGTGCATTGGGGGAATAATGAACGGAACCAAGAGTACACCGGGATAGATATCGCTTACCAAGAACAGAACCTGGTAAAACCAAAACCATAAACCATGCCCAATTTATACAAGCAGACATGGGTGGTATGAACCGCCCGTAACTATTCTTGCTTTAAATTGAACACGCGTTTTTGGAACAACTCGCAAGAGGAGTGATTTTGCCAGACATGCCACAGCGGACTATTTTGTGGTCACCACTGTCTATCATCATACCATGTCTATGCAGGGCTCTCAGCTCTGATATCATCCCTGTGAACGTATCGACGACCAGTCTGCTGAGCGCTGAACAGCGCGGTCTTTGGGGACCGTTTTTGGCTTGCCAGTGTTCGCACATATGGTTGAAGATTTTGCATCTTTCGACATTTAGTGAAACACACGATTGTGCCGTTGATTGATTGATTGATATTATATATATACATGGAAGGTTGGAATGCTGGCAGCATTGTAAAGGCCCAGAGTGGATTGGATGAAGTCTGTAGCTCATGACATTCGTAGGCGATATTCACGCCTTCATCTCCTGCAGAGGCCCTCAAGCTAGTGATTCCCATTGGTCAACACCCAAGCATCCAAGATTTCCGATATGAGATGCGCTCAGACTTTCTCCCAGAACTGTCGCACTTTGAGGTGTGGCAACTTAATTGTGGCCTCAGTTACACAGACAGTACAAAAAAAGCCGTGCGACTGGGGACACCTGGAAATAGTCTAGCAAGTAGTCCGATAGTGATCTTTGTGGGAGACGTATTGTGGATATTTGTGGATACAATGCTTGTTGTATGGGTCAAAATTGACCAGAAAAATTGGTGCATGCCACAGCCACATGCTCCTGTCGAAACCGCTGGCTTTCGAGGTTCAAGTGACCTCCTAAGGAGGGAACATCTCAATGAGACCTGACTAGAACGAAAATGTCGTGGGCAAAGCCCTTGACCACTGCTTGTGTGGTCCTTTTGAACGTGAGGGGAGCCGATGGAGCGTGTCTGGCAGACGCTTGTTTCATCTTTGCCAATCTGTTGAACGTCGTTGGAGGGTCCTAAATCCACCCAAATCATCCCAAATCACCATTTCCTGCTTGACTGTGAATCTTGCCAGCCTTCAAAGTCCAAAAAGGTCAACTGGGCCGACTGGGCATCCTGGGCATCCTGGGGCTGTGTTGTCTCAGGACGCTATCCCCAGCGCAAGCCGCATATGGGCCAAAGATGATTCAGGAGACGACCTACCCATAGGTTTATTCGATGCCTGGACTTGATGACCCAACAAGGTCAGCCCACGAAATCTACCAAGTTTTTAAGGACAGTTGGCATCGTTTGCAAACTAGAATCATTATACAATCATATATCCAGTTTCGGATTCTGGGATGGGGCTAGGTGTAAACATGTCGAAGTATCGACCACGCAACGAAGGACATTTGATTTGAGCTTGTACGCTTGAGGGATCCCAGTCGCCCCAAAAAAAGCATTTTAAACCGTATTTTTTCCCCTCGAAACTGTGGCCCCACTTGTCATGGCTCAGGAAGGTCAATGGGACTCGGCCTATCTTTTTACAACCTTTGTGCAGATATTGATTGAGGAGGTCCTAGGGTACCACACCATTTTAAGCGAAGAGGAGCCGGATAGGGGCGGCGAGACGGCTCACCAGCCACATCTTTTCGAATGGCTTGTCTTGTAGGACGTCGATCCATTGGGTTTGGGATCTGTATCTGTGTATCGCTATGGCTTTGGGCGCGCCGCAGGATGGTATCAGTGGCGCCTCCGCCCATTTCGCCTTAGCGGGATGTCTCAATTGGAACAGCGCCCAAAGCAATGAAGACCGGTCCTTCGGTGTCCATTTGGTTCCCAAGAAGGGCAGCCTCGGAAACGCTTCATTTTGGGGGCCGTAAATTTGTGCATTTTGGGAGTTTTGAATTTCCTTAGCTGCATATTTACAGAGCTGTAAAATCTGAGCACAGCTGCAGTACTTCCCACCTGTGACCTTTGATTGGTGCGCCACCCGAGGAAATGTGACCTCAACGAAACCCGGATGCACGTGGTCGTTGACGGCTGGATGTCCAACTGGCCAAGTGAAGCGGCATACATCGCAAAGTCACCTGGCATCACTTGGCGCCTCAGTCACAGCAATGACCAAAACCAGTAGGTTTCCATAGGTTCCTGGTTTTAATGGTTTTTTTTAAGGGAATCTCACGGATTCAATCCCGAACCAGAATCAACCATGGGACTTTCCATGGTGGCAAAGTTGCTACGGCTCAACTAATGGCCCGCAATGAGGATGCAATACTCATTTGCAAAGAATCATGGTGTCCATCCGTCCATCCAACTGTTTTTTCTTTGCTGACCTTCCAATGCATTTGTGAATGAACCCTTATGAACAACACACACACACACATCACTTCAAGGCAAAATAACATGTCTGGCACGTCCTGCCGGCCAACAGGTTGTCGGAGTTTGCGTTTTTGGTAGAAGCATGTGGTGTAGATGGTGCACAAACTACTTCAAAATGGCAAAGCTGGTAAGTATAGCGTGTATGTATATAATATATTTATACAATTATACACACATATTTTGCTTGAAGGGATCAAGATTCGGGGGAAACCGTGTTAAAGCTGCCAAGCACCTGTTTGAACAGTTTGCTTTGCGTAAAAGGCTCTTATTGTAAAAACGTCTTGGTGCAAAGGGGAGCGCATTAATAGTTGCTTGGTGTAAAAACTGCTTTGCGTAAAAAGGCTATTTGTGTACAAAGGGGGGGTCAGGTCAGACGAAGCAAACATCCGTGTAAGGGAGACTCTTGGATAAGTACAGCCGGCACATCAACAGCAGCCGGCGGATTCCAAATGGGCGCATGTTGAGGAGGTGCTGGATAATCACCACTCGGGCTCACACAGACCAGATTGAAAGTATTGACGAAGTGTCAACAGAAACAAACAATATCAAGTCAGCAGAGACAAAAGCCAAGTGAAACACAATGCACACATCATACCAATATATGCACACAGACACATGACATAGTCAGAGATCCCACTTGGTAAACCAGGTATCCACATTTGGTGCCAGAAGATTTAGGCAGCATGGGCTACGACGGTGTGGAAGGACGGATTTCTGGGAGATTCTCCCATTAAAAAATCCACGTTTTTCGCCTTTACAAGGAATCTAAATCTATGGGATTGCTATGGTCACATGTGGTCACTATAGCCATTATAATCCCATAACAATCCTACTATGATGGATCAACAGGGGCCCCATGGGGCCCCATTCATCCGTACAAAATGTTGCGCTCCTTGACTTGCAGGAATCTACGTCACGCACGACATCATGAGTGAGGCCTATGAGTCCGAAGGCTTGGCATTGAATTTTTATTTGAGCTACAACCAGACACATCACGAGCCTCGGCAGCCACGACTCTGAAGACAACTGGGTCGGAGCGTCCAGAAAAACGGGGTATGTAACGAAGCAAAATAGTGATAGAATCATATAGTAGAATCGGGCAAATGGGGTTATAGAATGTTATAGAACCAACAATATGATATGTCTGGAAATGGTAGGAAAACGCCCTCCCATGGTGTTAGAATTTTGTTAAAACCATCATTTTCCCACTTAAGATGGCCATTTCTGGGTTGGCACGTCTGAGGATGCGAAACAGTATTTCGACGGCATCGCAAACGTGCCTGGCCTGGCTGTTGGATTATGACTCGTGCCGGAGAAGTGGAGTTGTTCGGAATTAAATGTTATTCAAACATAATTGAACCAAATGATAACTCTTGAGGCCCTGTGGCGCCCATCATTGGAGCAAGGCTGATGAAACAGCTCGTTGACACGAAACAGGGAAGACTGATCCATGGGCCCTTTATCTGACAGCTATGAATCGAGATGTCGAAATGTCGAAATGCCAGATTTCATATTGAGTCATATTGTGTATTACTTTGTGATACTTTGTGCATACATCGCCTGTAATTACTACATTGTTACGGTTTTTTCGGAAACTTCCCACCGGGTGCGCTTTACCTTGGCCTTGCCAAGGTCAATTCTTCGCGGTTACAGTGGTGCCACTGAGCTGCCAGAGACAGGGTGTTGGCCATTCGGAAGTCACTTACTGGTGCCATATCCTGCGGATATGGATGGATATGGCCCATATTGGATTGTTGGCACTTATGGATTGAAAAAAAAAATCACATAGTATATAAGAGACTATGCTTGCGAGGTAATAACACCAACCTTTTCAATCGCGACCACATGGAGAATTACCTCCGATGGACTGGCGATTCTGAAGGTGTCGGCACTGGAGTCATAGCGAGAGTGGAAGTCATGACCCTTCCGATATGTCACCCGATTGAGGGCCTAAATGACAACTGAACTGACTGGCTGTTCCCACAGCAACATTGACATGATCAATTTTGATGACATCCCGAAAGTTTCAGTTACTCGATTGCAAAACCTATGTGCAATATTTGAGAAGAAAAAGATGATGATGATGATGCTGATGATGATGATGGTGATGATGATGGTGATGATGATGATATTGATGATCATGGTGATGATGATGATGATGGTGATTATTGTGATTATTGTGATGATGATGATGATAATGATGATGGATGATGATGATGATGATGGTGATGATGGTGATGATGATGATGATGGATGATGATGATGATGTTGATGATGATGATGGTGACGGTGATGGTGATGATGATGAGGATGATGATGATGATATTGATGATCATGGTGATGATGATGATGATGATGATAATGATGATGATGATGATGATGATGATGGCGATGACGATGACGATCATGACGATGACGGCGACGACGACTACGATGATGACGACGACCACGACTATAATGATGAAGATGAGGATGAGGATGACGAAGAGAAGGATGATGAGGATGGTGAAGATGAAGATGAAGATGAAGGAGGTGATGATGATGATGATGATGACGACGAGGATGACGATGACGACGACGACGACGATGACGACGACGACGACGAGGAGGACGAGGACGAGGACGAGGACGAGGACGAGGACGAGGATGAGGATGAGGATGATGATGATGATGATGCTGATGATGATGATGATGATGTTGATCATTTTTGAACATGTGAGTTTGAATCAGATGTTTCTTTTGGAAAAACTAAGGTTTATGGTAGTTATACAATGATAGAGAATCTCCATCGGTTTATGGTAGTTATATAACGATACAGAATCTCAATCCATTTCAATAATGATAGAAAATCACAATGGCAGGCCTTGTGCAGATGGAAGATGGGCGACACGTGGCCAAGTGTTTAAACGGCCTGTTCTGGCTATCGCCGGCATGCCGAGCAGATGCGTCCAGCTGCATCCCGGTCCTCACCGCCGGGTCAGGCGGGGCACTGATGGTATCTCCATGTATCTCCCCCAGTTTGGGAGGATTACACCATGATTAAACTCATGAAACATAGTTGCTGGTTCTGTCATTTGCTTTTGATTACATCTAGTGGACGTGCTTACAGTCTCGCTTCTCCGCTACAATCGCTTCGCTGTTGTCTAGGCTGGGGGCATCGAGACATCATGCAATGGGCGACGGCCTATGCAATGCCATTGTCCTTGGGAGTGGCCAAGACCTTTAGCGACGAAGTGTCAATGGTGAAGGATGGACGATTTGTTTTCTATTGGTATGAGTTCCTCGACATCAGAGGGGCTGAAAAAAAGGTTTGTTGACCGGAAAATAGATGAAAGTAGCGGCTAAGAATGGGTGTTACCGTTGGATTTTGGGGTTGTAGGAGCTGTCGCATTGTCAGATGATGGAAACTTGGAGAACTTATAGGACTTCTAGAGTTCAAAATAACTCAAATGAATGTGTGTATATATATAAGTACATTCCAACATAGTATCATTATACAAAATCCATCAATCAAGCTCCCACACGTCGTAAGATTCAAGCCAAGCATAGTTGGCATAGTTGCATGAATGTTCATGACAAATTCCGGCTGGAACATCGTGTGGTACCAAGGCCAGATGCTGCTTTCGCCTTGCTGTCACCCAGCTCAGTGATCTTTCCACGGCACAGTGCTCAACAATGGGCTCAAGGAGATCGGAGGACAGCGCCCAAGGCGGCCTATGTGAACAAGGCGATTCTGGTGCTTGTCTCCAACGGCAATCTCAGCGGCTGGAATGATGGTAAAATGATGATTCTTGATGGATAAACACTGATTGATGAGAATTTGCACTGATCCTTCACAGGTCAGTTGCCTGGATTTTGCACTAAGTTTTCGACTGCACTGCTTCCAGGCTTGCAGTCGGAATTTGCAGTACAAGGCGCCCAAGGCGGGGACAGGACACGTTGGTGCAGCCTGCAAGTCCCAGTTTTCCAAGCTTCAACTTCGCCTTGAACACATTTTCTTATGTGTGAACTGGCTCAAGACTCAAGACTACTAAAATTCGCAAATTTGGAGAGTTCGCCACATGCCAAATGACCTGTGGTGGGTTTGTGCCGTTGCTACCTGAATTTGGCCATTGATACTACGTGGCCAGGTAAAGGACTTCCTGAGTAAGATCAGCTTCGACCTGCAGGACACCCAAACGGCTTCAGGGGAGGTGTATTGTTGTAGCAAGAGAGTAGGGATCCCATGGATTTTCTGGCACCCAAGAATCTTGGGTAACTGCATGCAGCTGCAGCCCAATTTGATCCTCAGATCTCCAACGCCTACGAGAACGATGACACATTTACGTAGAACTCAGCTTCTTCTTGGCTATATTTGTTGGATTTGTCAATTGAGAGGTTTCCCTGTTTGGATCACTGTCCCTACCAAGTGGTTCTTAAGCATGGCTAGTGCCTTGAAGATCTGCTTTGTGGGCGAGCCGTCTCCTTGATCTGGCTGAGTGTTTTTCACCCAGGTTGACCTAAGCTCAGTGCTTGGTGTAGGAAACGGTTCTGCTCTTGTGCGATTCCAATGAATGTTTGTGAAACGTATTCCAAATGATCAGCAAATCAGTGATTCCCTCTTGTCCAACAGATTTTCGACCCAAACATGAGTGGTTCCACCAATCAGATGATTAGGTACTTTGTATAATTATAGCACGCCGAAAAAGATGCAGCAGAAAGCATATAATTGATCCTGTGAAAATAGTGGTAAGCATAAATGTAAATTGAAGTGTTTCTATCTTCTTGGGGTCTACTAAATTAAAGATATCTATAGATTATAGAACCCAAAGTTTTGATGATCTTAAGCTACTATAAGATACTATAGAAATCTATAGATATTATCTATAGATAATATAATATGGATGATATCTATAGATTATGATCTTAGGTTATAAAAGTTCTACTCCAATCATTTCGACCACGATTTGGCGTTTTGATGCCAACTGGCGGCGTAGGAAGCCCAAAGGCTTCTTTCACTGACACAAGGAGGCGCGGAGTTGGCGAGTGGCGAGGCGAAGAAAAGATTTGGGGTCCAGAAACAGGAGATTTACCATCTGGTTGTTTGACATAGCCAACTAGAAAATCCCATATTTATAGATGGTTTATGATGATTTACCTATCTAAAAAGGTGATTCTCCATAGCTACGTTAAATAACCAGAGGTTGTGGGAATTTATATGAAATTATGGCCATTTGGTAGGACCCATGAGTGGATTTAGGATAGCCTGTTTTTGGACAAAGCCTTTTTTGACCCGAGTATAGAGGGGGGTGTTGAACAAGGGGAGGTATGATGCAAAAAAGCGGGGGCTTGGAGCACATAGACATAGAATACACTCTTGTGAAACGTGGATCGCATTACAACATCAACAAAGCACAGTTCAAGGCTGGCAATTCACCAGCAACATGTGACTTCTGATCAAAATGATGGAATTATACGGACCGTTCAAAACATTTCGGGCCAACAAAACCAGGTTTTGAACCCTTCATTCTGCCAGCCCAAATTGCTGCGAGGCATGTCTTTTTACAACGTTTCCTGCCAGTGGATTCGAGAGAATCGAAACAGGTGGAGCTGTTTTTTTTTTCCGCTTTTTACGTCCATCGGATTTCTGGAAATTTTAAGTGGGGAATCATTGTGGGTTTTTGGCATCGAAACTCCATCATTTTTTCCAAAAGGTCACCATTTTTGTGGTAAGAGATGTAAAAGTCCATTTAGGCCTAACTTTGGGGAAAAGATGAAGCTAAAAAGCTGCTCCAGCTCAATTTTTCAGAGCAAGTAAAGGTAAAGGCGGGGTTAGCATGTCAGGATGGCTTCCGGACTATTCCAGACATAGATACATTGCGCAGTGTTTTCAAACAATCCTGGACGACAACGGCCAGTGAATCAACTGGAATTTGAAGCAATGAATCATGGGACATTTTTCAGCACCACCAAGCAGGTTTTGAGTTAACGGTTACGATTTTATGGTCTCCGATAACACATTCAGAAACTGTGATGCTACAATTTTCATGATTTTCCAAAATTGAAAAGTTTAAACTTCACCACTTCTCGGGTAATCCAACGTGGAAGATCCTTGTGCAGGTGGGCCGACTGGGTCAGTGGTGCTACCAGCTGCTCTGCGGGCTACGGCTTGGCTGCTATGACAGGTCAGGGACGACCTGCCAGGTTCATAACATGACCCGCATCATCTTTCAGATATTTTCAGATACCAAACCAAATCCGTGTAATCCCAACCCCCGTAATGAACTAGGTAGTGCCCGGCCCGCGCTGGGGCGAAAGTTTCGAACAATTTGAACCAGCTATCAGAAATCAATGGCCTACAGGAAAGTTTTTGAGATGTAGAAGCAAGGAGGTGTTGAATTTGCGCAATTCCGCACAGTGCAAGCGTGGTGCTAGGCTGAAAAACATTGAACAACTACCTTTCACGAAGCTGTTACAATGTGTCTACCTCGAGCTGCAGTCTCGCATAACGGGAGCGTCGCAGCATCACTGCTTTGCTGCGTGCATCCCTGTCAGTGCGTTTTTGCCACGCCGGCTGCAAACCCGCATAGCCAGCGCGTCGCACCAAATCGACCAACGTTCGCGTGGCGTCAACAGCTCGGACTCCACCCTTGGTAAAATCGAATTCTCGCTACAGTCTCCCGCGCGTTTCCGAACCTCATCTTCCAAAAGTGCTCCGAACGTCAGTTCTTAAGCATTGAATTGCACCACAGTCTCCTACGCAGTTTGTCTCGAGGCCCGGAACCGCGGAAAAAGAGACCCTACTTCGGCGACCCCAGGAACCACCATACCCATAAAAGCACAGGGTTTCGTGCCGAGAGTGTTTTTACCCGTGAATTACACGCTCTCGGACTCAAGTACTTGATGATGGGGTTGACATGATGGTGTGAATTCTAGCCATGACCATCGCCCGTACCTCCGGTTGTCTGATCCGCTGGTCCGCTGATCCGCTGGTCCGCTGGTCCGCTGGTCCGCTGATCCGCTGGTCCGCTGGTCCGCTGGTCCGCTGGTCCGCTGGTCCGCTGGTCCGCTGGTCCGCTGATCCGCTGCTCCGGTCCGCTGATCCGCTGGTCCGCTGATCCGCTGCTGTCCTCCTGGTCCGCTGATCCGCTGAATCGCTGATCCGCTGGTCGCTGACCTGCTGATCCACCTGCGTGGATCCGCTGGTCCGCTGGTCCGCTGATGATCCGGTGATCCGCTTGATCCGCTGGTCCGCTGCTGATGATCCGCTGATCCGTGGTCGCTGGTCCGCTGGTCGCGCTGATCCGCTGATCCTCCGGATCCGCTGATCCGCTGGTCCGCTGGTCCGCTGATCCGCTGGCCCTCTGATCCGCTGATCCGCTGGTCCGCTGATCCGCTGGTCCGCTGAATCCGCTGACCATGGTCCGCTGATCATGGTCCGCTGATCCGCTGATCCGCTGATCCGCTGATCCGCTCCGCTGATCCGCTGATCCGCTGATCCGCTGATCCGCTGATCCGCTGGTCCGCTGGTCCGCTGGTCCGCTGGTCCGCTGATCCGCTGATCCGCTGATCCGCTGGTCCGCTGGTCCGCTGGTCCGCTGGTCCGCTGGTCCGCTGATCCGCTGATCCGCTGATCCGCTGGTCCGCTGGGCCGCTGGGCTGCTGATCCGCTGATCCGCTGATCCGCTGGTCCGCTGATCCGCTGATCCGCTGGTCCGCTGATCCGCTGGTCCGCTGATCCGCTGCTGATCCGCTGGTCCGCTGATCCGCTGGTCCGCTTATCCGCTGATTCGCTGGGCTGGCCGGATGGCTGGAGGATCATGAGTGTTAAGAACATAACTGGCTACAAGGAGCTGTCGCCCGGATTTCCTTCACTTTCAGCCATGCAGGTGCATTCTTATCTTCCAGGGACGGTGCTTTCATCTGCAAGCCACTTTGGTCGCAGGTACAGACGGCGCACGTGGAACCATGATGAAAAATCAACGGAGGGAAACGGTTCAAATTCATCTTCCTCGCAGTTGCGACTGGTCAATATATGTCAATATTATACTACTCAGTTACATTAGTAACAATGCTCGATGTCCAACTGGTCATTTGAATGATGACATCTGAGGGAATGCCCGGCCGGACGGTTTTCTGAAAGATTCACCGACGGCGTGGGGTCAGCGTACCGGTGTGACTTAGCTGCAAACTTTCCATGGATGGTCATGGCGCCGATTAAAGACCCACTGGGGTTATAACCCACTGAACCGCCAAGTTGAGACCATCAAAATGGATCAGAATGGTCACCGGATGGTCTATTTTTGAACCATCAGTTTTTGGACGCGCCCGCTGTTTTTCCGGCAGTCCAAGTCTTTCCAGGTACGATTTGCCAAGAAGGCACCAGCCAGAGCAAAGCAGGTGCGACGCAATGCGATGCATGCAGCCTGGATGGCATAAAATCTCTCGATTTGGGATTTTTCAGGGGCCCACTTGATGTGAGTTGATTAAGCACAATCTGAACATCTCACATCATATCCCATCATGATGTAAGATGATTTGCGCGATGATTCAGGGGAAACATCTCCAGTTGTTCACCTGGGATCTTGGATGCGTCTGAGGTGCAAAGGGTACTTATACCAGCGTGCGTGGGCAGACCGGCTGCGAGGTTTGCAGTTTTGGTTCTTACCAGAGCGACGAGGGACAGACAGGATGTGGCTGGGCAGCACCTGGACCTTGGTGGTGACTGGCGATGACACACAATTCCCTTCGCAGCTGACGGTGATGATTACTAAAATGCGTCAAAATGCTGTGAATCAAACTTGGGAAGGCTTCAATCTCTTGTGGTGTGATGATTTGTGTCAAAATAGAGTACCCCAAAATCATCCAAATGCCCCTGTTTATCATAGTTAATGCCAAGTCAGGATTAATTAACCCCTCCAGATTAATCAACCACCACTGCCCATTTTTTTGTCATTTAAAGACAGGTGGTCCCCCCAGATTAATAAACACTTTGGCCTACCCCCGATTAATCAAGCACCAGTGCTGAAATTCCTTTTTTTTTAATCTATGTTTTTTTATTTCCAATGCTTTTTCTTTCTCATCACTCCTCCAGTGCTGAAATTACATTTGTTTGAACCAAAATGTCTTATGTCCAATTCAATTTGTTTCTCATCATGTCTCATCAATCTCAGAACCATGAGATTTTAGCAATCAAACCTCATCAAATCCAATATATTCCTATGGGAACCCATGAGATTTTAGCAATCACACCTCATCAAATGCAATGGAATCTTGTGGGATCCATGCAGTTTTAGCAATCAAATCTCACCAAACCCAATGGAATCTTGTGGGACCCATGAGTTTTAGCAGTCACATGTCATCAAATCCAATGGAATCTTGTGGGGTCCATAAGATTTTATCAAATTTCATCAAATCCAATGGAATCCTATGGGATCCAATGGATTTTAGCCATCAATTTCCATCAAATCCTATAGGGGGGAGGGGGGGTTATTAATCCGGTGTTGGCATTATTGTCATTAGATCCCTCCTTTCTTGTGGTAAACCCGATTTTTTTCTTATCCTCCAATTTGGTGTTTCGCCAGGCTTATCCTGCCCAGAGGATCGAACCACACTGTTCCTGGCAGCGCAAAAGCTGCAGGACTGTGTCTGCCGCTGGTCATGAGGTTTTTTTTCATGGTGATGATAATAAGGGATCAAGATCCTGGTATCCGGTCTTTGTCACATCAAAATGTGAACATGATGAAGAATGTGCTGGTGCTGACTGGCGGTGTTACAAACGCGTCGAGATCAGCGCATCTCTCCTTTTGATTCCAGTACGGAGTGAAGACGAAAGTGCGTGAAGCATAACTTATAGGCATCAAACATAGTAGATGGATGATGGTTGATTGATCATGGATGTAATGTGGTCCCAGTTTCATAGCCCATTGGGCCCATTGGGGATGGTTTATTCTTGGCACCGGTTGACCTCACCCAGCCAAGGCAGAGCCGAGTCCATTGAACATGATGGGATTTGCGTGGAGTGCTCCCAGGGCCTCACATGTCCCAGAGGATCCACCGTGCAACTGCTACTGGATGCTTGGTACCGTTGTTTCATCCCAAGCATCAAGGCAGATCAGGTACAGATCAGGCCCCAGGTATGTCCCCCAAATGTCAGACATGCATTGGATTTCACCCAGGATGGTGAATCTGAGCTCTATGAAGAGGTGCCCATGGTGGAGCAAGGCTATCACAGCACTCTAGCAGCTCGATACCACGGAGAAGTCGTGCTTTTTTTCCGTTTTAGAGGTGAGATGCTATGGCTTAGCACTCCGGAAAATAGCTGGTCCGGTTTTCATCCCCTCACAGGTAGTATCATCATGTATCAGCTGATACTTTGACTCATTTGACCACAGGATCATCCATGACCAACAAGGACAAGGGTGCATAGATTGGCAAATGATTGTCTCACATAATCAGCTATTGTACTTCACCATGGGATCCTGCGCCCAAGGAGGCCCCGTTGGATATCTACAAGTGCATCGGCCACTGTCCCGGTGGCCGTCCGGGAACCTGTGATGCAGGGCGCATCGGAGTGACCTGTGGCAACTGCCCCAAATATGAATTTATACAAGACGAAACTTGGTAGAAATATGGTACTGATGGTACTGTACCAGTAAGACCGCACAAGGCGGTTGCGGAAGTTTCAACAATAGGAAACCTATAGGAAGGGTTGGTTGTTGTGACTCACGGATGGCAGAGCGAATCCACTGATGGACCGAAAGGTGGTTGGAGTTTTGTTGTCTGGAGTGATTGCAATGGTTGCAGTGGTCACCTCACCACAACTGCTGGATGTAGTGTGGTGTAGTGCAGTTGTAGCTGCAAGTTGTAGTTGTAATGTAGTGCAATTAGTGTAATGTAGTTGCAGTTGCAGTTGCAGTTGCAGTTGTTTTGCGGTGTACTTAGTGTAGTGTATTGTAGTGTACTGTAGTGTTGTGTACTGTAGCGTGGTATCGTGTAGTGTGGTCTAGTGTAGTGTAGTTTAGTGTAAAGTAGTGTAGTTGTAGTTGTAGCGTAGTGTCGCGTAGTGCAATGTAGTGGTAGTTGCAGTTGTAGTGTAATGTAATGTAATGTAATGTAATTAGTGTAGTGTAGTGTTGTGTAATGTAGTGTAGTTCTAGTTGAATTTATATTTGTAGCTGTAATGTACTGCAGTTTTATTAGTGTTTTGTAGTGTAAGGTAGTGAAGTGTGGCTGTAATTGTAGTTGTAGCGGTGGTGGTGGTGGTGGTGGTCGTCGTCGTCGTAGTAGTAGTAGTAGTAGCAGCAGCAGTAGCAGTATATAGTAGTTGCTGTTGTAGAAGTTGTAGTGTAATTAGCGTAGGGTATTGTAATTAGATGTGATTAGTGTAGTGTAGTGTAATTCGTGTTTTGCTTTGTAATGTAGCGTAGTATATTTGTAGTTGTAGTGTAGTGTAGTGGTACTTGTAGTTGTAGTTGCAGTTGTAATTGTCTATCTATCCGTCTATCTGCAAGCTTGAAAACGAAGCTATTCTGCGAGAAACATCAAAAACGCAGCAATTCTGCGAGACTTCCTTAATTTTTGAATTTGACAACGTCAAAAACGAAACAATTCTGCGAGACTTCCTCAATTTTTGAAGTTGACAACATCAAAAACGAAACAATTCTGCGAGACGTCCTTCAAAAATGGAAAGCTGAGTGCAGAGCTGACGGCCTCGTGCCAATGCGTTTTGCGATTTTTCCACTCCACCTGTCTAAAGTATTGCGCCTGCCACGAAAAAGTGAGGCCAGGTCATACGAAGTGCTGCACATGTCACGCAAAATCATCTTCCCAAAACCGAAATCAGCGCCCGGACCTCCTAACATCTCTGATGAACATGTCTCTTGTACTGTGCCTGCCATGGAAGATGTATCTTTGCAGATCCTCTTCAAATGTCCCACGCCTGCCTCGTTTTTGGACATGCTACAAAACCGTCACCTTTTGCTCACTCTTGACATGCAATGGTGCACAATGCCTTGCGCCTGCCATGCGCAACGACATCTGAACGTCCAAAAGTGGTCAGAACATGTGTTGTTACATTTTGACTTAGAAATGCGCTTCCACCACAACGGCGTGCACTTTTTCGACATCTCAGCTCCCAAAAGTGATCCGACACTGAGGTGTTTTGCGCATTTTGACTTGGAAATGTGCTTCGCGCCACGTCGGCGTGCACTTTTTCGACATCGCAACTTCCAAAAGTGGTCCGATGTTGGTGTGTTTTGTACATTTTGACTTGGAAATGTGCTTCGCGCCACAACGGCGTGCAACTTTTCATCTCTCATCTGACCACACGGCTCCGCACCCGCCGCTTTAGCGAGCCTACTTTTCGAACCTCCGGACCCACAAATCATTGGAAAAACACCGTGTTTCGCGACTTTCCTACCTTTTCGCGCACCTGGATCTTCTTTCTTCTGAGACTTTTACTTGTTTGATCTTCTTTCCTCTTTCCTCTTTCCTCTTTCCTCTTTCCTCTTTCTTCTTTCTTCTTTCTTCTTTCTTCTTTCTTCTTTCTTCTTTCTTCTTTCTTCTTTCGTTTTTCTTCTTTCTTCTTTCTTCTTTCTTCTTTCTTCTTTCTTCTTCTCTTCTCTTCTCTGACTCTTCCCATCTCTGCTTTTCATCTGTCCATATTGTCGGAAGTTTGACTTCTAAACTTCCTTTGGGCACTGTTTACTCTATTATTATTATATATATATATATATTTTTTTTTTGTGGCTTTGTATTTACTCCGGGTTCAGACTCCCATGGAGCTTTTCGGCCCATATCTTTACAATTTTTCATACAGGAATAGAGCCAAGGAGCGATGCCGACCCTGTCGTCCTGTGCACTCGGCCGCTTGGTTGCTGCCAGCCGGGGATATCGATGTACTTTTACGGGAGGGGATTATTTCCAACCCTTGTTTTTGATGATAATAGGGGCATACTACCAATGTAATATATGTACAAGTATGTAAATAACTATATAGATATATTACATGAGTAATTGGCCGACAAAATTAGCCGAAAACTAAAGTAGTAGGGAGTGGACTTGGGATGTTCAAATTTCTGTGAGGCCTTCGCAACGGATAGGGACCACCCACTTACCGATACCCTATTTTTACACATAGTTTGGAAGCACAAACCTTCAATACCGATAGGGGACCACCAACTTTGCCCATGTCCATTGCGAGTAGAAAGTAATCTTGTCCGCGACTCATATACTAAATGTAATTATATATATACGCGTAATTATATGCATATATATATATGTGTGTGTAGAGATATGTACACATATATATATATATACATATGCATATATAACATACATGTAACTATATCTAATTATTTATAATGTATGCATGTATATATATATATTATAATTATTGGGAATTATCATCGTTCATTCTGGGGATTGTTTTCTGTGACGTGTCTACAAACTAAATTTTGTTGAAACTTTGTCCTCTGCACGTGCAACCACCATGCCACTGCTTCAGCACGCCTAGGCGCTATGGGTTTTGGCATGTCCGCTGATATTCATCTTGATCATTTGCTCCTACTACATGTCCAATAAAGAACACGGCGTCAGGGCGACAGCTGCCTCGTGCATTTTCCAATTGTTTGGCCTCATTCTGGTCTTCTGTGAGCTCCTCGGCTGAGGCAACGTCTACTTTTAGATACGCTTATAGAAACTTATTGCCAAGGATAGTAAGTGATCCCATTCCTCCAATATTCAGAAAGGCGGTTTAACCATCAAAGGGGAGTTTGTAGGGTTAAGCCATCATTAGATCGGGGAACATATACATATACATACATATATATATATAATTGTTGATTGTTGATCTAAAGGTCCATGTAGACATTGTCCATTACAAAGGCCGCCAGGTTTCCAACATGAGACCCCCGCGAAAGATAAGCGTGGGATTCGCGAAAGATTTGCAAAAGTAAATTGTTATTTGCGAAGAATGGCCGTTTGCAGAAAAAGGAGTTTAGATCAACCGCCCATATATATATACACATGCATACATACATACATGCATGCATGCATGCATGCATACATACATACATACATACGTTGAACTTAAAGACCCTCCAACTCACAGATATTTGGCGCTTTTTCCCAACTCATCGATGTTCATCGATGCTGCCAACAAGGATTATTGCCGTGGTGCAATCTGTGGCAGTTGAATGGCCCAAAGGTCTTGCAGTGGCATTGAAACTTGACACAAAAGGCAATGTCAGAAAGCATTGGCTGGCCGCTGAACCCATTGGGCCCTAGGGTTTACATGGATTTACCACGAATTACCATAATTTTCGCTACTAACACTGCCACTATATATGATTATATGCATATCCCGATTTTACTTATACCTGAGTAGGATTCAGAATGGGAGCAGCCAGCCCAGCGAATCAACGTGGAGGAAGTCCAATGGCACCGGGATGGGCTGATGTTTTGATCACGCGAGGAGCTACTTTGAAGTCTTCGGATTGAGCTTTGAAAGCCTGGGCTTGGGCTCTTTGGCTGGAACTTCTTTGAGGAGCTACGTGGCTCAGAGCTTCTTCTTTCCAATCTTGGTCACTGGTCTGCAAAATGTCATATTTTTTGGGTGGAAACTTTGCAGTTTGCTATGGGCATTTACCATTTTAATAGGACAGGGTCTATAAAGGAGCAATTTTCCATAGAAAGGTTCCAATATAATTTGAACATAGCTCTGGAGCATGCTCCAAGTCCCTCCAACACCACAAATGAAAGGAATCCTTCAGAAACAATCTTTGAGTAGATCTGTTCAATTGCCGGACCTTGGCGCCAGTGCGAGAATTTGGCCGTGGATACTATCCATCATGATGTGAAAATTGAAATCCTCTCAAATTCATGGGCCGTTCCCAAATGTGCAATGTTCCTTCCGTCTTCATCAATGTTTTTATGGGTTTTTATGGCAAAACAGATTCCAGCCATGTAGTCTTGGATGGCATGGATTCCGCTGAACGACCAGGTTGCGGGATGCTTTGTGGTGCAAGGTTTGACCCAGATCATTCCTTTCCCCAAGCGCTTTCTCCACCTGAAATGGACCAAAACTGCAACCTGCAACATGCTGGGGCACCTTTTGCGACCTGCCAGTTGAGTTCATGGATTGGGGGGCCAGCACATCTGTCTGATCACAGCTGGGCAGATTGTAGTTCCAAAAATAAACCGTCGCTTTGCAGTAAACAGACCTAGCTTAGCAGCTTCGCCACTGAGGCAAGAGGCTTACATCATGATGAGCAACATTGCCTTCATTCCCTTCAGTTGTTTCACGCATCCGAATGGTTCAGAGAGTCTGCTGACCGCCACCAACATCTTGTGCGGCTCCGCGGAGCATCGGAACATGCAAGTCTTTGGCGCGATCTTGGGTTCCCTGGCATGGAGTCTTGTACAATTTCGGATCGCCACAAAAATCTTGGATCTCGTTGCACTGTAGCGGAATCTTTCAACATTTTTTTACGGATGTAAAAACCACATGTTGATCATCCCAACTTCATCGCCGGTCGTCTCATGGGTTCACTCAGCCAGGTTTGTTGTGCATGGTCTTCCTGGCGTTATGCAGCTATGCTGCGCTGAAAGCCCCTGCCTGGTCAGATTCCCCTGTTACTGGGATGCATCAGGAGCTGTTCCTACATAATATACGACTAGGTTAAAAAAAGTAATCCAGGGTCAAAAAAAGAGTTGCCCACTCTGATTCCTTTAAATCACATATTCCATCCTTTGTTGCATTCCAGTTAGTATTCAAGGGTTCTTTTTTGTTCATAGTGTCCCAACCAAGATTGTTGGATGGCTTGAAACCATCAAGCATGGGTTTATTTCATTCTTGGAGATGTGCCCCGCTTGCCACACCTTTGAGGTTCGAATGTCATGCATTCGTTTTCTCATCGACCGCTTTCGGCCAGATGTTTGGTGGTATGGCACCTTGGCAGAGTTAGGCCATTGGGAGATATTCTTGGCAGGATGTTCTAGCTTGATTTGGACCCCCTTTGAGACATGAGACATCCTGAGCTGTTTCCGGTGCCGTCATGTGATGTTTCAGGAGTTGCAGAGCAGTGAGCCTCATCAGCTCATGTTCCCTGACATCCAAAATCTACAGTACAAGCTTGGAAGACCATTGAATCCCACCCTGTGCTGCCAGGCATTATCCTCTTGGTCCGCGGGCCGCTCCTCTCTATACCTGCTATTGTTGCAGCCAACCTGCCAGGAGGGGAGCTAACTTGCTGCCAGGTTTGGGAAACCTCGAAATGATTGTTTTTGTGATGGTCATTTCTGCTAAGTGTGTAAAAAGGGGTTGGATTGAAACAGAAATAGAAAGTATGAACTGCATTCTGGCATTTGTCCGTACTGCTTTAAAAAGGTCATTATTTGAATAGGAAACCTGTCAATTTTTGGACACCTTCTGTTTCGGGGTTTTGCAAACCTGCGACTCGTAAAGGCTTGCAAATGACTGGGCTCATGGGGATCATGCTGATTTCGGTTTTGATTCAAGTGCGTTTCCTTCCGTGGAATGCACCGCTGGCGAATGTGGCCGATGCTGCATCTTGCAGCCTTTTGTTGATGCTCGACTTAGCGACGATTCGACCATCGGAGCGTACAGGAATACGTACTTTAGTTTCCATGATAGTCCTTGCTTCATCTTCGTCTTTTTTCCTTAACAGCAAACTTTGCTATGGGGTCTTTAGCCCAGATTAGCTCTGGTAAGATCCGGTGCGGCTTCAACACCAGGTTCCGGGCAAGGTTCCGGAGGGTTCTCGAGGGTTCCGGTGCAGCGGTTCTGGAGGCTTCCCGGTGCAGATACCTGGTGAGGCTCCGGAGGGTTCTGGTGAGGTTCCGGAGGGTTCCGGTGCAGATACCTGGTGAGGTTCTTCCGGATGGTTCCGGCGCAGATAGCTGGTGAAGTTCCGGATGGTTGCGGGCAGATAGCCGGTGGGGTTCCGGAGGGTTCGTCAAGGTTCCAGAAAGTTCAGGTGCAGGTACCTGATGAGGTTTTGGAAGGTTCCGGCGCAGATACGTGGTGAGGTTGAGGCTCCAGAGGGTTCTGGTGCAGATACCTAGTGACGTTCTGGAGGATTTCGGTGCAGATACTTGTTGAGGTTCCGGGGTTCCGGTGCAGATACCTGGTGAGGTTCTGGAGGGTTCCGGTGCAGATACCTGTTGAGGTTCCGGAGGGTTCCAGGTGCAGATACCTGGTGAGGTTCTGGAGGGTTTCGGTGCAGATACCTGGTGAGACTTCAGATACCTGGTGCAGATACTCGGTAAGGTTCCAGAAAGAGGTACGAGTACCTGGTGAGGTTCCGGAGGGTTTCGGTGCACATAGCCGGTGAGGTTCCGGAGGGTTCGGGTGCAGGTACTCGGTAAGGTTCCGGAAAGTTCGGGTGCAGATGCTTTGTGAAGTTTCAGAGGGGTCTGATGTTTTTAATGGCATAAGCTTTTTTGGGCAGAAGGACTTAAATGATCTTAAACGCAGTATATGGTGCACTCATATACTTGTAGGTTTACTTTGCAGGTGGGGGGAGGCGTGGCAAAAAAGAAGTCGATGCATAAATGGTTAGACCAAGCACTGTGGAAACCAAAACAAGATCTTGAGCGAAACGGCAACGTAAAGACAACAATCTTAACACGTGGGCTTGCAGACGACTGACAAATAGACGGCCGACGAAAGTTGAAGAGTCATCTCGAACCATTACGACATCGTGGGTTAAAAGCAGCAGAGACATGGGTGACAGCGACCCAGTAAAAGATGTACGAGTAATACGATTGGCGTCGAATCAGAGTACGATTGTACGTAATGCACGAAAACCTTTTTCACGACTGAATGGTGGTTTTGCTTAGTGTCCCGTTTCTCTGTATTTCACACTCTGACATTCAGATAATGATTGTGATGACTGCAAATGCAGACAATACATGTGAGACCAATGTCCTTTGGATGCGTTACAGCACTTTAGAAAGACAGTTTCGTCGTGAAACATGTGTATGAGATTAATGTCCAATCATTGCAAAAACTAGATCCGCAAAAGACGTTGGCAAACGAAAACAACTGACGACGCTGAATTCGACGCATACCCTGTTCGATCAAGCGCAGAGCGCGCCAAAACAAATATATGACAAACAACATGGCAATGCAAAGGGAACAATCTCAGGACAAGCCAGCGTAAGAACCACTCAGCGCAACATGACCGACGAAACCTGCAGCGTCATAGATTGAATCATCACAACATTGTGGGCGAAAACTCTAGTAAACTGCACGGGTGGCAGACGCAGAGACCAGGGATCTGACAATCAATCTGCTGAACTGCACCGGCGGCAAGCGCAGACACCAACATTTTGAAAATCAACCTGGCCAACTGCTAGGGGGCAGGCGCAGGAGATATGACAAACGCTCTGGTAAACTGCACGGGTAGCAGGCGCAGAGACCAAGGATGCAACCATCACTCGGGTAAACTGCACGGTGGCAGGCGCAGAGACCAGGGATAGGTACAGCTTTGCATAGGAATGTTTCATATGCCCGTGTGCAACATTATCTAAATGATTCAATGACGGTTTCGCTTAGTGTCCTGTTTCTCTGCATTTCAAACTCTGACATTCAGATAATGATTGTGATGATTGTAAACGCAGACAATACGTGTGAGACCAGTGTCCTTTGGATGCGTTACAGTACTTTAGATAGACAGTTTCGTCATGAAGTAAACGTATGCGATCCCTTTGTTACACAGTTTGAGGTGTTTGAGATGTTTGTTCTGTGTTGTTGAAATGTTTGAGAAATTTGTTTTGTGTCTTTGACATGTTTAAGAAGTTTGGCCAGTGTCTGTGAGATTCTTGAGAAGTTTGTTTTGTGCTTTTGAGATGTCTTTTTGAGATGTTTGCGCAAAGCGGAAATTGGCGTCCAATACCAATCATTGCAAAAATTAGATCCGCAAAAAACGTGGCAAACGAAAAAACTCACAATGCTGAATTCGACGCATACCCTGTTTGATCAAGCGCAGCGCCCGCCCACACAAATATATGACAAACAGCATGGCAAGGCAAAGGGAACAATCTCAGGACAAGCCGGCGTGAGAACCACTCAACATAACATGACCACAAAAAACTGAAACGTCATATTGAAACATCACGACATTGTGGGCGAAAAGAAAAGCAAGAACAAAGGCGGGAAAGACTGATCCGCAAAACGTGTCGGCAAACAGCAGCAAGTCACAGCGCTGAATTTGACACATAATCAAAAGCGGTTCAAGCACGCACGGCGCAAACCAAAGCAAAAGTATGAATGACAACATGGCACGGAAAAGGGAACGATCCTAAGACGAACCAGCCTGAAAACCACTAAAGCAAAACGACGACCACAAAGCCTGAAGTGATATATTGAACCGTCACGACGGCCTGGGTGCAAAGAAACGCGACGACAAAGGTGGCATGGACTCAGTGAAGTGGCAATAAATGCAAAACCTGACTCGCGATCTGGTACTGCATGGGTGGCAGGTGCAAAGATCAAGGATCCAACCATCACTCTGGTAAACTGCACGGGTGACAGCACAGAGACTAGGAATCTGACAATCAATCAGCTTCACTGCGCCGGTGGCAGGCACACACACACACACCAACACTTTTAAAATTAACTTGGTAAACTGCACGGAGGGCGGGCGCAAAGACCAACAGTTTGAAAGTCAATTCGGTCAATTGCACGGGTGGCAGGCGCAGAGAACAAGGATGTAACTTGATCCAGCCATCACTCTCGTAAATTGCACGGGTGGCAGGCAGACCAGGGATCCGACAATAAACCCGCTGAACTCCACCGATGGCAGGCGCGGACACCCACATTTTGAAAATCAACCTGGTAAACTGCCAGGTGGCAGGCGCAGCGCAGAGACCAAGGATCTAACCATCAGTCTGGTAAACTGCACAGGTGGCAGACGCAGAGACCAGGGATCTGACAATCAATCCCTTGAACCCCACAGGTGGCAATCGCAGACACCATCATTTTCCAAAATCAACCTGGCCAACTGCAAGGTGGCAGGCGCAGGAGCAAAAGTTTTGATAAGCGATCCCGTAAACTGCACGGGTGGAAGGCGCAGAGACCAGGGATCTGACAATCAATCCCCTGAGCTCCAATGGTGGCAGGCGCAGACACTAACATTTTGAAAATCGACCTGGTCAACTGCCAGATCGCAGGCGCAGAGGCAAAAGATTTGACAAACGATTTGGTAAACCGCAGGTGGCAGGGGAAAAGACCAAGGATCCAACCATCACTCCGGTAAACTGCACAGGTTGCAGGCACAGAGACCAGGGATCCGACAATCAATCTGCTGAACTGCACCGGCGGCAGGTGCAGACACCAACATTTCGAAAATTAGCTTAGCTAACTGCCAGTGGGCGGGGCAGAAGATATGACCAACAATCTGGTAAACTGCACGGGTAGCAGGCGCAGAGACCAAGGATTCAACCAGCACTCTCGTAAACTGCACTGTGGTGGCAGGCGCGGAGACCAGAGATCCGACAATCAATCCGCTGAACTGCACCGATGCAGGTGCAGAGACCAGGGTAGGTACAGCTTTTCATAGGAATGTTTCATATCCCCGTGTCCAACATCATTGCATGATTGTATGTGTATGCTTGTATGTGTATGATGGTATGTGATTGTATGAGTGTATGTGCATGATTGTATGACAATGTGGGCATGATGTCATGATGACGAAGAGAAGATCATATACAGTTAGTAGCAGCGCGGCATCCAACATGGTTGCGTTCGTATCAATTCATGTTGGTTGAGGTTCCTAGCCCTGGTTCCTTTACCATTGTGCAGCACCATTGCATGCTTGTATGTGTATGATTGTATCTGTATGATTGTTTGTGTATGATTGTATGACAATGTGCGCATGATGTCATCGGGAAAATCACATGACTACTAGAGTTAGTAATGCTCGTAGCATACAATCCAACATGACTGCGTATGTCAAAGAATGATACAAAGCAGAACTTTCAAGTTGTTGGGATGGCACCTGAGGTCATTTTTCACTGCAGATGTTGCAGGATTCGGAATCAATTTCAAAGCTATCACGGTCTTTCCACCTCTTTCCGCCTTTCCCAGTGCATCTGTGCATAAGTCCAGTGAGGCATCCAACTCGACCTTAGGATCCTGCTGTCCATTGGCATTGCTCGCCTGCCAGCACCTGTGGGAAAATGGGGCAACGGGGTGTTGGACATCTCTGGCATCGTGGTGGCACTGCTGATACTGGCCGTGTGGGTGGTGGTGGTGCTGGCAGCTGGGGCCCCAGGGTGGTCCAGGGTGGGCCAGGGTGGAAAGGTGTGGCAAAATCGGATCTTGGATTGGAAGAGAGATGATATATCATGAGATATCCAGATCCAGATAACTATATGATAGATCTGGGTGAATCAGTCAAGTTCTTTTTTGTTGCCGGGTATCTTCAGATTGGCAAGCTATCCAAGGGGTTGGGCCCCCAGGGCCCACAATCTTTTTCAGGTTGCTATACTGGTGTTCCGCAAAGCCATCTTGAAGCGGGAGGAAACAAGGATCATCAACCTTGGAAAATTGGCGCGCTCACGCGTCTCAGCGTCGGGGATGTGGTATGGTATGGTTGGACTGGTTGGGGGGTGGATGGGTAGTGACAAAAAGAGCCTCAAAATACCCTTGACGGTTTGAAGTTTGAAGCACAGTTGGGGCGCTCCAAGGTGATGTTCTCCTCATCCTGGAGGATATTAGTAGCCATGTCAACGGATGGTCATCAGCGCAAATGCAACGAGTGGACGACGCAATCAATCAACTCTGCGTCTACGACTACCAGGTTCTTTGCACGTCCCTCATGCTCCTCTCCGTTGAGGTGGGTATAGGACCGTCCCGAACATCAACAAGCATGTTTTTTAGGTTAACGATGGATGACCGAATATCAAACACAGCACGAAATGGGCACTCTAAAGAGAGCTGCAAGCTCCAAACTCCATCAAACTCTAAGGTTTTGCTCATCCTCATATTTCATTCATATTTCATTCATATTTCATTCATATTTCCACATACCGATTTCAGGAGGCCGATCGTCATTGGGTTCCACCAGCATGCGAATCCGGGGGGTGAGCACCAAAGCGCAGAAGCTTCGACAGACCATGTCGCGACTGAGCCAAGTGGAGAGGGACAGTGAGGCGCCAAGGGCTGAAGCCCCAAAAAACTGGAGGGTCCGTCCGGGTGAATGACCAAGAAATACCAACAATCGGGGGCTTTCAGAACGAAAAATGGCTTAGCTTCACACACATTTTTTGAGAGCGCCCCCAAATAGGGGCCCAAATTTCCACGTGTTTTTTTTCTAAATAGTTTATGTTCTGACCTTCATAGCTTGAAGGAAGAACGAGAGATTTGCCAAGGAAACATTATGACTTGTGTTTAAAGTTATACGTGGTAATGTGCTCATGATATTAAGGAACATGATGTAATTAAGGGTCTTCGGGTATAGGTTTGATCAACATATGGATAAAATGATATACAAAAATGATGTTCCAAAAGTATTGTATTTCCTATTTAGGGATTTTCTGATTTTTTTCGGGTTCGCAAGAAACAAATGGTTTTAGGAGCAAAAGTTATGAGAATTTAAGGATCATTGAATGGAGGTGAAAGCTGACGAGCTATGCCACTGGTGGTTGGTGGCTTCATTTTTGTTTTCATGTTTCAGGCATCTTTGCAATGATGAAAATAATTTAACACATATTGCTGCGCCGGGTATCAACCATTGTTTAGATGATTTAGCTAGCAAGAAGAGAGACACAATGCCAACAACAAACGAAAGACAGAGGATTCAAGTAGTTTGTCAAATCGGTGGGGATCATATGACCAACATCAAACTGATGTTGAATACTGACGATGGTATCAATGCCATCGGGATTCTTCAAGGTGATTCACGTCAACGAACACGGGTAGCTTTGTTGTTGATGGTGATAATTTTCCTTCGGTTGGAACATGCCACCAGCTTCTATGACCAGTGGGTTCTGTAACAGATCGCTTTGTAGGGCTGTAGACAGGAAACATTCTGTCGGTTCTTCCCCCCGTTTTTTGGCATTGATGACTCGTTTCATTGCTGCTTTTGCTCTTAAGTGTCTGCTTTCAGCCAGTTCCCGCCCCACTTCAAGCTGCGTCGATTAGGTATGGCTGCGATTGCAATTTCGCCCTTAACATGCATAAACCACTGCGTTTTCCAACAAATAACATGCATTTCCAGGGAGCGCCTTTCAATTTTAAACTTTTTGTTGATATTTTGGTAGGTTTCCCCAAACAAATAGTGCTGTTCACTTTGGAAACACAGCTTCAACGCGTCGATTCTGCAAATCACCAAACTTGTTGGCTTCACCGAACCGAAGTTTTCCATGGCCACCCACATCCAGCGGATTTGAGGCACAGCTAAGTGGTTCCCATCTCCAGTCTCCCACCATCTCCGTTAGGCCCACGATCTTGCAGCAGAGGCCTGGGATGGGAATCAGCACGGCTTTCAGGGACAGGATGGGACTTGAATTAACAGGTGGCAAATGGTGGCAAGCCAAAAAATCAAAGGACCGGATAGCCCACATGTCAACTTCTTCCAATAAGCACAAAACAGACGCGAACATGGGATGGGAAAGGCAGGCAAGATAAAGGAGATGGTGGAAGACAGATTGTGTAAAAGAGCTGAATGTGTATGTGACAGAATTGTGTGTGTGTCTGTGTGTGATGGAGTTGGTTGTGACAGTTGTGTGTGGAAGAGTTGTGTGCGACAAAGTTGTGTGTGAAAGAGTTGTGTGTGAAAGAGTTGTGTGTGAAAGAGTTGTGTGTGACAAAGTTGTGTGTGACAGAGCCGTGAGTGAGAAGAGTTGGTGTGGCAAAGTTGTGTGGAGGTGGGTGAGAGAGTTGTGTGTGTGTGTGTGAAACGTCTGAATAGACGTAAAACTTCGCGACCGGCTCATCTTTATATTTTATATATTATATATTTTTACTAACGCAGGAGATCACCGGGGTCCTGGGGGGGTCGGTGATCAACGAAGACACCTCCCCGGGACCCGTGTAAACGTACCTGCGGGGCTTTGGTGGTGCACCTGGGCGCATTTAAGTCGCAGCTGGTGGCCACCTTAGCCCATATATATATATACATACACATCTAATCTAATTGCATGTGAGGGGATTCAGTTCCCAACGGATCACTTCAATGATCCATTTCTTGTCTAGTGTGTACACCCTTCTCACACAGGGCAAGGTAACCTAAATCACTGTCACTAACCGAAGTTGATCTAAAACAGGGGCCCAAGGACATTCTGGAAGGCTTGGGCCAACGAAGACCCTTCCAGTTTGTCGTGCAAACGTGCCTGCTAGTGATGCACCATAGATACACAAATATATATATATATATGCAATGCTTCGACTGCGTTGTTACCTTCCAGCTTGAGCTTGGATACACACGCAGTTTATGATGCAACCCCGACTCAGTCTTCGAGAAACTGCCGCGTATCCTCTACCAGGTACGATTTGCCAAATCTTTTAAGCTAAAACCCTGCAGAGCGAACTACGCACGATTCGACGTGGCCAATTTGGAACCAGCTCTAATTCCTAAAGCAAGTCCAGTGTGTGACAAAGTTGTGTGTGTGACAGAGTTGTGTGTGAAAGATTTGTGTGTGTGTGTGTGTACCATCTGCATAGATGTAAAACTTCATTTTACTGCAGGGGGCCACCGGGGTCCCAGGGGGTCGGTGGCCAACGAAGACACCCCCTGGGTACCTGTGAAAACGTACCTGCTCTATAATATATATATATATATTTTTATATAATATATATATATATAATATATATATATATATATATATTCCCGCCCCTGGGCGCATATAAGATGCAGCTGGGGGGGACATATATTTTATCGCTGTTGTTTTATATGGTCATTGTCTACTGTGATTATACGTGTTTATATTATATATTTTTTCATTCTTCGTGTCAATTTATTGTTGGTGTTTTTGCATGTCCGTTGCATTCCACATCAGACTTCGTAGAGATTGTTCTGAGCAAGTGTGTGATTCATGCTGGATTCGTCACGGTGGTATGAACCCCTTGGGGAATGCTTGTCTAAGCAGGAGAGCGAAGCAACGACTTGGCTCTGAATTTACATTTTTCAACTTAGTAATTCGGTTAAGTAAAGTGAAACAGCCGTTCCATTTCCAGCTTCTCACCCATCTCGGTTGAGTGAGTGTTGAAACAGCTTGCCGCCGTACCTGGCGTCACCATTTTCAGTGCACTGACAGGGTTTGTAGCCTTCAGCCGCGATAACCTTTTTCAAGATTGCTCGAGCATTTTCAGATGTCGACAATTGCAACATGAGGATTCCAGGCACAGGCCATGCTTGCAGGTATGGTGACTCTTCTTTTTATAGTCGTTGGTGCGGTTCAAATGTGCATGTAATTCATCTGACTACTGACAGCCGTCCATGGGGTTGATTTGATGACCGAGGGCCCTTGGGCCTTATCACGACTTTTGCATGGATCGTGAATGCATCATGTTTCACTCACTAGTTCCGCATGGGTCCCTTATCTCATGTGTTCTTCCTCTCTCCAGGTAGGTTGGGTCCTGCGCGTGCCGAGGTAGGCTTAGGTTTCGCCGTGGTAGGTTGGTTCAGGCGCTTCCGTCCTCCCCCTCCTCCGTTGGTCTGGTTCCGTTTCCGTCGGCCTCCGTTTTTTCTTTCCTTGCCTTTTGAGGGTTTGCCCGTTCTGGGCCAGGTGTGTTTGTGTTGGTGTTTGCTCTTTCCCTCTTCTTTTGCGTTCCCCTCTTCGCGTCCTGGTTGAGTAACTTTCATTTTCATTTTCATTTCACTTTCATTGTCATTTCATCTGCCCCGCTGTTGCGGGGCGTGTGTGTGTGTGTGTTTGTGTGTGTGTGTACCATCTGCATAGATGTAAAACTTCATTTTACTGCAGGGAGCCACCGGGGTCCCAGGGGGTCGGTGGCCAGCGAAGACACCCCCTGGGTACCTGTGAAAACGTACTTGCTCTATAATATATATATATAGTCCTGCCCCTGGGCGCATATAAGACGCAGCTCGGGGGTACATATATATTTGCTCGCTGTTGTTTTATATGGTCATTGTCTACTGTGATTATACGTCTTTATATTATATACATATAGATATATATTTCATCCTTCGTGTCAATTTATTGTTGGTGTTTTTGCACGTGTTCTGAGCAAGTGTGTGGCAGAGTTGTGTCACCAAGTGCCACGCCTGCCGCACAAAAGCACTGTGACTATCACCAAGCGCCACGCGTGCCACACAAAAGTCGCGAATGTCACCAAATGCCATGCCGACCAAGGCGCGCCACCAGACCTGCCCAGTGCCGTAGGTGCCACACCTGCCACACAAAAGTGACGTCAATGTCACCAAATGCCACGCCTGCCACGTCAAAGACCGTGGCGTCACCGGCGTCACCAGGGACCAAGCGCGCCACCTGACCCAGGCCAGTACCATAAGTGCCACGCCTGCCACACAAAAGCAACGTGCATGTCAGCAAGTGCCACGCCTGCCACAAGCAACGTCGATTTCACCAAGTGCCACGCCTGCCGCACAAAGTGAGCGCAGATTTCACCAAGTTGCATGCCTGCCACGCCAAAGACCGGCATCACCGGCGTCAATGCCGGCCAAGGCCCGCCATTGGAGCCAGCCGAGTGCCGTAAGTACCAAGCAAAAGCAACGTGGATGTCAGCAAGTGCCACGGCTGCCACACAAAAGCACCAAGTGCCACGCTTGCCACACAAAGTGGAGTTGCTTGTGGGCAAGATGTGTGTGACCAAGTTGTCTGTGAAAGAGTTGTGTGTGTGTGGGCAAGTTGTATGTAAGTAAGTTGTATGTGAGTAAGTTTGTGTGAGCAAGTTGTGTGAAAGAGTTGCGTGTTGGTTGCCCAAGTTGTATGTAAGTAACTTGTGTGTAAGTAAGTTGTGGGTGAAAGAGTTGTGCGTGAGTAAGTTGTGTGTGTAAGTCAGGGGTGTGTGTGTGAACCATCTGAATAGATTACGTGGAGATAGCAGCTCTCCAATCAAACTTTCCTCATCATCCTCTCTTTCGAGGATCATGTCTTCCCCTTCCGAGACCGGGGCATCATCCGCCAGGCTTGGTTCCGGAGGGTCCTCCAAGCTGCTCACAAATTGATCAACAATTCTTTGAACACCCTTTTCCTTTTTCAGCCCCATGGTAGCGAAGGCCTTGTCAAAAATGGCCGCCACGGTGTTGGTGTGAAACGAGTTTCCAATGGCTGCACATCGGAGGTCCTTGGCATTTCGAGTTTCTTCTTCGCCTTCTGGAAGTGCGGATGTGCACCCCCGGGGGTACCCCATCAGAACCTCCCTTTCCGCCGCTGCCAGCGTTCTCAGCACATCATCAGTGCCCTTGACAAGAAACTTCTCAGCATATACATATGGCGGGTACCGGAACTGGTCATCCTTCCATCTGTCACGCGTCACGATGTCTGTGCTGTCCAACCCTGCTGGGCAAGGAGGAGGCCGACGTCGCGGAATTGACCTGGTGAAGGTTGGAAACTTCAGGTTTCCATCAGCCTCCCCGGCTAGCCAGGTAATTCCTTGCTTTAAAAAGCTCCCCACCGGCTCGGAACTCCTCCAGCCGCAGCACATCGTATGAAGGGCCCTGGCCCCGCAATGGGTCCCCAGGGTCCCCCACTGGTATGGACAGCCAGTACAGGCGCGGTCGTCGCACCCTGCTGAGCTTTCCTGATTCAACCAGGATTGGGTGGATCTTCAGGGCCGCCGACATCTCATCAATGTCACTGTCACTCTCATCAGGGACCACGTTCTCCAGGAACTTTACGACCCACAGGCGCCTCTCCGTGGCCATGTTCTCCACCATCTCCATCACACGCACAGCCTCGTAGAACAAGGCACTGCGCTCATCCTCAAGGTGGCTCCTTTCTGACGAAAGCCGGCTGAGCCCTTGGCATGGGCTCCCACCGCCCACTATCATACCAGTGAGCCCTGGCACCTTCTCCATCGCCTTTTTCAGGAGCCCCTCATTGAACTTGGCTATATCGCTGCAGAAGTCTGAACTTGGGTACTATGGATTTAATCAATGATGGACTTTTAACTCAAAATAAAAATAACTTTTGCATGCCTAAGAAGGTTGAGGCGGATGGTGACTTGCCTAGCAAAAAGCCAAAAGATAGGTCCCCTTCCTCCTCAACAGGTGCCTGCAGTCCACATCCTTCTCGACCATAAGCGAGTGATGCACTCTTACACCCGCCTTTTCCAGGGCCACTTCAAGGCCCCCCAAACCTGCAAAGAGATCGATGACCAGAATTTTCTCTTCCGATACGACCTCGGCATCTGGCCGCTGGGGGTCCTTGTCTGGACCTTCCTTGACCAGCCACTCTGCTTCGGCACGCCCTGCCCAGCTCAGACGTGACGAGAAGCACATGCCACCGCCGCTCTCTGAAGCATCACTACAAGTGACCACTGGGTCCACCTTAGCCTTGAGGTTGAACTGCGCCAGCGGCAGGAGAGCTTCCAGCAGCAGCATTTCCTCAGCCAGTGCCTCAGTCACCGTAAGCCAATCACCTCCATGTGCAATCACCACAAAAATTTCCTCCATAACCGAAAATAAACACCTCCTGAACTGCAAGATGTGCACCGCCTTTCAAGGCTATGGTCCTATGACAGGCCTGCATCAAGCCGACAGCCGGGTGCCACCCCATGGGGCAGGACTGCAATACCCAGCAGAGTCTCGCCTTCGCCCGCCAGTCCCAGATCGGATCTAGCCACCGGCTTTTCCAGCACCATATATCTGCTCCACTCCTCAGGGAGTCTAAACAAATAAAAAGCAGCGGTCAAGTCCTCACCGCTCACCAGGAGCTCCTCGCCACTCTCGATGACAATTCTCTGAAACGAGGTCGCCCCACAGAGGTGGCCGACATCTCCATCTATTTGCTTCATGCAATAGTTGGTGGCTCTGAGGTCCATTATAAGCCGAAGCACTGGCTCACCCTCAGCGGTCATTTTGTCAGGTTTGGCCACACCAAATGCGCCGTTCAGCACCTTTTCACCATCCAGCACTGGGCAGTGATTGACAGGGCGCACCAGCCCTCGGTCCGCGCTATCTTGGGCCACTCCCCTGCGGCTACCCTAACCTTCGGTCGCGGTCTCGGGCCTTGAGGTGGTTTCACCATCATTTTCTCAGGGTGCTTCAGCGCCTCCTGCAAGTGGGGGGGCAACACCTCCGACCCCCCGTGTTCCACACTCGGGAGGCCGGGAAGTATTTGGGCCAGGGTGAGCGGCACCGCCTTCTCCAAAACTTCACCAGTGTAGCTCACCTTCAATGCGTCTATGGCGTTTCCCCAATCTTCCTGAGAAGTTCTAGGGACCCCGGCCCTCTCACGTTCATCAATGAAGGATTTTACAAGCTCCCAAAGCGTATTCAGAGCCTGTTCTTGGGCTGCCGTCGCTTGCCCGCCTGGGCATGGCCTCTCGCCTCTCGGTTCATCACCATACAGGTGATTCAAGGCAACCACAACCAGGCCATGCCAGGCCCTTAAGCCATTACCCCTCAGGGCCTTGGCCGCCTTTGACTTGGTGCGGCCTCTGTTTCGCCAACCCCCGGGCTGGTCACGCACTCGGGCTTCGTCCAGGATCTCATTAACCAAAGGGGAGGGGGAACAGATTCAGCATCTTGCCCTCTCTACGCGTCGGGGACTGTAGAGACCAGAGCATATATTCTTTAAGCGGCGAGTCGGTTTCCATCAGTTGGAGGACCAGGTGACGGATCAGTTGAGCCGCCGACAAGTTCCCGGTCTCCTCCTCTTGAAGGAACTCCCGAAGGAATCTACTTGCTGGGGGCCTCACGTCGACATCACCACGCGCTGGGGTGGCAGAGATTCGTCCCCTGGAGGACCTGCTCTGCTCCCTTTTGATGCTTTGCCGACTCCTTTGCGATGGCTCCCTTTTGGTCTGCCGAACTTGCTCGCCTTCCAGACTGGCCGGTCTCTCTTGCCCTTTCCTCCTTCTTTCATCTTCCCTTTTGACCCCTTCTGGAGGGGCTGATCTTTGTTCTGACTTTTGTCTGGGCCGTCGTCGACGATCACGATGGGAGTGCTCCCTTTTCAACCGTCTCCTTCTCCTTGCTCGTGCTGGGCTCTCTTCTCTTCGAATGTCACGTGCTGACCTTGATCTTCTCTCGCCTTCTTCCAGGCGGTCTGACGGCTCTTCAACAGGCTCTCCTTTCCGTCTTGATGGCTCACGGACTTCTCCCCTGGGGGAGCCTGCCCGCTGCCTGCTTCCTATTTGCTCTTCTTCAGCTTTGCCAGGCTGTCCCTCAGCTTTGATGCCTGGATCTCGGCCTTCGCTGCGGCGGCCCTCTCGTCTTCTCTCAAGAGACCGGCTCCGCCTCCCGGAATGAGCTCCAGGTGCCTTGCTGTCTGCCAGCCCCCCTCCTCGAAGGAGGCTTCTATCGCTTTGAACCTCTGCAGCTGCAGGTCCAGGGCGTGCATGATCCTCCCTCCCAGCAGCTCGTCTATGGTCATTGCCAGGGTCACCATCTCTCGGTGGGACCTGACCCCTATGCGAGCTGGAGGGTGGTTCACCAGCACCACCCATCCTGGTCCTGATGAAGAAGCGGCACCCGAAGAAGGTCGATGCATGCCGAGCAGTGCTCATTGGGGATGACCACGGGTCCATGCGCAAGTCTCGCGGGGAAGCTAGGTTGGCCGTGGACGAGTCGCGTTTGGTCATGTTAAGAGCTGAGAAGGCACACAAATTAAGGTGGAAGAAGGATGGAACAAACAGATAATTTGAACAAAGAAATGGTTATGGACAAGTGAAACACTATAAGCCGTGTCAGCAGCAGGAACTTTGTTTTCCGACTGTGCGTACTTATGGAAGGTAATTGGGTGGCAAGGCTTTATGGCAGCTCAACCGCATGATATACGGTTGAGTGGGGCTGTTGAATGCTAAAAGACTGCCAAAAATGCCTATGTCTTGGGCTTGTGCCCAGTTGGGACGATTTTCAAGAAGAAGACGACTAATGATGTGGGCAGGACGTAATGCGAAGGTGTCGCCTGTACTGTCACTCCAACGAAGATCCGTGGTGTCAGCATCAATATTGGCGCCCCGTGTGTTATAAATGTATTGGCTGATATTACACAAGAGATCACCAGACCGCGACATTCCGTGACCACGTCAACTTGTGCAGATTTCAATTCGTTTCGATACATTTTCGATACCTTTGTCCCTGGCATTTTGATCAATGGATCCGTCCCAGCAGATCGAACCAAGTGACACTCGCTTTGCTTCTTCCAAAAAAGCCCCGCGGCAGCGGGGCGTGTGTGAACCATCTGAATAGATGTAAAACTTCTAGCGGTTTAGTTGGAATTCTTAGCACTACCGTGGGGTCTCAAATTCTGTCAGTTGGCATAGGTTGCTTAGTATGCAGGGGGACACAGCATTTCACGGGGACTGTGTCCAACGAAGCTGCCAGTGAAATGGGATATCCAGCTTGGCCAGCTGGATGTACCTGCAACGTGATTATTTCAATTTCAGTTTTCTTGCCCATGGCAACCGGCTAAGCCAAGAACCGGCATGTCGATCTTTCAACTATTTTTCCTAACCAACCTGAACATTGGACTTCATGTTGATGTCGCTTTGAACCTGTACGGTTTTTGGCAATCTGTCAAGGTGGGAACGATTTGGCTTAGTTGAAAGGGAAGGGTCACCTTCCAACTCATTTCATCTATCTCTGGCTATGGCGATGGTAACTTTTTGATACTTCTCGGGTCTTGTCACCGACCCATTCCTGTCAGGTATACTTGGAGTGTTCTTGCACGTAAGATGCATTCCACATCAGAATTCGCAATGGTAGTTCTGAGCAAGTGTGTGGGCAAGTTTGTGTTAGTAAGTTGTGTGTGAACGCACTCTGTGTGTGTGTGTGGGCAAGTTTGAATAAGTCATAAGTTGCGTGTGAAAAAGTTCTGTGTGGGCAAGTTGTGTGTAAGAAAGTTGTGTGTGAGTTAGTTGTGTGTGAATATGTTGTGTGTGAAAGAGTTATGTGTAAATAAGTTGCGTGTGAGCAAGAAGTCAGGAGGCGGAGGAGGAGAAGGAGAAGGAGAAGCGGACAGGATACAGAACAAAAAACAAGAAGCCAACACAAAGATATGGGGAATGAGGAGATCCCTGCATTTTTTATATTGGGGGTTGACGGAATGGGGTACTCCTGAAGGCACCAAGGACATGCCCATGAGCTCTTTGAGGCATTGGTTCAACGACGTGCTATTTGCATCCATTTGATATACATACGTGCATGCATGCATACATGCATACATGCATACATGCATGCATGCATGCATGCAAACATACATACATACATACATACATGCATACATGCGTACATGCGTACATACGTACATACGTACATACATGCATACATACACGCATGGATGGATGCATGAATGCATGTGTGTGTTCTGTCTACAATTTACATCATGTCATATCGTGTTTTATTGCATAATGTTACGCTATATTTTTTTTGTTTTTATATTCATTTGATATATGTATACTGGTAGTGCCCGGCACGCGCCGGGGCGGATGTTTCGAAAAAGTGAAGCAACTATAGGAATCAGATGGCCTATAGGACAAGTTTTTGAGATGCAGGAGCAACGAAGTGTTGAAGTTGTGAGATCCATCAGCGAATGAGCAAAGGCTTGTTGAGGTGCCAATGATTTGATATTATGAAAGTTACCAGTAGTACCCGCACGAGGCGGGGCGGAAGTTGCCTTAAGGATATATAAGAACTTTCTCATCTATAGAACTTGCATGCGCCGTGCGCCAGCCAAGCCCGTGCTTGCGTGCACTCTGCGGAAGTTGTGTCCTGTTTCACATGTCCCATGTGAAGCTCCACTTCGCACTTCACACTCCACACTTCACTTTTCACACTGCACTCTTCGCACTCCACACTTCACACTTCACACTTCACACTCCACACTGCACTCTTCGCACTCCAAACTTCACACTTCACACTCCACACTTCACACTTCACAGTCCACACTTCACACTTCTCACTTGTCACTGCTTTCTTCACACTCCACACTTCACACTTCACACTCCACACTGCACACTGCACTCTTCACGCCCCACACTTGACACTGCACTCTTCACACTCCACGCTTCATCTCATCTGAGCTCTTCTCACCTTATCCTAGCTCATCTCTTCTCATCTCATCTCATCCAAATAGTATTACGCATGCAGCCGCGGCACGAAGCAACCTTAACGCAGCCATTACAATGCGATCTGCAGAGACTGAGTTGCAAAACGCAATAATACTACGCGCCACGGCGTCGGAAATTGCAGCTCCAAAACCGGATCTCGACGCCAAAGCGAAAAAATCACGATTTTGCTGCACTTTTTACAAGGATTTTTAAAAGGAAAATTAATAGCGCGAAAATCGAAAAAATCTGCTGACAAATCACTGTCACAACCTTGATGCAGCCGCTCCAATAGAATTTAAGATGTCCAGCTGCAAAAGAGAATAGTATTACGCATGCAGCCGCGGTGCCAAGCAACCTTGACGCAGCCATTACAATGCGTTTTGCAGCATCACGTCGCAAACCTGCACGTGTCTACGCACGTGGCAACATCAGATGACGACAATCATGCAGCCATTCCAATGCGATCTGCAACCACAGCTTCAAGAAACGCATAGAACTACGCACACAGGAACAACCACCCGTTGCAAAACACATAGAAGGAACCACAACGACCGCAGCCGCAACCGCTGCACACACGAGGTACCTTTCATCGCCGGCTGCAGCCACTTTAAACGGAAAAACGCAAGGTTTCGTGCTCCGGCTTCCTCCCCGAAACATAGCCCATGCAACATTCATGCAGCCATTCCAATGCGATCTGCAACCACAGCTTCAAGAAACGCATAGAACTACGCACACAGGAACAACCAGCCGCAACCGCCGCACACACGAGGTACCTTTCATCGCCGGCTGCAGCCTTTTACACGGAAAAACACAAGGTTTCGTGCTCCGGCTTCCTCCCCAAAACATAGCCCATGCAACATTCATGCAGCCATTCCAATGCGATCTGCAACCACAGCTTCAAGAAACGAATAGAACTACGCACACAGGAACAACCACTCGTTGCAAAACACATAGAAGGAACCACAACGACCGCAGCCGCAACCGCCGCACACATGAGGTACCTTTAATCGCCGGCCGCGACTTAACACGGAAAAACGCAAGGTTTCATACTCCGGCTTCCTCCCCAACACAAGCCCCATGCAACATTAATGCAGGGCAATTCTTTTGTGATGTATTGTTATATGTAGTGTAAAGTCTCACACCGCCTTTCATCAAGGTCAATTCTTTTGTGGTGTATTGTTATGTGATGTAAAGTCTCACACCGCCCTTCATCAAGGTCAATTCTTTTTTGATGTATTGTTATGTAGTGTAAAGTCTCACACCGCCCTTCATCAAGGTCAATTCTTTTGTGATGTATTGTTATGTAGTGTAAAGTCTCACACCACCCTTTATCAAGATCAATTTTTTTGTGATGTGTTATGTAGTGTAAAGTCTCACGCCGCCCTTCATCAAGGTCAATTCTTTTGTGATGTATTGTTATGTGATGTAAAGTCTCACACCGCCCTTTATCAAGATCAATTCTTTTGTGATGTATTGTTATGTAGTGTAGAGTCTCACACCGCCCTTCATCAAGGTCAATTCTTTTGTGATGTATTGTTATGTGATGTAAAGTCTCACACCGCCCTTCATCAAGGTCAATTCTGTTGTGATGTATTGTTATGTGATGTAGAGTCTCACACCGCCCTTCATCAAGTTCAATTCTTTTGTGATGTATTGTTATGTAGTGTAAAGTCTGACACCACCCTTCATCAAGGTCAAGAGTCAAGTCTCACAGTTCTATTTGTCCGTAACACGGAAGTATTGCTTCCCAACTGTCTAAGATGAAAGAGTCCATGCACAGCTGACTGACTGAATCAATGAACCACTGAATCGGTGAATCAATGAATCATTAAACCCATGAACCAATGAACTTGAACCAACGAATCAATGATTCAATGAACCAGTGAGTCAATGAATCAGCGAATCAATGAAGCAATGAACCAATGAATCAGTGAATCAATGAATCAACGAATCAAAGAATCAATGAACCAGTGAATCAATCAATCAGATTTTCCACCCTTGAACCAGTGAATCAGTGATTCAACGGATCATTGAACCAATGAAACGATGAGTCAATGAACCAGTGAATCAATGAATCAACCAACCAATGAATGAATGAACCAATGAATCAATGAATCAGTGAATCAATGAACCGAATCAATGAACAAATGAATGAATTAATCAGTGAATCAACCACTGGATCAATGAGGCAATGAATCAGTGAATCAATGAGCCATTGAACCAATGAATCAACTAATCCATGAACCAGCGACAAAACGAATGAACGAATGATAGTTCTGTGCACTTTTTTCCGATAACTTTCCCAGATGGAGGCGCGGAAACGTGGAAACGGAGACCCTATTATACTTCGGTGACCCCAGGAGCCACATTACCCAAAAAAAAGCAGGGTTTTCGTGCCAGGGAGTGCTTTCACCTGTGAATTTGCACGCTTCCGAGCTGTTACGCTTCCCGCCTACTTGATAATTGGTGGTTGACACGATAAGGTGGCTGACATGATGATCTGGTTGGCATGATGGTGGAAATGCTAACCATGACAACCATCTGTAATTCCGAAGTTTTCTATCTAGACTTCCAATGAATATATTTACATATACAGACATACATATACATGTGTATATATATACACATACACATATACATATACATATACGTATACGTATACGTATACGTATACATATACAACAACATTTACATATATAAATACTCAAAAATATACATATATATATAGATATATTTGCACGCAGAAAAACATATATATATATTTAAACATACATGTAAATAAATACATGCATAAAATACATACAAATACACAAATAATATATATATACACATACACATAAATAAATACATGTAAATGCATATCAAACATACATATATAAAGGCAACTATATGTACATACATATATACACATATACAACTATATGTACATACATATATACACATATACATATACAAATGTACACATATATATATACACATAAATACACATATATATATATATAGATAGATTTATTTACATATATATATACATATATATATACTTGTATATACACACATATACACATATATACACATATATATATACATACATTGATATTTACATATGCATATATATCTTCTTTCATGCACATATTAAAATTTTTTATACGTGTACATACACATAAATATTTACATATACTTATAGACGCGTACATATATACATTTGTAGAAATATATTTGCATACATATAAATATACATACATATTCAAATCTTTAAATATATGCATACACATATTGATGTACACACATACAACTACAAATATTGTAATATATACAAACACACATATATATATACCCATACATTTACACTTTTTCATTTTACATACACGTGTCTACATATATATATACATATGTAAATATATACATATATATATACACCACATGTACATATACATATTTGCGTACACACAAAAATGTATATTTGCATACATATACAAATATATCTATCTACTTACATATGCATATACATACTTACATACATGTATGTACTTACATTTAGATACATTTAGATACGCATACTTCCAAATATTTACAAATAGATATCAGTTGATATTTATATGACCATCTGTTTTAACATTTTTTACATACACATATGCATATATTTATATATACATATATATTTGCATATACATACATACATACATACATACATACAGACGCATACAGACGCATACAGACGCATACAGACGCATACATACATACATACATACATACAGACGCATACATACATACATACATACGTACATACATACATACATACATACGCACATACATACATATACATCCGCATACATACGCATACATATACATACATACATACATACATGCATACATACATGCATACATACATGCATACATACATGCATACATACATGCATACATACATGCATACATACATGCATACATACATGCATACAAACGCATACAAACGCATACAAACGCATACAAACGCATACAAACGCATACAAACGCATACATACATACCTACATGCATGCATGCATACATACATACAGACACACACACATACATACATACATACATACATACATACATGCATACATATGGTTGATTCCCGTTCCAGCACGTTTCTCCCCAAAACGTCTGGGGCAGGACGATGAGAGCACGCGCACGGAGATCCTAATGCCAATTGCACAGGTGGCCGAGGAGCAAAAGGAGGTGGCCGAGGAGCACGTGGAGGAGGCCTCGCAGAACATGGAGAACGGTACTTTGAACGAAGAAACCGAAACGCCGTCCGACACGGCGTCCGAAACGGAAGGAGCTGCGGAGATTGGGGGGCATGTTTGGAAAGGGAAGAAAATGAAGTGTTTGGAATTGGGACTGGTGTTTTTTTTAGGCAATCCGGGCAAATGGTCAGGGTCGGAAAACAGTTGAAACAAAACATAAACCTTGCTATAGTTCCGTGCAACTCACACGTTTTCATTTTTTCCCGACAGATATGTCGTTGATCCAGTTTCATCACCAAGATGATTTTTGATGAGTTTTGCACATTATATCAGCTATATCAATATTCAAGTCGAAGTCATCCTGTGGCAAAGGCACGCAGCATAGGAACCATAGGAACCATAGGAACCATAGGAACCATAGGAACCATAGGAACCATAGGAACCATAGGAACCATAGGAACCATAGGAACCATAGGAACCATAGGAACCATAGGAACCATAGGAACCATAGGAACCATAGGAACCATAGGAACCATGATCCTCCGAACAAACAATGTCGAGACGCCGCATTGGCCAAACCTTGAGGACCAGCTAAGAAGGTTGTTAGTGAGATCCTTTGAAATCCTGCGGCATCCAAAACTGGAGCCCCTAGGACCGGGATTTTTCAGCCACTCTGGTGTTAATTTGTCCCAAATTTGATCTCCGCGAACAATTTCCATTTTCCCAAATATGGGTTCCCCATCCTACTTGAAGTAGAATGGGAAAAAAATCTTATCAAAATATACAAATTTAATTCAAATATTACACATATATATATATATAAACAAATATATATATATAAATATACAAACAATTATATTCATATACGACAGATCAGACCACGAGATCTAGGAGGTCATATGAAATATTAATTTATATATTTTAATATAATTATTTATTATATATTTAAATAAATTGGATTTTATATATTTAAATAATCGGATGGACCAAGGAAAAATTTCCTAGAAATAATCTAAAATATTTATTTATATATTTTAAAATTTATATATTTAAATATAAATTATATATATTTTTTTAATTAATATTTATTTTTTTTATATTAATAAAATATATCGAAATGGAAATATATTATAATAAATTTATATATAAAATATTAATCGAATTATTAATTAATAATAATAATAATGATAATAATAATAATATATATATATATTTATAAATATTTATATTTATGTTTGTATATATATATAAATTAAATTTTGAAATTTACAAAATAATATTTTTTTTTAAAAAACTATTATATTAAATTAAATATTAAGAACATAAATATTTAAAATTATAAATATATAAATATAATATATAAATTTTAAATAATAAATATTATATAATACTATTATAATATAAGTATTTAAAATTTAAATTATTTAATTTTTAAATTTTTATAATTAATTACTACTAATATTACGATTTAGCCTGCGTGTGCGTAATTTCCCGAGGCCAATTTTCCTAAAAATCTGCTACATTTTTGGGAAAATTGGCGAATACAAACTTAGTCTGCGCGAATACAAACTAAGTTTGTGCTTCCTGAGCGCCCTGCTCGGATGTCGAAATTTTACTACTATTTTGGGCAAATTATTTTTTGATTTTCCCAAAAAAATGATACTTTTTTGGGGAAAATTCTCTTCTCCCCAGTCAGTGTCCCACTAAGCAAATGCAGTACGGTCGGTCAGGGTTGGTCGGGGGGTTCGATTCACCCCCGGTTCATGGTCGCTCGGTATTCAGTTGTGTTTGAGCATGTATCTTCTGAGTTTCCCCCGTAGATCTTTTATGGATCAGTTGAGTTTTCGTCTTTCGGACCCACTTTCGTTCGGTCGATCTCTCCTGGATCAATTACGCTTTCGTTTTATTTTTCCGGTCTTGTGAATGTACCGCCTGTGTCTATCGCTCTTTTGAATGCGCTTTTGGCCCCACTGTCGCTCGGTCAGTTTTGCAGATGTATTCGAAAAAGGGTCTTCTGAAGCGCGCCACACTTTTGTTGCTTTTCGCGACTACGCGCTCCAGCATTTCCGTTCTTGTACATATACCGCATGCGTCTTTCGCTCTTTTGAGAGCACTTTCGGGTCCACTGTCATGTCTTTCGCTCTTTTCGATTCCCCCCTGGTCCATTGTCGCTCGGTTTTCTGAATTTCCCCCGTAGGGCAGGCATTTCGGGGAGCAGCTTTCAGTAGCAACTTTCGGGAGCAGCTTTCGGGAGCCGCTTTGCAGAATAGCTTTGGGGAGCCGTTTTAGGGTATAGGTTTAAAAAATCGCAGCTTTCGGGCAATAGCTTTGGACAGCAGCTTTGGGGAGCAGCTTTGGCAAGCTGTCCGGAGCAACTTTCAGGAACAATTGCTTTGAAGAACAGCATCTTTCGGGGGCAGCTTTACAAACAACTTCGGGGAGCAACTTTCAGTAGCAACTTTCGGGAGCAGCTTTCGGGAGTCGCTTTGCAGAATAGCTTTGGGGAGCCTTTTTGGTGTATAGATTTGAAAGATTGTAACTTCGGGGCAATAGCTTTGGACAGCAGCTTTTGATAGCAAGTTTGGGGCACAGCTTTTAGGAGCCGCTTTGCAGAATGGCTTTGGGAGCCATTTTGGTGAACAGGTTTGCAGAATCGCAACTTTAGGGCATCAGCTTTGGAGAACAGCTTTGGGGCACAACTTTGGGGAGCAGCGCCGGGGAACAGCTTTGGATAGCAGCTTTGGGGAACAATTTTGGAGAGCTTTCCAGACCAGCTGTCAGCTTCGGGCAGCAGCAACTTTGGGGAGCAGCTTTCCGCAGCTTTGGGGCAACAGCTTTGGAGAACAACTTTAGGCTCAACCTTGTTGAGTAGCGCAGGGGAACAGCATTGGGGAGCAGCTTTAGGGAGCAGCTTTGAGGAGCAGTTTTGCACGGCAAGCTTTGAAGAACCGCAGCTTTGGGGAGCAACTTTGGGGAGCAGCTTTCGGGAACCGCTTTGGAGAATAGCTTTGCGGAACAGGTTTGAAGCATAGTCGCTTTGGGGCAACCGCTTTGCAGAGGTGCTTTGGAGAACAGCTCTCGGAAATTGGGGAGCAACTGTGGGGAGCAATTTTGCGGTTTTGCAGCAGCATTGACGGACAATTGCCTTGAAGAACGACAGCTTTGGGGAATAGCTTTAGAAACAACTTTTAGAAACCGCTTTCGGAAACAACTTTCGGGGGCAGGCTTAGCAACTTTGGGGCGCAGCTTTCGGGAGCCGCTTTGCAGAATGGCTTTAGGAAAAGGTTTGGTAAACAGGTTTGCAGAATCGCAGTTTTGGGGTAACAGCTTTGGAGAACAGCTTTGGGCACAACTTTGGGAGTATCGCCGGGGAACAGCTTTGGGGACCAGCT